GGTAGATACTTCGTAGTTATTAATTTAACTTATATTTACATTTTAATACAAATTAATTTATCTTAATAATCAGTATTATTATTTTTTCTTTTTAAACATATTTAAAGTTATATTCTAAAAACTTTTAAAAATAATCAAAAAAATTTATATTTTAATGAAGTTGCTTGTAAAGTCCTATGTGAGATTTTTAAATAAAAGTAAATGTTTCATATATTTTATTGTTATTAGCCTCTTTTTTAGAAATTTACTTCTAATTAAAACTAAGTTAATTCATAGTTTTTTTATGTAATTGTATTAAATTAATTCAACAATATGAATATTAGTTAGACTTAGTTGACTTATTTCAAATTTAAGTTTTTTTACTGAAAATTTAATTAATTTTATAAAACAACAATGCATACTTTTTGAAAATAAAAAACTTTTTAAAATTACACTGAATATATTTATTAATTAGTAGATTTTTAACTTCTAAATAAAATTACTTGCTAGCTAAAATGATAAATTAAAACATATCTTTAATCAACAAATTCAAAAAAAAGTTTCTATAGCTTTTTTTTATTTTAAAAATAATTAATAATACTTTTTATTTTCTTAAATTTTAAAATATTAAATATAAAAAATTAACACTGAAGGTTGATAATTTAATTTTAATTTAGTACTTAAAATTGATAATTAAATATTAATTAATATTTAATTTTTTGTTAAAAATAGAAACTTTATTTTTTGAACTAAAATCAGCTTTATTAAAATGTAGATATCTATAAGAATAAATTATTTAAAACCTTTTTTATTGGCTTAAATTATGGAATTTTATTAATGATAAACAAATCAATTAAATAATTTAAATTATAATTATTTATTTAAGAAATGAAATTAAAAAATTCTTTGGATATTAAAAAATTTATTCTCAATTCATACTTTTGAATATAATTTTTTTATATTTATTTATATATTAAAAAATTATTAAACTATTAATTTTTTGAATTAAATTATAGTTAAATGAGCCATTACAGATACATAATTACGGTTTAAAGAATATTATTTTTGAGTATTCTATCAATCACAAAGTATTTTCTTGAGTTCAGTATTTTAATTTAAACAATAAAAATATTTTTTTAATCTATTTTTTCTGTAAATTGCCATTTAATATATTAAATAAATGTAATGTGATTATATATTAATTAATATATTTATTTAATTTTTCCAAAAATTAAATTCTTAAGATGAATTTAGAATTCAGTATATTACATAAAATAAAAATAAATTTCTATTGATTGAAATATTTATACAATCAAATTTCTATCTAATTATATTCTTAAATTGAAAAATATATTTTATTGAATATGTGAAACACTATTCAATTATTTTATATAAGTTTTTAGAAGTAAAATTCTTATTTTAAACTTGTACTTTATTTTTTTCTATGAATATAAAGATATCTTTGTTTAAGATTATTATACCATCTTTACCAATTAATTAATGCTATTACTAAAATTAAAATAAATAAATAAATAAATAAATAAATAAATTAGATTAAATTCGAATGCAAAAATATATGAATTACTTAATCAACCATGTAAGTAAGGAGATTTATCATAGATAATAGCTTAGTGATTAAAAAAAGGTAAAAGGATACATTTTTTATTTTATTAATTTAGAAGTTATTTTAAGAATTCATAAAATTTTTATTATAATTATATAGGTGACTAATTCAAATTTTAATTTATTATTTATTAATTTTTTTTATTTTGATTTTAAATATCTTAATATTTTTGTTTATTAAATTAAATCAAAAAATTAAACCTAACAAATAATTTAATATTAAAAATAAATCAATAAATTAAACAAAATGATGAGAATAAATACATAATTAACAGATTAATAAAAATAATAATTATGCTTCTATAAAAAAATGATGCATAATTTAAATATTTAAGAAGACATATTCTATACAGATCATAACATATTTAAATTTTTACAAAAAGCGTTAATAAGATGTAAAAAATTTTATTTTACTCTTAAAATAATTAAAAGTAGTAAATATTTCAATAGATGTAAATAAACTTAGTTGCTAATAAAGCATAAAATAGATTTTCGAATATCTAATATTAAAAGATTCTATAAAAAAATGTAAGAGATTAAAATTTTAAATATTACTTGAAGTAATTTCTCATTGAAGAATTATGAAATTTTTTTTTTAATGTTGGTATTTCTGAATTTTAATGGCTATAATATAAGATTATTCATTATTATTGATAAAAAATAGTTACTTTTAATATCTTAAAGCACTTTTAAATATTAAGTTGTGTGAATATTTTAGAATAAATTATAAAAATCACTAATAATAAAAATATAACTTTAAAAAAAGTTTTTTTTTTCAATAACTATTAAGTTATTTGTTATATATAAATGTATTAAAATATTTATTATGCTGTTTTTTAATTTAAAGCAATTCCATTAGAATTATGAATTATTTTGAAAGATTTGATTATTAAAATAAAATATTACTATCTAAAAAATTTTATGAATTCAATTTATATTAACAAATTGAGCTTTTGATCCAAAGTATAGAATCACTTTTAAATATTTTTTTAACTCAAAAGTAAATAAAAAATTGTTTCTAATTTAAATTTTAGTCAATTTTAAGATAATGATCAATAATAAATTATTATTCACAAACACACATAGCAGATGGGTGGATGTTATTGGGATCAAGATAAACCCATATAAATATTATATTTGTCATTTATTAAGGTCTAGACCATTAGACCATGATAATTTTTATCACTATTAAAGAAAAATAAGGGAATAAAAAATTATTTTAATGATAAGGAATTAAGAAATAATAAAAAATATAAAGAGTACTATACGGCTTTTAGACAATTTATTATCTAAGTTAGGTGATTTTCTTTATTTGAGAAAGAGATACCCTTCTTAAACCCTTCAAATACTCTGCACTAACTTTAAATTTTTCAACTTGATTGGAGTGGAAAAAGATGAGAGTAGAAAATATAAAGGTAGGTTTAAATGAAAAAGATGTAAGCAATATTAAACATTTTTGTAAATATGGTTATTGTTTTGATGGTACTAAAAATGTTTAGTAGTCTATTATAGTGTGATCTTGCTTGGTTTTGTGAAAATTATTCCATAAAATAATTTAAAATCCCATTAGATTTATACAATCTTTTAGTCAATAAAATATACTTAATTTGTGAAAAGTTTTAGCTGAAGAAGAGGAGTCCTTGAGAAAAAAATTTCATCTAGAAAAAATTAAAACTGTAGAATATGATATCCCAAATAGGATTCTTGAGGAACCATGTTAATGAAAAGCTGTATTAACATATATTTAATGAGGCTATATTAGAAGCTGACAAATTCTTGCTAACACACAATAGTCTAGTGAACAGTGAACAGTATCTATTGGCAACAAATATGGGATTTTTGATTATGGAAGAGATTTCAGAGACTTTAGAGTTCTCATTGTAGGTCATAATTGAAGTTACTATAGGTTAATCTAAATATTTGAAGACTTAGTTCCTATTAATCCAGATATTAAAATTAAGAGTCTTTATTGATAATTGGATAGGATATAGATTATTATAATAAGAGTTTTGGTAGTGGAAGAAGAACTAAAAACCACATAGAAAACCTATAGTTTAAGATAAATATGTTGGATCATTTGACAAAGGATAGATATTCAACACTTTAAAATAAGCATAACTCTATGTAGAAATATTTTAAGTCTTTAAATAATAAAAAAATTAAAAACAATGAATTGTTTTTTTACTTTTAATCAATATTTATATATAAATGTTTAAATTCCATAGTATTTTAGAAAAAGAAAACTTCCTACTTCTTTTAATTCACAAAATTATATTAACTCTTTTTTGTATTTTATATACCTTTTATATGAATAAAAAATATTTTACTTGAATTAAATAAATATGTTTTAATTTTTTATACTTTACATATTTTAATATGAAAATAAACTAAATTAATATTCATACATTGAATTATATTTTTTATGAATATAAATTATTATTAACTTTTTTTTATAAACGAAGCATATTAATATTTTAAAAAAATTTTCATTAAAATACTTTTTTACTATTATTAAAATTTAGAAAATAATTTAAGTTTTAAATATTTTTAGCTCTATTTGAAAATGATTTGAATTTTATGAGGAGATTTATGAAAATGTATTTTAAAGATAATTTTATGAGAACTTCTTGGATAATAGATGATTTTAGTTCTAATATATTTATACATTTATCTTTTTAAGATATTGAATGACAATAACTCTTTAACATTTGAATTACCAAATTATATCCGGGAAGTATTTTCTTAGATTTTAATGAAAATTTGGTTTACAGGTTTTTTGAATTGATAAATGTCACTTACAATTTTGAAAATTATTGATCCATTGCATATAGAATAAATTAAGTTTAAAAATTCTTGAAATGTAAATTTGCCACCATTTTAATGAAATAATTCTCAAAACTCTCAATTCTTTTATACAGTTTCTTAATTTTTGACATTTAGATGAAATTATTTCTCCAAGAATATACATTTATTTATTTGTTTTATTGAGTAATTAATAATTTGCATTTAAATTATATGTATAAGTAAAAATTTTTACTTTTATTTTCTATTGAATTTGTTAAAAATTTAACTAATTCTTAAAAGTATACAAGATTTTATAAACTTATTACTATTATAAAAATCCTTTTTAATGCGTTTATTAAAGCCAATTTTTATAATCAGATTATTTGAATTAAAAAAAATAATTTGTGATGGTTAAAGTATTAATTATATTTATTTGATTTTGAATTCATTTGCATGAACAGCACAGTTTTCTAGTATTTTGTTTAAATTTTGATATAATTGCATCTAATTTATTTGTCCATTAAATTATTTAAAACATCGATGGATGCAATTAATCTATTAAAATATTAAAATATACTTATTTTAAAGTGTTCATCAATTTATTTAAATTAAAATTTTGATCTATTTACATACTTATAAAGGTTGCTTACATTAATAATTAAGAATGGTATTCTTAAAATACCTTATTTAGAAAACAAAAACTTTATCATATGTATGCTATATTTACACTTGAAATCATATAAATTAAAAATGAATAAATAGATTCATGACAACTAATTATAATTTCGCTCATTGATCATAGATTGTTTGATATTTTGTTAATTAATTGAATTTATTGGAGATTACTCAAGTAAATTATTATTGAGCTTAATCATTTTCTAACAATTAATTCTTCACTTGTTAGGATAAATTAATTTAAATTATTGACTGAAAAAAGTTCGCATAAATTTTAATTAAATAACCTTTAATTTATTAATAAAAACTTTTAGGGGTAGGATAAAATTCAAAAGATAAAATGTCCCACATTTATTCTTATTTTATTATCATTCATTTTTACTAATAACCTAAAAAAGAAGGTTCTTATAGATGCTACAGAGCCTGCTCTCTCTCTCTAGAAAATATTCATGCATTTAAGAATTATCCTTCTAAGTTAAAAATAAATTTCAAAACTTAATATTTTAGTTTTTTTGATCATAAATAAATTTCATCTTTCTATTTTCCTAATAAATGATGTATAGATAGTATATTTTATGTAAGAAAAGAAATATTAAACTTCATAAATAATAAATAAATAAAAAAATAATAATAAATTAAATCTAAAATCAACTCAAAAATGAAAATTTCTGTCTTTGCTCTCCTTGTCCTCGTTGTATTATCTGTTTTTGCTACTGTTGCTAAAGCTTAAGATGAATAAAAAAAAACCATAAAAGTATACAATAAGACTGAATATAAAGTTAAATGCCTTATTGGTGAAAAGGGCTGTGATTGCTGGTCATGCAAAAGTTTTGATGAAATTTTGAAATGCAAATATACTTGCAATCATGATTGAATAAAATCATATAAATTATAATAATAATTAATTAACTTTTACATATTATAATTTTATATTTGTAATTAAAATATTAAAATATTAAAAACAAATATCCTCAAAACTTTTCTATTTCTTTATAAAATATCTTTAAATATCACCATATTATTTGCATTTGTAAAAAAATAAAATAAACAAATGAATGAAATAATGATGCATGCTTCAAAAGTAAATTAATTTTTGATATCATAAAAAAACATAATTAATTAATTAATTTTTGGTAGATGATTGATTTATTTTTATCATATCATCTTTTTAAATAATATTAATCTATTAAATTGCAAGGATACTATTAAAAAATATTAAATAAGCTGAATTTTTTTATGAGAAATATAAATTTAAACACATTTTCTCTATTGAAATTAGCTCATATATGTATGTGTAGATGATTATCTTCTCTTTATAATCAATCATTTTCTATTTATTCAAGGCAAATTTAATATGAGACTTTTAATTTAAATAGAAATAGAGGATTCTAATTTATTATTTTTATGAATCAATATTTCGAATGAATTTGAGAAATTATATTTTATAAGCATAAAAAATTCACTCATACATACATACATATTGTAAATAAATAACATTATGATAGATCATAATTTATTTATTAATAAAGCGCAGATCCAATTTTATTCTTTTGTCAATATATTTAGATGAAAAAAGCAAATAATCAACATATTTGTTTCATAAAATAAAAAAAATCACTTATTTATTTTTTATTGTTTTTTAAGATAATTTTATTAGCATAAAAATTGATAAATGGAAATATAAATAAATATATATACTTGAATAATTTATGTGAAATAATTTTAATTAAATTACTAAAATGATAAAAAATTAAGATATAAAATTTTCTCACATAGTTACAAATTATTCATTATATTCAATTTAGTGTATTAAATTATTTTAAAATAGCTAATAATTTCATTATTGATCGCAAATGTAATAAGCTACAAAATTATTATCAACTAAAATATAGTACCAGCAACTGCAATCAGTATTATTAGGATCATATACAATGCAACATTCTCCAGTAAAGGGATTGCATATTTTTTTTGGGGGATTTGTTGGAGTAGTATTGTTGTTATTACCACTTCCTGAATTAGTGGAGTTAGTATTTGTACTATTACCACTTCCTGAATTAGTGGAGTTAGTATTGGTATTATTGCCACTTCCAGAATTAGTGGAGTTAGTATTGGTATTACCTGAATTAGTAGAGTTAGTATTGGTATTATTGCCACTTCCAGAATTAGTGGAGTTAGTATTGGTATTACCTGAATTAGTAGAGTTAGTGCTGTTTTTACCTGCATTAGTGGAGTTATTATTGGCATTACCTGCATTAGTAGAGTTAGTGCTGTTATTAACCACATTAGTAGAGTTAGTCTTTGTATTAGTTGAGTTGTTATTATTAGCATTACTAGCAGCAGTAGAATTAGTATTATTTTATCCTTTTGCAGTGTTATCAACAAATTAAAGATTTCTCATATTAATAGCATAACTCAAGTTGAGCAAAGTAAGTAAAAGTAAGGAGACAAATAATTTATTCATTTTACTTTATTTTTTTTTATTGATTATTATATTTATAATGAAATTTATTTATTTCTGTAAATACTAAGTCAATTATGAATTTATTTAAACTGAAAAGATAATAAATATAAATTCCATCATCATATTATTTAAAAAAAGTCATGAATATAAAGTATTAGATTATATTTAATCAGCAAAAGGTTTCTATTTGGAGTATTTTAATAAAATCTATCTTTAATTTGATTTAAATCTATTAATTCCTACCCCCTTTAGTTTCGTAATTGATTTTACCAACAATTAATGTTTGAAAGCATTTTTAATTAACATTATTAGAAGACTACTTGAATTTATAAATTTGTGGTTTATCTTATTGAACAAATTAATAATTTTACAATAGACTGACTGTTAATTATTTTATCTTAATCTTATGTAAATTAGAAACTAATTAGTGGCTTTAGCCTATATATTTTAATTTAATGGACTAATAGACTAAATATTTTTTGGTCTTAATGAATAGTTAGTTGATGGTATTTTTAATTATTTTCTATGCATATCATGCTAACTAAGCAGAATACTTTAGAAATTTCATGATATAATTTTTTATTTTTTGAAAATATTTTTAAAATTGTGCGAATATATCTTATTTGCAATGATAGGATAATTTTCGTTATTATTACTATTTTAAGTTTGCATATAAATCATTTATGTTCTTTAATTGAAAGAAGGAAAAATATATTTCATCTAAGAAATTTAGATTATTTTAAACCAATTTACAATTATAATTTTAATATAAAATAGATTTACATAACAATATATAAAAATATATTTAACATTATCAAGATGTTACTCTTTAGTGTAAATTATTAACTAAATTTAACTTTTAATGATTTTTGTAAAATATTGTAAGCTATTAATATAATCATATATTTTTAAGATTCAGTGAATATTTCTAAACAAATAAAATTCTACCACGAAGGTTTAATGTACTTGAATGTATACAATGTCTTAATTTTCATTTTAAATCTTTTGCTAAAATGAAGTAGAGGCTTAAAAATTTTTAATGCGTAAGAAAAGGTTGAATACAGAAATCTCTAATAAATTAACAATTTAATTGTATTTTTATTAATTATAATCTATAACCATTTTTTAAATAATCACAAAAATAAATACCTTGAATCAATTAATGTATTAAAAGTGAACTCAAAATATCATTTGAATTTCCTATTCTCATTACAAATTTTTCTAAGTTTTTTAATTACTTTTTACTTTTTTGATAATAGAGTTTTTGATTTGAAAATTTTGATACAAATTATTCAAAATATATGCATGAATCAAATATTTTAAAGTAAGATATATTTATATTTTCTTTCTTTCTTGCTTCATTCAGTTCACCTTAATACCTCATAATTAACATTTACCAAAAAATAGATTTTTTTTATTTCTGAAACACTAATTGTGAGGCCTAATTTTTTGCACAAATTAACAATGTTGCCCAATATACACAGGTTTTACTGTTTATATAAAATTGTTTGAAATTACTATCAATTTTTAAAAATTAATTTATCTATTTCATCTATTAGGAGCTGATTAAGTTTATTTATTGAAGTAAAACTTAGCAAAAATATATTTTACTTTTAACTTAATTTTTATTTTTACCATTTTCAGCTTTAAAAAGGTATTTCTTTTATTAATTCTTTTAAAAATAACTTTATTTATTCATTTTTCCTTTATATTTTAGTTTTTTCTTTTATTTTGATTTTTTTTACTAAAATATATTAAAATTATTGTTATTCTGAACTGAATTATGAGGTTAATTTTGGTTATATTCCCTTTAGCTTAGATAAATCATTAAAAATGATATTAAAATTAATTAAAATAGGGATATATTTGTTATGCTACTACAGCAAAAGGCAAAGTACATAATATGAATTTTTATAAAATAAAATCTAAAGTTAACCAACTCAATTTTCTTACTATTGTATAGCTTGACAATAATAAATATATTTATTTTACTTTCTTTAATAAGTTTTTTACAAATTAAGAAATCTTTTAAATCAAATTATTTAAGAATGACTTAGCTCTCCTTATTGGTTAATTATCTAATTTAAATTAAATGATTTAAATTTTGTGTTAAAATTGAGTTTTTATAATTCATTTTATTTTATATTAATAGTTTCTATTTCAAAAATAATATCTTCAATTATCAAATTATAAATAAGATATTGGTTTTAAAAATAAAGTTTGTATGATCAAATATTTTAGAAAAACATCTATTGCTTTTCAAGAAAAAAAATTTATTAATTTATATTTTTATGTTATTTGTAATAAATAAAATTAAAGCTTTTAATAGAGCATATTGAATTATTGTCTTTTTGATATTTATATTTTTAAATAATTAATCAGGTCAAAAACAGAACATAAATAATTAATTTAGTTCAAAAAATAAATAATAAGGAAATATTTAAAGAAATTTAGATTCAGAAAAGATGATAGATGATACATGACAAGTTATAATATTTTCAAAATGTTAAATTTAAATAGTATTAGATATAAGCTAAAATTATAATATTTAATAAATAATTTATATAATTAACATATTTAAAAAATTAAGAAAATTTTAAATTATATTTGAAAATTAAAGTAGAATTTCTTCTTAATTTTTTAATAGAATACTTACAAATTACTGTTTTATAGAAACTTAATAGTATTTAGTGGAGGTTAAATATTAAATTATATTACAGTGTTCATAAAACAGTAATGATAACTCATAAGCTAACAGAGATGAACAATCAACAAATAAAAAATATAACTAAATCTTTTCAGATTTACCAATTAACCAATTTTTCTATTGATTCTTTAAATTAAATAAAAGAAAAATCATATTAAAAAATATTATTTGTTGCTTAGCAACAGGCAGGAAATTCTACTTTTAGAAAAATAGAAAAAATTTTCATACCATTCAAGTTTGTTTTTTCTTTTATTTAAGAGAAATTATAAATTAATAAGGAATTATTAATTAATTAATTAAGAATTACATTTTAATTTTTTACTTATTTTATTATTTTAAAAATTTTTATATCATTAAGAATTACTAAAATTTATTGAAAGATTTTAAGTTAAACTGAGCTATTATTTTTTTTACTTTTATTAGCTAAGTCTTTATTTTTATTTTTTGGTACTTTAAAAGGAGTTTTATTTTTCATCTTCTGTTAAAAAGCTTCTCTCTTTTTTTCTATTTTATATTTTGTTTTGATTTATATTTTTATTATCTATTTTTTCTTCAATATTTTCTAATAATTAAGGAAATTCTGAATAACTTTCTGAGTTAGCTGCTTGATTGTTACTTATTTAACTTATATTTAAATTTTAAAACTAATTAATTTATCTTTCCTATTAGTCATCATCTATTAATATTTTATCTTATTAGAAATATTGAAATTATTGTTCTAAAAATTTTGAAATATAATCAAAAAAAGTGTATCCTTAATTGCAAAGTCCTATGTGAGATTTTTAATAGCAAAGGTTGCAAATATTTTATTGATATTAACCTTTTCTATAGAGATTTATTTCTAATTAAAACTAAGTTAATTAATTGATTTTTTTATATAATGGCATTTAACTAATTCCACCATATGAAAATTAATTGAGACTAAGTTGAACAATTTCTTTCCATTTTTGGCATTTTTAACTGTACATTTCAAAATTTCCTATACAAAAGAAACCTATTTTAGCTCTTGAAAATGCTACGTTAATTCTTTGTAATTCAGTTATATAACCACATTTATTTTTTTAATTTGATCTGACGCATGAAAGAATAATAATATCATTCTCATTTCCTTAAAATTCATCAACGGTATATACTTCTATTTCAGGTAATTTTTTAAGTTTACATTGAATAAGCGTTTTTTAAGATTTATACATAGACAGAATAGTTATATTTTTTTGCTTGTATTTATCTGATAGTCTCTTAGCCAAAAACTTAATATAATACACCTCAAATTCGTTTAAGTATGAGCCTTCACTCATTTTTTACTCTGGATAAGTATGAGGAAGAAGATACATGCCAACAGTTGATAATTCCCTAACACAACTCCTATTATTAACAACTCGATCATCTTTATATTCATTACCATAAAATAACCTAGTAAAGTTTGCTAACTCAGGTCTCATTCTTTTTTACTAGTAGAGAGTAACAAAATCAATTTTATTCACTTTTATTAATCTTTCAAAGTAAGACATTCCATAATTAAATTCTCTTATTAATGATTTAGCTCTTATAAGTGGTTTAAGTTATTAATGATCTCCAAATTAAATCAAATGTTTTATATTTGGAGTTAAAATTGGGAAAAATTCACTTTCATTAATTTCACTAGCTTCTTCTACAACAATTATTTCTGGTTTGAGAATCTATAAGGCTTAATAATAAGTGTGATAGCCAGTAAAAGTCATTCCTATAAAATAAAAAAAATATTTGTTTAAATCTTGAAGTACTTTATAACAATTAATGTTTGTTTAAAATTATTTTTCTGTTAATTTCCATTAATTCTAAGATGTAAAATGAGAAATGAATAAAACATTTTAATTTATGAATAAAAAATATACCAATAAATTAAAATTGTTCTTGTTTAATGAAGTCCGATAGTCTCAATTAGTATTTTTTCTCATGAATTTCATAATTTTTCAAATTAGATTATTCATAGTTTCTCATTTCTTAAAGAAAATTTTCAATTTCTTATTCTTTTATAAAATTTTAGAAAGATAAATTGTCAAGACTTTCTTCCAATTGAGAATTATTTACTGAATAATAATCTTAATTTTAATCTCTTTCTAAGTAATCTTAGAGCTTTTTATCTATTTATTAAAATCCTAATGAGTATATTTACTTCCTTTAAGGACCTCCTTATTTTTCAATAGTGTATTTTTTCATTTCTTCAAATGCAGTTTAATATCCAAGTCTTAGAAGTTTTATTTCTGGATTTATTTTTTCTAAGTTCTTTAGAAGCGAATCAAGAGAAATATTTTTTTTACTTATGATTAAAATGGGTTTTTTGCAATAATTATTTTTTAAATTTTATAGAGTGTGGATTAAGTGGCTTGCTAAGAATGTTTTTCCTGTTCCTGGTGGTCCTTAAATCACAGCGTTTTAGTTAAATAGAGCATATCTCAACGCTTTAAGTTGATATGAATCTAAGTTTACTTACTTCTATATAACTTCTTCTATCGACTATATAAATGATTCTTTTAAATCATCTCTCCCATTCAAAAAGCTGTATTCTGGAAACTTAGATTCTCCTTTTTCACCTTTAACAGTTTGATCATAAAATTAAATTTGTTACAATTAAGCAAATTTTTATGAACAGTTTAAGGTTTATTGTAATGAATACCAGTACTCATGAGGAGTAAGCAGAATGTAATTTTTATTCTAGATTTTATATAATAAAACTAATTAAAAATGGTTATTATTAAATTTAGATATAATTAAAATTTTAATAAGATTACAATATTGCTAATGTTAACTAAAAACTCCTCGATATCGCTTAATACATTCATTTTTATCTAAAATGTTTAATTATATGTGGTAATATCAAAATCATCATAGTTTTCTTTTAAGATATCCTCTACTTCCTTTACGTCTTCTTTTTTAATGTCTTTATAGATGTCTTCTTAAAGAATATTTTCTATAAGAAGGTTAAAGCTTTCATTCTGTAAACTTGATTTATCTAGTTTACTTTGAGATTGCTACTTTTTATTTTAGTCAACTGTTTTTCCTACAAAATACTTTTTCGATTTCTTGTTTACAAAAATCATAATTTGATTATTTAAGATTTCCCACTACTTCTACTTCTACTAATACTTTTATATTTTCATTGAGGTTTTTACAGTTAAAATTAACCCACTTTGATTGAATTGCACATTACTTACTTAGTATTCTTAAATCCATTGAAAATCTTCATAAGTTGATTCTTATCTTTCGTTTTTCAATCCATTTTCTAGCTTAAAAACATTTTATCTCAAAGAATGTCTTAATTTTTTAAAGAATCCTTTTTTAATTTTAAGTTGAACTTATTAGATTTTAAAAGTTAAAGTTTATTTTACTTTCTTATTCTAATGTATTCATAGTTTTTTAATAGGTTTGTAGATCGTTGAATAAGTAATCTTCTGGAATAGATAAAACCTATGCATAGGGGTTTTAAAATAGGTTCATATCTGGAAAATCAATGTAATTTTTGATCTAAAATTCTCTCACAGAATCTGAATCAATTGAACTTTATTCTTCTTCGCTGTTCATAGAATTGTTTTATATTTCATCATCATCAAATGAACTATTTTAATAGTTGTCGTTTTCTGATTAAGAAGACTACGAAAAACTTCTACTATTTATAATAGAAATTGAGTTATTTTTTTGTGGCATTTTTTACTTTTTTTATTTGTTTTTTTTTGTGTTTTTATAATTATTATAATTCTTCTACCAAAAAATTGAGAAAATTTAAATTGAATTATTCTACTATGAAAAAAACTTATCATAGATAAAACTTTGTTGTGCGCTATAATTAGACTGAGTTTATAATAATCTCAATCTCCTATAAATTATCTATTCTTATTTTTTTAGGTTTCACATTTAAGTAAAAAACTATTAAGCTTCTGATAGATCCTAATTATGCATTTAAAATTGTTCATTTTTAGGTAAAAAAGAATTTTAGAAATTAATACTAACTCTCAAAGAATATTCATATTTTCTAGAATAATTATTTTTCTTAAATTCTCAACAAGTATTAGTATTTATAAATCGATTAAAAATTTTTATAATTTTATAAAATATTTTTTATTTATGTAAATTAATAAAAAGAATTATATCAGTAAATAATAGATAATAGTAATTTGTTTTAAAAATGAAGTTTTTGAGTTTATATTGGTTTAAAAATATTTACAAAGCTTAGTATTCGATATTTGCTTATATTTCTAATAGAATAAATTCTAAATTTGATTGGATTAATCTGTTGTTTAGTTATATAAATTTTTAGGCTTCTGATTGTTCCATAATAATAGCTCTAAAAAGGAATCATAGAAAAGAATTTTAGAAACTTACAACAAATCTTACGATTTTCATATTTTCTATGTTCATATTTTTTCTTAAATTATCTATCTATATTCATTAATTGACTAAAATATTTAGAAGTTTTAAAAATATTAAAAAAAATTGTTCAAAATCTTTCATTTTTGTAAGTTAATAAGTAGAATTAAAAATTAAATTATAAGTAATAATTTTAACTTTTAAAAATGAAGTTCATGAGTTTAAAAATATTTTTTAAAGCATTTAAAAGATTAAATGTTTGATATTTGTTTAAATTTCTAATAAAATAAATTTGAAATTTAATTTGATTATCTATTGTTTAGCTACAAGAAGATTTTATCCATTTTTTTTACTCTTCTAAAATGAATTATCAAAATAACATACATCATTTTAAACCAAATAATGAATAAAATTGATTTCGCAAGAGTAAAAATACAATTTTAGTATCTAATAAAAATAATATTTAAAAATGTAGATTTTCTTTGTAAAAAAATGGGACCATCACTGATAAACAACGTATTTCAAATTTGTCTCATAATTAGGTAAAAAAATAAATCATAAATTTTATTAATATTAGCAGAATTAATCAAAATAGTAAAATTCATAAATAGTCTAAAACAAAAAGGAATATGATTAAATTAAAATTGGTGTGTTTAATTTATTAGATAAATTATTCTAATTTAAGAGTTTTATGAAAATAATTCACAAATGTAAAAAATAGATAATATATCAATGTAAAATTTGAAAGTCCAGTAAAAATATTTTTATCTGAAATTTTAAAATAAAATTCTATTAATTGTATGTATATTTCTAACTCAAGAAAAAATTTTATGAGAATAACTATTTATTTATTGTATTTAAACTAAAATTAATAAATTTAAAAAATATCTATAAAATTATTTAAATAATATAAATATCAATCTGCCTATATCTATAAGTACTTTAAAATAAATTCAGAGGGTGGATGGGAGATAAAATAATTAAATAAAAGAAAAAATCATATTAAAAGGGTTATTTGTTGATTAGCAGGAATCTCTACAATTGAAAAATAAAAAAAATTTTCATACTGTTTTGGTTTTTTTCATATATTTTAAGAAAATTATAAAAAAATAGCAATATGGAATTATTATTAATTTATTAAGAATTATTATAATTTTTATTATTTAAAAAATAAATTTGTTTATATCATTTTGAATTATTTTAATTTATTGATAGATTTTAAGTTTAATTGAGCATTTATTTCTTAGGCTTTTTGCTAAATTTTTATTTTTATTTTTTTGAACTTTAAAAAGAGTTTTCTTTTTCGTCATCTATTAAAAAATATTTTTCATTTTTTCTATTTTATATTTTGTTTTGGTTTATATTTTTATCTTCCTTTTTTTCTTCCATATTTTATAATAATTAATCAATTTCTGATTAACTTTCTGAGTTAGCTGCTTCGTAGTTATTAATTTAACTTATATTTAAATTTTAATACAAATTAATTTATCTTTCCTATTAGTCATCAGCTATTAACGTTTTTTCTTATTAGACATTTTGAAAGTTATGTTCAAATATCTTTAAAAAATGATCATAAAAAGTGATATCTTAATGAGCTTAATAACAAAATCCTATGTGAGATTTTTAATAGCAAAGATTGCAAATATTTTATTGTTATTAGCCTTTTCTATAGAAATTTACTTCGAACTAAAACTAAGTTAATTTATCAATTTCTTTATATAATGGCATTTAATTAATTCCACCATATGAACATTAATTGAGACTAAGCTTAACAATTTCTTACCATTTTTGGCATTTTTTACTGTACATTTCAAAATTTCCTATACAAAATAAACCTATTTTAGCTCTTGAAAACGCTACATTAATTCTATGAGGTTGAGTTACAAAACCACATTCATTGTTTTTGTTTGATCTAACACAAGAAAGAATTATAATGTCATTCTCATTTCCTTAAAATTCATCAACAGTAAATATTTGTATATTCACTAAATTTTTAAGTTTACTTTGAATAAGCTCTTTTTAAGATCTATACATTGACAGGATTGTTATATTTTTTTACTCATATTTTTCTTTGTGATTTTATTTTTTAATTTCAAATATTTTCTTAACCAAACGCTCAATATAATATACCTCAAATTGGTTTACGTATGAGCCTTCACTCATTCTTTAATCTGAATAAGTATGAGGAACAAGATACACACCAACGGTCGATAATTCTGTAGCACAACTCCTTTAATTAACAACTTTATCATCTTTATATTTATTACCATAAAATAACCTAGTAAAGTTTGCTAACTCAGGTCTCATTCTTTTTTACTAGTAGAGAGTAACATAATCAATTTTGTTCACTTTTATTAGTCTTTCAAAGTAAGACATTCCGTAGTTAAATTCCCTTATTAATGATGTATTTCTGATAAGCGGTTTAAGTTACTAATGATCTCCAAACTAAATTAAGTGTTTTACATTTGGAGTTAAAATAGGGAAAAATTCACTTTCATTAATTTCACTAGCTTCTTCTACAACAATTATTTCTGCTCCCAGAAGCTACAAGGCTTCAAAATAAGTGTGATAGCCAGTAAGAGTCATACCTATATTATAAAAAAAATAAAATATTTGTTCAATTATTATTTTTGTTTAAAATTATTTTTCTATGAATTTTAATCTAAAAAAAAAAATAAATGATAAAATTTACCAATAAATTGAAATTTTTTCATGAAGCGAGATAATCTTTATTAGTGTTTTCTCTCTTATTCTACATAATTTTTCAAATTAGACTATTCATAGCTTCTCATTTCTTAAAGAAAAATTTCAATTTCTTATTCTTTTATAAAATTTTAATTATGAACACTTTCATCTAATTGAGAGTTATTTACTGATTAACTATCTTAATATTAATTTCTTTTTAAGTAACTTTAGAGCTTTTTATCGATTAATTAATATCCTTCTTCGTATATTTAAAACTTTAATGGACCTCCTTATCCTTGAACAGTATATTTTTTCATTTCATTAAAATCAGTTTAATATCCCAGTCTTAGAAGTTTTATTTCTGGGTCTATTTTTTCTAAATTCTATAGAAGCTAATCAAGAGAAATGTTTTTTTTACTTATAATTAAAATGGGTTTATTGCAAAACTTATTTTTTAGAATTTATAGGGTATGGATTATGTGGCTTGCTAAGAATGTTTTTCCTGTTCCTGGTGGTCCTTAAATCACAGCGTTTTGGTTATTAAGAGCATATTGCAATGCTTCAAGTTGGTATGAGTCTAACAAATCTTTCTTTTTATATATTTCTTTTTTTATCAACTGAATTTATGATTTTTCTAAACCATCTCCCCAATTTAAAAAACTGTATTATGGAAACTTTGATTCTCCTTTTTAACCATTAACTGTTTGATCCTCAAATTAAATTTGTTTCAATTAAGCAAATTTTAATTAGCAATTTAAGCTTTATTGTGTTTAAAACCAGTACTCATGAGGAGTAAGCAGAATATAATTTTTATTCTAGATTTTACAAAGTAAAAAATTAATTAAAAAAAGTTATTAATAAATTAAGATAAAAGTAAAATTTTAATATGATACAATCTAACTGATGTTGACTAAGAACTCCTTGATATCACTTAGCACATTCATTTTGATTTCAAATGTTTAATTCAAGTTGATAATATCGAAATCCTCATTATTTTCTCTTAAGATATTCTTTACTTTCTAAATCTCCTCGTATTCTGCTATTTTTTTATCGATTTATTTTTAAAGAGTATTTTCTATAAGAAGGTTCAAGTTTTCATTCTTTTATAAACTAGATTCATCTTGTTTTTTACTTTCAAAAGGAAGAATCTGCTACTTTTGATTTGAGGTAACTATTTTTCCAACAAAATACTTTTTCGATTACTTGTTTACAAAAATCATAATTTGGTTTGGTAAGGTTTCCCACTACTTCTACTAATACCTTTATATTTTCATTGAGGCACTTACAATTAATATTAGCCCATTTTAATTGAACTCTATATCAATTACTTAGTATTCTTAAATCCATTGAAAACTATCATAAGTTGACTCTTCTCTTTTATTTTTCAATTTATTTGTTTCCTTAAAAACATTTTCCCTCAAAGAATGTCTTATTGTTTTGAAGAATCCTTTTTAATTTTAAGTTGAACTTATTAAATATAAAAATTTAAAGTTTATTTTACTTTCTTATTCTAATTTATTCATTGTTTTTTAATAGGTTTGCGAATCATTGAATAAATAATCTTCTGGAATAGGTAAAACCTACCCTTTAGAGTTTTAAAATAGGTTCATATCTGGAAAATCAATGTAATTTTCAGACTAAAATTCTCTCTCAGAATTAGAATCTGACTCAATTGAACTTTATTCTTCTTCGCTTTCCATAGAATTATTTTATATCTCATCATTATCGTCATCTGTTGAACTATTTTAAAGGCTATTGCTTTCTTATTAAAATAACTAAAAAATGTTTCTATTGTTTATAGTAGAATATGAGTTATTTTTATGAGGCATTGTTTATTTTTTTTTATTTGCTTTTTTTTCGTGTTAAAAATTATTATTTTTTTCTTAATTATCACCAATATATAAATAAAAATATTAAAAATAAAAGTATTTTATAAAGTAGTTCGAAATTTTTATTTAATAAGATAATAAAAGAATTACATCATCAAGTAATAAGTAGATAATAATATACGAGTTAAAAAATGAAGTTTTTGAGTTTAAATATATTTTTAAAAACTTTTATAAGATTTGGTATTTGATATTTGCATAAATTTATAATAGAATAAATTCTAAATTTAATTGGATTCATCTATTGTTCAATTACAAAAAAGCATTAGATTTCTGATTGGTTCATGTAATAATATTAAAAATGTATCATTTAGGTAAAAAAGAATTTTAGAATAATAATTAATCAAATAATATTCTTATTTTTTAAAATAATTAATTTTCTTAAATTCTCAACAAAGTATTCAAATATTGATTAGAATATTCAGAATAAAAACATAATAAAAAATAATTCAAAATCTTTGAGATAATATAAGAATTAGATCATTCATTAAGTAATAAATAATAATATATAGGTTTAAATATGAAGTTTTTGTGTTTAAATATATTTTTAAAAGCATTTATAAGATTTGGTATTTGATGTTTGCTTATATTTCTAATAAAATAAACTCTAAATTTAATGGATTCATCTATTGTTGAATTATAAAAAAGCAGCATTAGGTTCCTTCATAATAATACAAATCAAATTTTTTAGGTAAAAATGAATTTTAGAAAATAATAACTAATAGTAGAATATTCAAATTTTATAATATAAATATTTTTCTTAAATCCTCAGTAAGTATTTATTTATTTATTAATTGGCTAAAATACATAGAATTTTTAAAAGTATTTTGAAAAGTTGTTCAAAATCTTTCATTTTGTAAGTGAATAAATAGGATTACATAATTAAGTCATATTTTTTGTTTTAAAAATGAAGTTTTTGTGTTTAAATATATATTTAAAAACATTTAGTAGATTAATTGTTGGTTATTTGTTTAAATTTTTGATAAAATAAATTCTAAATTGAATAAGACTGACTATCCATTCTTTAGTTACAAAAACATATTTTCCATTTTTTTAGTTTTTTAAAAATGACTTAGCAAAATATCATCATTTCAAAATTATTAATTTCAAAAAAACGAATAAAATGAATTTTGCAAGTATAAAAATACTACTTTATCTAGTAAAAAGAATTTCTTTATATGCATATTTATTTAGTAAAACTAAGAGATCATCCATCACTAATAATCAATACGCTTTCAACATAGTCTCATAATTAGGTAAAAAATAAATTATTAATTTTGTTAATATCTGTTGAATTTAACAGAGTAGAAAAATTCATAAATAATAAAATATAATAAGGAATATTATTAAATTATTACATTGATTTGTTTAACTTATTGAATATATAGTAATATGAAATTTAAAGTTAAGGTTTAGTAAAAATATTTTTATCTGAAATTTAAAAAAAAATAAAGAGATTATTCATACAAGTTTTAATTTTGGCTGATTAGTTATATCTATTCAGCACAGAATCTAAATAAATTTATATTTATAAGCATAAAAATTGAATTTTAGGTCATATTTATTATGTTTTTTTGTTTAATGTACTATTATTTATCATATATATACCATAATTACTTTATTACTCCTGAATATGGAAAAATCCAAATAACTTTTAACAAAAATAATAAGAAATTGAAAGAGTATTGGTTTTTTACAAAATTTAAAAACCTGAAACCTCCCTTTTCAAATTAACTTCTTAATTTTTATTTTTATGATTAATAGAACAATTCCAGAAAATTTTTAATTAATTATATGTTTTAAATTTTTCATTTAAAATTCCTAATGCATTTAATGGCTAGGCTTGTAAAAATGTACGGGAATTAGGTATATCTTGGTCAAGATGAAATGAAGTTTATTACAGAAATAAACTAAAATAAATAGATAGACGAATGCCTGTTGAGACTGAAAAGGAAAAGAGAAGGAAATCATATAGAAGAAACAAAATTTATTCAATTCCTAAAAAGCATAACAAATATAAGATTGCCAGAATTAATAGAATAATATAACAACAAAGATGTAGAATAGATAGATATCAAAGACACTATTCTTAGCAATGATCTTTTATGAAGCAAGAATAATATCAGAATTAGATATACTATGGGTAATAAATGCAGTAAAACTTGGAAAGGAAGACCATCCTATCGTTATAAAAACTTTGAAACCAAATAATGGGAAACTATTATTGAAGTTTGATGATAGTTATTTACTTGTATAGAAATGACCTGGAGAGAACTATATTTTAGCAATATCAGAAACTGATAAATGGGTTTTAGAAGGAGAAGACAATTTTGGTGAATTTAAAATAATTGAATATATAGAATAAAAAATAGAATTTTAAAAAGAAATTTAAAAAGGCGAAGTAAGGTAAGAAAAATATAAATTAATTTTAGACGAAATAGAAAGCAATAAATCAGAAGATGAATGTTTAGAAAACACAGAGACGAAAGATTAAGGAATAAAATAAATATTATCTTTGAGCTATTTTGAAGAAAAAAAATGACAAAGAAAACAATATGAAAAAACTCAATTAATATTAGAAGATAAAAGAATTGAAATAGTAAAAATACTGACCTAAAATAATTAAAACTATTAAAAAAAAAACAGGTTTAGAAAGTTGGATTGAAAAACTGGGCTGGAGTAATTTTTGAATTTGATTCAAATGAAGAAAATTAACCACTTGAAATTTACAGATAAAAAAAAAGAAAGGATGAATGAATGAATGAATGAAAAAAACAAAACCTTAAAATCAAAAATGAAAGAAGAAATAGAAGTAAACTTCTTTAATACTTAACAAAAAATAAAATAAAGCTAAGAAAAAAAAAGAAGAGAAGGGGAAGAACTAAGAAAAAATTATGAATAATTCAGATAGGTAAATATACAAAGTGTTGAACCATTTTAAGAATCAAATTCTTTTGTTAGTTCAGGTTCGAAACCTATTTCGATATTAGAACTTATTTTATTTTATATTTTAAAGTAAAAACATAAAAAAAATAAAATTCTTATGTTATAGATTTAAGATAATTAAACTAATAGATATTTTTTTATTTATGTAATTACTTAATTTATCAATTTGAAAGAATTATTTTTGAAATTATTAACTTTTTGATATTTTGTAAATAAATTAAATGATAAAGAAAAATACATTTAATAAAAGTTCATAACCTTGCAATTCAGACCAACATTTGAGATAACCTTAGAGGTTGGACTAATTTTTGCTAAATAGTATCAGCAAAATAATACCCTAGTATTTACTTTTCTAATATATCTGAAGTGAAAAAATATGATATCATTCAAAATAAATTTTATTTGAGTTACAAATTACTTTATCCCACCAATGAGCGAAAATAAATGATGATTTTAAGTAAATATATAATATTAAAATTTAAATTTAATGCTAAATAAATAAAATATATTATGTGAAATAGTTTTTAAAATTAATTAACTATCATAAAAATAAATATTTCACTTGGTTTTGGATTTGCTTTTTAATAATTAATTTATTTATAGTAAATATTTTTCTGTTGATAAAATATCACTACGATCTTTATCGTTTAATTATTTTAAAATTTCATCTTTTTGATTTTTATTATTTATATTATCTTGCCTTAACTAATTTATTTAACAACCCTTAAGATCTTTAATTTATGCTTAATTTGCTCTTTATTTAGGGACATGCTCATAGATAATTGAATCTTCATATTACTGTTCGAAAAATTCACAATTACCAATATGAGAACTTTAATTACATAAATTGCAAGTATATTCTTCTTAATAACCATTTTTATTCTAGATTTTTTATAAGCATTTTGTTGTTATAAAGTGGATCTTTTTATAAAGTGGCATTTAACCACCTCCTCCAAAATTAAAATATTTTTTGAAAGCTAATTTATTGATTTGTTTCCAAGTTTAAACCTTCATTTCAAACATAATAAAATTGCCAATGCAGAAAAATCCTCTTTTAGCTCTTGAAAAGGCAACATTTATTCTATGGTCTTCTTTAATAAAACCGCATTTATTTTGAATATTGGATCTAACGCATGAAAGGATAATAATGTCATTTTCATTACCTTAAAACTCATCTACAGTAAAGCTTTGGACAAATTCAAATCCAGATAGTTAGCTTTATATAAGTGTTTTTTGTGATTTGTACATAGATAGTACAGTTATCTATGATTATTTATATTACATAGTTAATTTGCAGACTAAGTTGTATATAAAATTAGCCTCATATTGGTTAATATAAGAACGATCACGCATCATCGTATCAGGATATGTATGTGGTAACAAATACATTCCTATTGTAGATATTTCTTATACGTATTCTAATTTATGTACTGAAGGATCGTCAGTATATTTATCTCCATAAAATAATCTAGTGAAATTAGCAAATTCTGGTCTCATTCTTCTTTATTAATATAAAGTGACCAATTCAACTTAATTTACAGTTATAAGTCTCTCAAAGTATGACATTTTATAGTTATAATTTAATTCTAATTTTTTATCTCTTTAAAATGGCCTGAGTTGTAAATGATCACCTAATTGTATCAAATGTTTTAGACAAGGAGTCAAAATTGGGAAAAATTCGCTTTCTATAATTTCACTTGCCTCTTCAACAACTACTATCTCAGCCTTTAATAGCTACAGAGCTTCATAATGCATGTGATAAGATGTTAATGTCATTCCTTTAACAAAAAAAGTAAATTTTTATTTAAAATTTTTTTAATAAAAAACTTAAAATAGAAAAAAAAAAAACTTTAAAATAAAAAATTTAAAATTAGGCTTTAATTTTTTTGAATTTCAAGGTTAAATTAATTAATTTACCTAAAACTTAATATTCATTTATTTCAATAAATTTTGCAAGCTCCTCTTGATACATCATATCATAAAAAATAGTATTTTTGATATATTATTTACTATATTCCTTCATCAACTTAAGTATTTAATCTAAATATTAATCTTATTAGAAATCATTCATATTTTTTTTTTATAGATAATTTTGAAGTATATCGTTTATTGGGTTATAAAAATGTTAAAAATATTTTATTTTCCTTTGAGGTCCTTCTTATTCTGGAACTCTCAATTATTTAATAAATTAATTTTTAGTCATATATCCGAATCTAAGAATTTTAATAGAAGGATTTTGATCAATAATTTTTAGAAGGAGCTAATCAAGAGAATCATTCTTCTTACTAACAACTAAAATAGGCTTTTTACAAAATTCCTTTTTTAGCTTTATTAGAGTATTAACTAAAAAGGCAGCTAAGAATGTTTTACCAGTACCTGGTGGGCCTTAAATTAAGCTATTTTAATTACTTAAAGCTTTTTAAAGAGCATCCTTTTAGAATTTGTCTAGCTTAGTTGCATTTTATACCTCTTTTTCAATTAATTTTTTATATGATTCTAAAGATATTTTTTATTCGTTAAGAAATTCATAATTTGGAAAAATAGCTTCACCCTTTTTAGCATGAATTGTTTAGTCTTCAAATGCTATAGAAAAATGACATCTAAATGAGATATGACTATTTTAAATTTTTTGGAGAGGAAGATAATATTCATTAGGACTTAAAAGTTCATAGTTATTTTCCTTTAGTTTTATTTTATTTATTAAATTAAATTATTTATATTTTTAAATGAAAATTAAAATGTTAAAATAAGTTACTATGTTTTTGATGTTCTTCAAGAACTCTTTTAAATCATCATTAATATTCATCCTAATTTCAAATATTTGTTAGAAATTAATTAACTTAAATTAATTTTGCTGCTTATTTTAAAGCTACTTTATTAACTACTACTCATTTTTTACTTTGCCATTCAATAAATCATTTACTAATCTTTAATTTTCAATTTAATGTATTATCTACTAATCCAGTTCTTTTCTATTTTCAATTATTTCCTAATCTTAATTATTTTGTGGGACTATAGCTTTTCCTAGGAATATTTTATTAGAGTTTTTATCCTTAAAAATCATCAACTGATTATTTATAATTTGCCACTACTCTTTTTAATATTTGGGTACTTTTAAGGAAGAAAATATTGATAAACAAAATCCATGCCTCTAAAAACCTACTTCCTTAACCTCATATTTTTAAATAGTTTGAAATTGAGAGAAAAGTGATTCTTTATTATCCTTTTTTTTAAGCTATTTAAAATTTAATTACATAGACTCTCTCAACTAAACAAAATAAGCTTTTTAAAATAAAAATTAATAGAAATAAATAACTAGCTAGCTAACTTGTATAATAATTTTACCTTCTACTTGTAGTTTATTCATAGTTTCTTAATATTCCTCTTTATTTTTAAATTCAAAGTTGCTTGGTATTGGAGTCAAGTTATCAATTTATTTATAAAATAGTTGTATATCTGGAAAATCAACATATTTATTTTCGTCTTATAAAGATTAATCAAGAATACTTTATTCATCAGATTTGCCTTCTTATTCATAAAAAACATCATCTTCATCTAAATATTCTTCATTATATTAAGAATCATCATCATCATGATTATACTCCTTTTAATAGGTCGATTGAGTAGTATCTTATTATTCAGAAACATCTTGACTTTCAATATCATAATGAAAAATAGAATTTCCATTCCACATCTTTTTAAATTATTTCAATTTAGCTAATGAAAAACTGCAAAAATAAACTAATCACTTTTTAGAAAAATTAATTTGAGCTAATTTTTTTTCTACTTATTTGATTATTGCTTTTTTATCTCTTAAATAGATAAATATTTTAATTAGAATTTATTCTTTTATCATACACTGATAACTTTTTTGATAAATAAATAAATTAAATTATTAATTAGCACTTATTAAGTAAAAATCTTTCATTTTAAGGAATCATCAGTCTCATCTTCCTTATTAATCAAATATATTAACTTAAATATAGTGAAAATATAAATAAGAATTTATTATTAAAACTACTTCCTAATATTCTTTCTCATAAGTAATATTCAACCTTCTTCATTTATGATAAAATTTAAATTCTTTTAAGTGTAAAATAATTTTAGTTTTTATTTTAATAAATTTTCAATATTTTTAGTATTTAATTTTCTACTTTATTGAAATAAATTGATGAGTGATTTTTGCTTTTCAATAAAATTTGCTGATACTAATTAATGATGAGACCATTTGATATAAAAAAATAAAAGTATTTTATCAAAAGCTTTACCTCTTAAGTTTTCATATATTTAATCAAATTAATTTCTATTAAGACTTTGAATTAATAAATAAAAAATATAAATAAAAGATTTTGAATTTAATTAAAACTAGAAAAATATATTTTTACATTTCACTAATAAAAATCAAGATTGTTTTATTTTTTTTTATTTTACTTCAAAATAAATTAAATATTTTAATTATCATTTATTTTACAAAAAAAAAAAATTAAATTTTAGATTTTAAAAATAAATTTGATAAGATTTTATTATAGTTAATTAAATTATAAGCACATTCAAAATTATATAAAAATTTTAATATAAATTACAATATGATTAAATTAGTTAAGTATTTAAATTAATATTTTTAATATCTATAAAATATAATTAACGTATTTTTGTTTTGTGTTCTAAAAATTATTTTATTTATTGCACAATGATTCTTTTCTATCTATTTAGTTATTTACATTATTCTTCATTTATTTATCAAAATATGTTGCATTCTTGATCTCCATTCATTTTATCACTCATTTATACTGTTGTGCTACCTTATTTTGATAAACTTCTAAATCTACCTTAGGTTTAATTAATAACTTCATTGCTATGGTTGTTATCTTTGTAGTTCATTTATGTGTTTCTTTCCTTTTTTTTAAATTTAATTTAATTATTTTAATTCATAATAAAATATTATTTACAATTCTTTCAGTCATGATTTATTGTTTAACTTCTTATTAGTTTTAGGCAATATTTAAAGGTTTATCCTGACTTTCAAGTTAGTCATTTAAACTTGTGAAATGCCTAAGAAGACCTGAATTAACACTCGAAGGCCTAATTTAAGTAAATTTTGAATCAAATTCTTTATTGCCCTTTATTTCTTAAAACTAATTTTATTAAATTTCTTTAGAGGTATCTGGCTTATTTAATATGCTTTATGATGAGAATTATGGGACTGAATTTGTATGTTTAGTTCTTTTTTCAAGTGTTTTCTTCTGATTATCAATAATATTTTTGTTTTCTTTTTAGCTGTATACAGGTATGGATTTTTCGCTGCGTTCTCTTTAACTTTAAAGGATATGACCCTTTAAGTCGAATGGCTTGTCATTATAGTCAGATCCTCTTTATGTCAAAGAACCTGATTTTCTTTTTTCTGTATTATTGCCAACTATCTAGGTTTGTCCTAAATTTGGGTTAGCTCTCAAGTTAGTGGCTAATAATTCTTGCTTATTCATTGAATGATTAAAAGGTATTTTAAAGTTATATAAGGGATTATTTTGTATTTCTGTTGTATTCTTCTAAGTTTTATCTAAAGAATATGAAGATATTTTGGTGGCATTATTTTTTGAGTTTAAATTGCTTTCAGGCTTATTGAATTAGTTATCAAAGTTATTCATATAGTTATTAGCATTAGAATGCATTTAACTATTTGTTGTATTTTAATTGCTATTTTGAATTTAATGTATTTAGCGAGGCTAGTTTTTAGTGATTTGTTTTAGAAGTAAGGTTGTTTATCCCATTTTTTATGATTAGCATTATTGTTGAGCTTTCAAAGGTTTATTAGAATCATTTACAGAGTTGTGCTAAGATAATTAAGCTAGCTATTATGGATCATTTTTGCTTAGAGTGGTTTTATTTACAGTAGGAACAAAAGATTCATTATTCAAAAAGCTACTTTTATGAGAAGAGTCATGCATTTATTAAGAAAAACTTGTCATCATAGCACCACTAACTCCATTATTATTTGTACCTTAACTTACCTTTTAGATTTTCTAAGTTGGTATTTGAGATTATTCATTTGTCGAATTGCAGCCTTGTGCTATGTAAAATGAAGATAAACCTTTCTTGCATCTTGAAGAGGTGGAGGAAAATTCTTCTATACTCATACTTTACTGAGAAGAACCATTTGATTAGCAGTAAGTCACACTTGCATTTGAGTTATTCTAATTTTATCCAGCAATAGACCCTATCAAGTGGTAATTCATTTAATTTAAATTGGATTTTTTTACATTTTCTTAATGCTTTACACTTTTAACTCCATTTTTTTATAAATTTGAACTGTTATCTTTTTTAATATTCTAATTTTCTTAATCTTTACATTACTTTTCTGGCAAATTATCATTTTTTTAGCTTAAAACATGTTGTTGCTATGAGATATTAGTTTTTCCAGCCAAAACTGAAGCTCTTAATCCCTAAGTAAATGAAGGTTAATGGACTGTAATTTATTGTTCTTATTGTTTTTTGTTGATCTGCATTTGATATGAATCAATACTCTTTGAGTGGTTAGGGTGGCAAGTTAATTGATTATTTGAGCTTTAAACTTATTATTAAGTAGGTGGATTAGAATGCAATGAAGCCTTATTTTTCAAAAATGAAGGCTGAATTTTTAAAATATGATTATTATTGCTTGATAATCCAGACAAGCTCGAAATAATACTTGAATTAGGAGTTTAATTTTAAGATTAATTAAGCTGCTGTATATTCTATGAACTAAGCTTAGTGCTAACCGTTTAGGAAATATCATCATTTTTTGTTAAATTTTATAGTTATTCAACTAAAATGTGTTGTTTTTCTTGCAATTATTTCTGAATTTATTCTTGAGAATTTTATTAGTTCATTATTATTTTTGATTTAAGCAACTTAGTAGCAGAAAGTTTCTTTTAATCCATCGAAGTTCTCTCAACTGAGCATCCATTACCATGAGAAGCATGCTTGCTATCAATTTCTATTTCACAACTGTTTATTCTTTGCAGGTCTTTCTTTTAGTTCTCAAACTACTTGCTATTATTGTTGTTATTTTGGTTATTATTGAAATTTTATTAAAAGGCAATGTTGTCCTACTATAAGAAATCTCTGATAACAACAGTACCTTTTTGCTTTGGCTGCATGGGAGGTTTATTTTTAACTAAAATACTATTTCCACTTTGGCTTTAAATCATTTAACCTTAATTAAAATATGCTTAAATCTAGTTATGAGGATTATAGAATGCTTCGTTTTGTTAATTTTATGGATTATGCAAGTTTGAAAGAGAAGATTAATTGCTAAGTTATTAATTTTAAGAGTGTGAGTAAGAAGAATTATTATTTTAATTTTGCTATTAAAGGTTCTTTTAAATTGAATAATTTGTCAAACTTCCTATATTTCTTGTGTTATTTAAATAATTATTAGTGCTTATTTATTCGTCGTCTTCAGTTTTTTACCTTAAGATAGACATAGAATCAGGATGAGCAGGTTCAGTTGATTTGTTTTCTTCTATGTCACAAGATGTGTAATGCTCAGTGTTAAATGTGTTTGAACTTTCTTTTGAAAAATATTAACTTTCGCCCATCCCATTTTGCTGTCTTTTAGTTTGTGATGTTGCAAAGGTTGCTCCAGCTTGCTTAGAAGCTCCACTAACTAACTTAGTGTTAGGTGTTTATAGCTGAGTTGTTGTTTGAGAGTAGCTAACAGATTTATTATGTTCATTTGAAGAAGTGTTATGCTTTTATTGGTTTTCTTTGTCTCCAACAACACTTAGTTTTACTTGTCTTTTTTCTTAATCTTAGGAAATGTTTTAGTTGGCTACAATATAAGACAAACTAGATATCTTGCTGTCTTTTAAATTACCTTTTTGACTTTCTGGTGATGACTTTTAAGGATTGTTCTAATTAGAATTTATGGAGTTTGAGTAATTTTACAATTTATATCCATCTCGAAGCTATTAAGAAGCCTTTTCAGTTGAAATATTTCCCAATGTACGTAATAAAGTTGCATTATTTTCTTAAAGCTAATTATTTTTTGATTGCATTTCTTATTGATAATCAAGAAGAGATTATTACTTTTTGTTGAGATCAGCAATCGTTTCTTCAAGCTACTTTATTTTTTATTATTGAGAAATAATTGTTTCTCTTTCAGATACCTTGTTTTACATTACTTATTCAAATTCATTTGATGTAAAAATGACATATTTAGCCTAAGAGTATATATGAGGGCATTAAGAGTAAACACTGTTATTGTAAAATACGTAATCGGCATCTTCGCTTTCTCCTTTTAACAAATCTTCTAATTTTTTACTTACTTTTTCTAAATCTGTTTCCTTTTTTGCAATATTCAGAATTGTATTATTTTTGAAATTTAATCCACTTTTTTAAGTTAGTTAAATATTTGATGGGTATTCTCTATAATGTTATCTTGAAGAAATACTCCCATCTTCATTATTTTAGGCATTGCGGGTATTATCTAAGCCGCCTTAGGATAGAGTATGTGCTTTATTATTTTTTTCATTTAATGTTAGTGATCTCTATGAAGGAAGGTCAAATTACTACTGTTAAGCAAAAGTGCGATCCCTTTCAGTTAGCGGTAAAGAACTTGATGAATTATGTCTTGCGTGATAACTATGTGCATTATTATTATTTAGATTATAAAGCGTAGTAATTGATTAAGCATGAGTCCTGTTTGTTAATTAATTTAAATTTGAATTTGATCTATTTGTAAGTAAGTTATTTTTATTATCTGTGTCTTACAATAGTATATCTTAAAAATCTTTACTATCGCTGTTATTAAAAGTTTATAAATTGTTATTGCCTTTGCTTTATCTCTTTGTATTGTTGCTAGGCGAAGTAAGCATATAATCAATAGAGTTTTCGTTGCTAATATATTTTTTTATTTCAATGTCATGCTTCTCGCTCTCCTTAGCAATTTTAGCTATGTTTTCTATTTTTCTCCCCAAGTTTTCTAAAATGCTATCATAATTTTTTGAATGAAATTTCTATTCCTCGTTTACTTTTATATCTTGTTATTACTACTGTTACTGTATGTTCGACTATTAACCTTTTTCATCAAAGCTAGGCTAATATGTATATGTTACAGGAATGAAATTATAATCTTAGCGCTCCTATTACTATGCATATTTAAACTCTATTCTATTCTGATCATTTACTTGTCCATTTCTGTAGTGATAATTTGAAACCTCCAAAGATTTGGAGTTAGCGCTATAAGTGCTTTCGTTATTTTAAAAGAAGCTATGTGGATTGTTGCAATAGCTTTAATTATTTACAACAACATTTTAATCATCAGAAACTGTAGCAACTGCTTACAATCCTTAAATACTCCCAAAACAGCCATTCTAAGAAGAATTCTCAGCCTGAGAATGAGTAAATTACACCTATTCGTGAATATAATTGTTGCTATTTGTGACTCCTCCATTAATACCATTAATAGATGATACACAAGAATTAACAAAATTATTGCTATTGTGAGCAACTTTCTTCATTAAGCTGGAATTTAAATCCTTTTGCATAGCTTGACTAGGCTAAGATAAACTATTTTTGTTAAATTATTCATCATTCTAATTTTTTAAATTCAGATTAGCTTGCATTTGCATCTAAGGATAAGCTATGGGTTGATATTCAAAAAATTATTGCTAGTATTCGAACTATCTTTAAGGTACTTTCTGGCTCATTTAACCAGGATTTATTTCTTTCAACTTGCCTTCTAAATTAAAAAGTAATGAATGTTAGTTTGGCTAATTTTATCTTAATTTTGCTGAAGAAATGCTTGCTTGCCCTATTGAAGTAAAGTAATTTATTTCTTCTACTCTTTGAATTAATTAGATAAATTATATATATATTTTCCTTATTTTACATTCAAAAATATCTCTCCCTTTCAATATTTTTTTCTTATTGATCTTTAAAATTTACTTTGAATTTGATATATTCAATGATCCAAATAAATCAAATCAAAAATTGAGAAATAAATATGTATGTATAAATGAATGAATTTATTAATTAGTTAATTGAATGTAATTGGCATTATCACATATACTCATAAATAACTAAATACATTAAATCAAATGTAAATAGAGAAACCTGTATCAATACAAAGATTTAATTTACTTAATAAATAATTAATAAAACAAACAAACACTTCAATCATTTTCTTTTATTTTAGAAATTCAAATTATATTTATCGTTAATAGTTGTTTAAATGGGTATTATTACTTTATTTATTTACCATATTATTGATACTTAGTTTTCAATCAATTACTCAGTCAATAACAATAACAACAATCAATTATATATTTTAATTATAAATATAAAACTTTAATTTTAAATGAATTTGTATCATTCTAACTATCTAACTAACTTTTTTACTTTCATAATTTTTTTTAACATTAAGTTACTCGTATTTTTTTCTCTAATTTTTTTTAATTAGCTTTCATTAATATTTATTTCCTCCTTTTTTAAATTCAAATTTCATACATAGATTATTTTAAATATTAATTTAATTCCTTAGAAATATCCACTCAATTCTTTCAACCTTCATTATTATTTATGAATTATTTCTTAAAAAGAAATCTGATATTCTTTATTAGCTAATTTTTATTTGATCAATAAAAAATAATTCCCCCACCGGGACTTGAACCCGGGTCTGAAGGGTGAAAACCTTCTATCCTAACCTGCTAGACTATAGGGGATTACAATTATTTTACTAAATAAGCTTTAGAAAGATTAAAATTTTTTGCTTTTTTAATTTTTAAAGATAAAAAGAATTCCCCCACCGGGACTTGAACCCGGGTCTGAAGGGTGAAAACCTTCTATCCTAACCTGCTAGACTATAGGGGATTACAATGTTTTTGCTCAAAAGCTTCAGATAGATTGATTTTTGCAATATGGAAACATTTTTTAAATTTCACCAAATAATCATTTTTTAAATAATTAAATACACTTAATGAAATTAAATTATATTTCTATTAAAATGATAAAATTGTAGAATTATAAAATTAGATTTTAATGAAGTTTAAAAATAACTTATTTTATTTAAGGTAAGAGCAATATATATTATATTTACTATAAAAGTAAATAAATACAATTAATTTTAAATAGATATTTTTAAATTATAAATAATTAATTTGTTACAATAATAATATTTTATGAAAAGATTTGATTTATTGATAGATAGATTCAATAATCATTTTAATTATTTTTCAGTTTTTATATTTAAATTGAGTGATTTTTATATATTTAAGGAATTGCTCTTTAGTATTTTAATGCATTCCTTCACAAGATTATTTATTTTATTGCTTTGCTTGTATGTTAGTATTTGTATTAGGAGATTTTGTGGTACGCATCGGTTCTACAAAATTGTATTATTCTAAATTTTATTAAGTTTCTATTTAATTGTTTGAAGCTGAATATTATGTGTTTTTAGCAGTTTTATTTAGAGCATCTTAATCGTTTTGGTAGTAAAACTATATTTACTGCCTACCTTTGTTCTATGACTCAGGCAACAAACTGAAAGTCTCATTTTCTAACTCCCATTTTATAGGCTTTTCATCTTCTTAGTTTGATAAGCTATACTCATGAGATTCATTTGAAACATAAGTTAATGACAACTGATTATTACTTTTTTATGCTTAATTATCAGTAGCTTTAGAAGAATTATTCATTATTTTATGAGCATGATATTTGTTTGTTTTTTCTTGTTATTTTATAATTATTATATATTTAATTAATATATGGTTAAGGAAATTATTTACTTTGCTATCTGATATTCTTGGTCATCGGGCTTTGACGAGAGGAGCTATTTTTTGATACTTTGACATTTTATTCTTAACTCAAAGTTGTTAACTTAGACTTGCTATTCACTTCTCTGAATATTTTGAAATTTTTAATTACTTGCTCTATCTTATCTTTGGTGCTACTTCCTATATTTTCTAAGTCATATACTGCTGCTACATCTAAAAGCTAATTTAAAATTAATAAATTATTTCTATAGAATTTTTTATTTTTATATTTACTTCTTGTAGGTCAGGCCTTGGAGTTGTTGTTTCTTTAATTGAAGTCAACTAATTTTCAAGAGCTTAAACTTTTTTCTCTAGTTCAGTTTTTTGAAGCTAAATTATTTAAATTTTATTTTCTGACAAGCTGATTTTTTCTTGAAGCTATTTAATTTCAATGACACATTCCTTATATTAGTCATAAATTTTATTATAATTTTCTTTGAGTTCATCATAATTTTTTAATTAGCCTTAGTATTTCTAAAAAAATATTAATTTTAATTATAAATATTATTTATAAACACAAAAAAAGTCACATTTTCAATTGACTGATAAGCAATCGAATCCTTTTATTCCTATCCTTTATATAGCTTTTCTTCAATTAAAGTATCATATTTAATATGGAATTCAAGCATCTATTTCCTTAATTTCTCGCTTTAATCTTATAAGTTATAGTTTTAGAATTCAAGTTACTTAATCTATTTATTTAATTAATTTAATTTTAAAATGTTTTAAAAAGATACAAAACCAAAATAAATGATAAATCAATAATTAACTGCAAAATTACATGAAATCAATTAATATTTTAAAAAATATACCTTTTCTCTTAGCTCTTAGGTTTTTTTAGATAATTCATTATTTTTTTCTTGCTAAAACACTTCAAATTTGATATTTTATTCTTAAATTTATTAAAATAGCTTTTTATTTTCTTGTTCAATTTTTTATTTTTGCTACTCTATAACTTAAAAGTATTGTTATCTAATATTCTCATTTTTTGTAATGTAATCTATCAAAATAATTACAATTTCTCTATATGTGAAGAATTACTAATTTAAATTAATCCCTAATTATTAAAATTTCGATTAGAAAAAATTTAATGAAATATTTAATTTATTTTAATTGTTATCAAATAAATGCAGTTCTACCAAAAGGCTCAGAAGAAGAGGAAGGATAAATTTATTATTATTTTAATGTGTATTTTTCAATTTTATCAAGCAATTCATTGTCATTACAGAAAAGATATAAATCAATAGTATTGACTAATATTTTCCACTCATCCTCATCATGAAGCAATTCAATACAAGTGGGTGAGTATTATTCAGCAAGGCTATTTATTATAATTAAATTTATCAAAAATGAAGCAAAAATGCTATTTATAAGGAAAAAATTAGATAAAAAATAATAACCACAAAAACTATGTTATAACTAGATTATAATGTAAAGATAAAATTCAGTGGATCTGTAATTACTTTTACAACATTATCTAGTAATTGTTCAGTATATTTATTATTTGAGAGGCCAATATTTTTATCTTTTACTTGATGTATAAGCAGACAAAAAAATATAACCCTAATCAAAATTAAGATTAAAAAGAAAATAAATACTTTGTCATTAATTTGAGAATCTTCGTGCTTTGGATAGCCTTTCTCATTGAGAGCTCTTTACTATTTTTCCATTCTTGCTTTAAGTTTGAGAGCTACTTCCATAGCCTGACCTAATTTTAGGTTACAATACTTTTTCTCTAGTGTTTTTTCTATTCCAAATAATAATGCAAAGTAAAATAAAAAAATACATTTTGTAGCTTTTCAATATTTATAGGCGATAAGAACTGGTTTTTAATAGACCCAATACTGTCATTTCTTCCTTTTGGAATTTAATGAATGGTGTTGATTCTTCTACTTTTAACTATTGTTGCTTTCTCATTTTAACATATAGCTGAAAGTGCTATTTCTTTCTGCTGCTTTATAGCTTCTGGAGACTCAGTGTGCATCCTATTTATCTTTTCATACATAGAAGTATTATCGATTGATAATCTTGTAGCTATTTCGGTTTTGCGTGAGTGAGAAAACGAATATTCATTATTAAATTTCTTTAAATTTTAATTTTATCTGATCACTTAACTTATTTATACGTTTCTATTATATAAAATATTTATTTAATACTATTTTATTTCATACATGTGCTGATTAAGAATTTGAACATTACAAACTAGTAATATAATGATAACGAAGTTAATTCTAGTTTGCTATAAAATATATTTTTGTTACTATTTGTTGTTTTGAATATCTGGGCTTATAAGAGGATCTTTGTATTGAAATTTAGAGAAATCAAAAGAATAGTCGTTTTTACTTGACTTAGAATCCAATCTTGGAAGTGGATCTATCATACTAAATCTATTTAGAAAAGTATATTCAATTTTTAAAATTAATTAAAAAATATTAACTTCAAACAAAACAACATCACAAATTGAATGAAGGTTATGCAAATTATTTAATTGTATTTTCTTATTCAACGAAAAAAAATTAATAAGGCATTAATAACTCATAAAAACTATTACATTGATCTAAATATTAAATTTAAAATCATTGTAAAATTAATTAATGCATTTTTATAAATTTAGTAATTTTTAACTCAAGTAAAATAAACCTGCTTAATCCTAATAAAATTGTATCATTTCTACAATTTCTTGTAAATTTCTTTAATAATTACAAGACTTGATTAATTATTTCAATAGATAGATCATTAGTCATCTCTAATAAATTATTTAAGAAAAACTTCGATAAAATCGAACAAAATTAATTTTTTAAAACAAAAAAATAATATTAGAATTTTTAAATAATTAATATTTTATAAAAAGATTTTTAACAAAAGCATACAAAACATAAAAGCTAAATATAAATTTGCTTGTTTAAATATTATAAAAGATTAAATAAAAAATTTTTAAATAAATTTAGACTTTCCTAAGAAGATTTGAAAGTAAGATTGAATATGTCGAATTTATGTTAATTTTATTAATTCAATCTTTAAAAGATTAAATATAATTAACTATTATCAAATCTTTTTCATAATCTTTTAAACTAAGATCATTTAATTTAAAGTTATTATTAAGCAAAGAGAATATATTAAAAGTTCTCATAATCATCCAATCTCTTTCTAACTCTCTCTAAAATTAAGTATTTATTTTAATAAAAAATATGAATTCGAAAATTATTAATTAAATCAGCATCTATCAAGATTTAAATATAAAATTAAATAAATGAATTTTTCTATATACCTATTTTTATTTAATTTTTTTAAAAAAATATAAAATATTATCAAATATTTTAAATTTGTATGTATGTGTTTTAATAAAATTAAATTAATACAAATATTTACAAATAAAACCATGATATAATTTAAACTATCCCATAAAAATGTTAAATGATAGGTTTTTTAAGTAGGAAATAATTTCCATAAATATATTTAAAGTGAGATAAAACAAATACAACTTCATCAAAAAAAATTGTGTTTAATCTTTAAAAAAAAGATTATATTTATATCAATAATTTTTTAATTAGAAACAAATCAAAATCTTTAATATTTTTTAAATTGATATTAAATGTATTAATATAATTAAGAATACAAACATTCATCTAAACTTTCTAATAAAGCTTAAAGCAAATTTTTGATATTTAAGAATAAATAATTAATTTTCTTAAAAATAAATAATTTTTTTTTTATTTAAAAAATTTAAAGTATTTACCATTTACTTTAAAATTAAAAATATGAAATATTTAAATAAAAATCTATTCAATATTAATTATTTACTAAAAATAATATTTCTTTTCAGATAAATGAATTAATATAAATAAAAGTAATTAGTTATTAATATGAATTTAGCTTATTTGATTTAAAGCGTTATTTAACTTTAGATTTGTTAATACAATTTCAGATTTTTAAAAAATAAATTAATGAAAAATTTATAATTTAATATTTGAACTAGAATTAAATAAATAATTTATTCACTCATTATGTTAATCAATATACAAAATTTGAGCGATTAAACTCTTAGTATTTAGAAAAAAAATCAATTTTTTTGAAATAAAGCCTTATGACAATTTAATAATATTTTTAGTTTAATTAATTATGAAAGATTAAAAATCTCTTATTTGTTTATTTATATCTAGATAATTTAATTTGTAAAATAAATGGTTTCTATTAATTTCTTTCTAAATTTTTAATTAATTTATTTCTGAATTTTTAATTAATTTGTTTCTAAAATTTTTTTTTTTATTTTGTGAATTATCAATCAAATTATTTTTTCAGAAATCAATAATTAACTTCAAAAAATTAATTTAATTTAATTAAAAAAAAAAACAGCGTGACAGGTCATTATATAAATCTTGTTTTTATGTTGTTTGTTTTTATGTTTTTTGTTTTTTGTTCTTTGTTTTTTATTTTGTTTTGTTTTTTATTTTCATGTTATTATTTTTTATTTTTATTTATTTTATCTTAGTTTTTTTATTTGTTTATTTGTTTATTTGTTTATGTTTATGTTTATGTTTTTATTTTAATTTTATTATTTTTTTTTTATTTTTTATTTTTAATTTTTTAATGTTTTTTTATTTTTAATGTTATTTGTTTTTATTTGGCAAGGACTTAAAAAATAGGCAAGGCATTTTTTTAATTTTGATATGGTACCTTCGTTGAGGTAATGGAAAATTGATAGGTTTATAAAATAACATTTTTTTCGCAGTGTCGGAAGGGGATTTTAAAAACTAAATGTTATTTTATATACTTTTTCAATTCCATATTTTTTATTTTTAGGTATTAAAAGTAGGCAACAATTTTTATTTTTATTTAACTTTGAGTAGTTTTTTAATTGATTTTTATTCTTTATAAATTTCTCTTGATATTTTCGTTTATTTAATTATTTTTATTTATTTTTATATGGCAGAGGACTTTAAAAATATTGTTTAAAATTAATTATGGCATTTTTAAGAAAATTGAATGGCTTTATTATGAAAATTTATGGCATTTTAAAAATAGTTTGTTAGTCTGAAAAATTTTTTAGTAAAATTGTGAATGCTTTTAAAATAGCTTATTGGCTTTATCGAATAGTTTTTTCTTGTAAAAATTGATCTTGTTAGGTAGTTTCGCTTCTTTTAAAAATGTAAAATTACTGATTTAAGTAAAAATTGTTAGTGGCTTTGTTAGAAAATTGGTGGCTTTTAAAATTGTTTTAGTGGCTTTTAAAAATTGATTGATATGTGGCTTTAAAAATAGCTTGGCATATAAAAATGTTGAAAATAATTAAAATGAATTGGATGTGAATTCGTCCTGGGTTTAAAAACTTCATTTTTTTAAAAAACTTTATATCGAGAGAAATTTGGAAAGACAATTAAAAAACTAGTGATTTTTTTTATTCAAAACTAAAAAAAATCATAAAAAAAAAGTTTGGGCTGAAAAGTGAGCTCTGGTTTCATTTAGACTCATTACTTTATTAATTAATTGGCCTGTAAGGTAAAAGTCGTGGATTGGATCGCAGTGTTTCACCGGGTTTTAAAAACTTATTTTTATCAAGGCCAATTAAATAATGAGCTAAAATGTTTTGACATTGCCCTACTCCGTCCCAAATAAAGAATTCATCCCGATCAAGGCATAGTGGCGTCTTCTTCTAACTCATTCTATCTCTTTTGACTAGGATCTTAGAATAGGATTGACTTTTCTTTCTTGCACTGAGTTAGGAATTTAAGCAAAGAGGAAGAGTAATAATTAAGAATTTGACTTAAGACTTTAGAGATATTGTCTTAGTCTTTTTTTATTCTCTTGCGCCATATACTCCTGGGATAGGACTACACTTTTTCCATAGAACCTAAGTAACGGGAGGGTTTCAAACGCATCTAGGAAACTTTCTTTAAAGAGCTATTCTTGACTACTACTTAATGATTATGTTTGAGAACTAAAAGGCATCAACCTTTAGATTCTACATTTTCACTCAATAGAGTACTTACTTTAATAGCTCTCAAGAATTCTCACATTGATGCTTATACTCAACTTCGCCGAACGCCGCTTCCCTGTAGCCCTTTAAGAGATTTTCATTTATCTTTATCTTCTTCTTTATATTCAGTAGATGTTAGTAGAAAGACTGTCTGAAATTAATTAGGAGAGAGAGAGAAGTATTTTTAATTTTTAGCACCTGTTAATAATTAATAATAAAAAACAAAAAAGAAAGCTAAATTCATAGCTACAAAGACATATAATAAAAGCTGATTTTTTTTTTTTACATTTAATTTTTTGATTTTTTTCATTTAGAGACGATTTGAAGATATTTTGATTTTGACTAGTGATTCGTTCTTTGTTTGCGTTTTTTCTTTGAGGGAGTTTATTGTTTTTATTGATTTTTCTTTCTTTTGAGTTTATTTTCCTTTCTTGCAAGCTCTGAGTTTAATTGAGAAAGTATTAGTAGACTTGTTGAGAAGTCATCTTTACCTTTAATTGCTTTCTAATTAATTCTTACGACTTTTAATTTAGAGAATAAAAGCGCTGGAATTGCATTTAGAAAATTTAATTAAAGTTAAAGAGTAGATTAAGAGCGAATTTTTTAAGAAGAGACGTTTAAGCTAATGATTGTCACATCTCTTATGAATTCTTTTTAAAGACAAGTATTCATTTGATTGAGCTCTATAGTCCTGGTATACAGAGTATTCTGCACCCTTTATCTTGATGATTCTAAGCTAAATGATTCGAATCAAATGCATATAACGAGTGAGAGCTGCCTCTGCTTACTTCTCCTTGGCAAGTAAAGAAACATCCATTAAAAAAACTCCAATTAAAGAAAAGTATCCATAACAAAGAAGAACATAGCAAAACAAAAGGTTATTTGACCAACTCACACAAGTCGATCATCTTCTAGCTCTCTCCAATAGAAAAAAAGGCGGCAAATTAGTGAAAAATTAAAACATTTTCAGCTGAAAACAAAAACTTTAAATCCGCCAAAAATCCTAACTCAGGCAATTTCCAAAACAAAAAGAATCAAGAAGAAAAAATGAAAAAAGAAATTTCAAAAAAAAATTCAAAGAAAAATCTTACCAGATTCATTGAGGATCTTCTTAATGTTTTTGATAAGTTTTGGATCATTTTTCTGAAATCTAGCTTTAGAACTACTATATCTTTAGAAGAAGGAAATCATTTCTTAGCTTAGGCATTAGACTTTTAGTTAATTAGCTTACTACTTGAATAAATATCCTTTTCTTTGATTGATGCTACTGGTTAATAAACTTAGCTCTCTCTGATTGCATTTCACAGATTTTATTTATATTTCCAAGCTCATTTCCTCGAAGCAAATGATTAGAGAATCTGAGCATTTTAATGAAAACAATAATCAAAGAGATCTTTAAGCTAATGATAAGATCTAATCTGTTACTCTACAATTTTACCAGATTAAGCGTTATCTTTTTCGTTTCTGACGCAACAGAAGAGAATTACTTAGATTTTGAATAAGCTTAGGAATTTTAGTTATTGAGAGTCCTTTAAAGTCAATTAATTCCATTTGAGTTAGTTACAATCATAAGCATTTGAGCAAATTAGATTGAATCTTAAACAAAGTAATTGATAAAAAAACTACGCTGCAAGCTATGAATTTTACTAGGGACATGATCAACTACTTAAAAGTAATTCTTAAAGTACCTCTTTGAACTGAAATCGGTTCCGCTGGGCTTGCTCTTACGACAAACTCTATCTTTACTCTCTCCTTCAGTAGAGTCAAATTTTTTAATTTGCTATTCGTATTCATTTCACCTGGAAAAGCTTCAAAGATTTTCTCTTTCTGTCTGGTCTGACTCGTAATCCTCCCATCCAGTATGCCGCTTACAAACAACCAGGTTTATTGAATACTCATAACAAATTGCAAAAATTGCCCGTTTTCTCTGAAGATTTCACTGAGTAAAAATTTTAAAGAATTTGCCTTTGTAAAAGTTCACATTTAAACAGCTTCAGTACTTTTAGAAACACTTTTTTCATTGATCTTTATCAATCAAATTGTTTAATCATCTTTCATTTCATCTACTCAAAAATCACTTAGTATTTTGATGAAAGTAAATTTTTCAAACTTGTCAATCTTCTTGAAGAATCTCTCATTTTTCCTTTTCTCATTCATTTTTTCAATCTTTTCTTTCAAATTCTGTTTTGGCGCGTACTTGTATCTAAAGATATCGTTTATCATGTTCGCATTTAGTTCAATCAGAAAGAATCTTTATCCTGCTTCAGCTAATAACAAGATAATTGTTAAGCAAGATGAACAAATAATAGGTCTTCAGCCTAAACTTAGATCATCCACAAACTTCAATTCGATATTTCGTTCTACAGCCAGAGCATTGATCAGAATTTTAGATAGCCAAATTCTTATCTATTAATAAGATCCTCTTTGAAAATCATTCCCCACAAAGTTTGGAACATCCTACGATTTGCACAAAATTCTCTTTTTCTTTATTGAAGGAGGAAAAACATTTAACATGACTCCTTAAAGTTACAAACTAAATCTTTCACACCATTTACATGCACTATTATTTTTTTTTATTTTTTTTTACAAGGAGAAAAACAAAATTTAAAATCTCCTTTTGTTTCAATCTTAGTGTATCTTTCATTCTTCGTGTTGATGTCCATGTCAATTGTCTTGTCTTGTCCATTTTGTAGAGGCGTCGATCTGATGCTTTTAATTAGTTTATACTCCAAATTGCCTATGAGCATCTAGATGAGCAACATGAATGACCTTTTATACAATAAATGGTTTAGATGATTAAAAAGATAGATTGAAACTTTATCTAAAAAAAAACTAGAAAATAAACACAAAAACAAATATGATTTTATTTTCTCTCAAAATAGTTTTCAGATAATCAGCGAAAAGAAAAAAAATGTATTTATTTACAATGTAGAGTTTTTGGATCGCCCTCTATACCTCGTTGGACATATCATATTTCTAGCACAAAAGTAAAACCCCTCATCTTTGAAATATAATATGGAGGCATAGATTCTTATCCTAAAAAAAAAAAGAGAGAGTTCTAAAGATGTTTAAGTTGAGTCACTGCTGTGTCTTTCATTGAATTATTTTGAGATTGTATGTACATGTGATTTCTGTCCTCATTTTAGTGATCCTAAGCCACCAAATCGGGATGCAGGATCTCTCTTTTTATTTTTTTTCATATTTTTTTATGACTTGAAAAAAAAAAGAGAGTGAAAAGAAAAAAGTTTAATTAATAGATTATACAAGAAGAAAATATATTTCGTTTGTTTCTTTATTTTTTCTTATTTTTTTTCCCCCACTTCTTCTCTTATCTAAGATTAATAAAAAATAAATAGGAAAATATTAATTAATTATTCATCACACTTTTGTAAAATTAAATTCAAATTTGATAAAAATCAGTTAGGTATTTAATTCATCAGCAAGATAAATTGTATCAAATATCTTTTTTAATATACACACACACACCTTCATATCTTTATTCAATTTTAAATTTGAAATATTTTAATTAAACACAAAAATTAATTAATATATAAAATAAAATCTTCTATTCTATTATAAAAATTAAATTTATATCTTTAACACATATTTATATATTTATTTATATCTTTTTTTTATTATTTTCTACTGAAAAAACTTATTATTTCATATAATTTATTTTTTTATTAAAACATTTTCTATACCTAATTTTGTAATTAATTTTATAAAATATTTTTTATTTATTTTTTAATAAAATTCTTTATAATTAATTGTTTTAATATTTATTTGACTAATGCATTGTTGATTAATATAAAAAAAGGGAATCAAATATTTGAATTGTATTTTATTAAAAGAGGATATTTAATTGATATATATATATATACCTTATATTTAATAAATTTAAATACTATCAAAAATTGTTTATTCAAAGGATACAATATATCAAAACAATTAATTAATTATTATTTATACATTATCCATGCTGCCTTGAAATTACAAAAAAGCTTAAAGAAAAAGAAAATCAATTAATTTTATTTAATTATTTTGAATTTTACTAAACATTTATTTTGAGTAGCTTAAATATTTAATGATGAATTTTCTTAAAAAATAAATTAATCTCTATTCAAAAAAAATGATTATTTTCAAATTGATTTTTATTTTTTGATTTATTTATAATAGGAATAATTTTAAAATAATAATATAAGTTCTTAATAGTTTAGTTTTTTTGTTTTTAATATATCATAAGAAGACTAAAGATTTATTCATATAGAAAAATTTTTGATTAGATTGAAGGATTAATTAAATAAAAATGTATAAGATTTGAAGACCACGAACTATATAGTGACTGAGTGAAGAGTCTTCTTTAGTTAATTATTTATTTATTTATTATCTAATACATTGCGGAGAATATAAGGTTAGGAGAAGAAAAAGAAAAGAAATAAAAAACTAATTAAAAATAAAATAAAAATAACACTTAGAAATTTAAAGAAAAAGGAAGTGAAAAAAAGAAGAAGAAAAATTAATTAATAAATAAATAAAAAGAAAGAAAAAAGGAAGAAGTATAAGCAAATAAACAAATAAACTAATAAAGAAGCAAACAAACACACATCATCATCATCTACTATTTTAAAGTATCAAAAGAAGAGTGATTACCAAATTACTTAGAAAAATATAATAATAATCAAAAAGGAATTACTATAAATACATATTAACAAAGTACAGTCAATTAAAAAAACAAATACACGATGAAGAAAGAACTGGGTTAGAGCCAAGCTAACCAGTTCCTCAACAGAAGCGGAAATTCCAATCAGCAATAGGGTTAAGGAAACGTTGCATCTCCCAACCTTCCTTAATTCATATAGATTAAGAATTGGGTTGCTTAGCTCAATAACAAGAAGATTCTTAGAGCATAGAGGAACGACATTATGAATGTAATACATCTATCAATCTATCTATCTATTTTCATTTATTTTAGTAAGCATCGACTTCAAGTTGTAGCTAGCTCATATTGATTTCGCACTTGCTTTTATCATCCATCCATCATTGCTATTCATAATTTCTTTCATGCTCCCTGTTCTTCTACTTAGGACTAAAGATTTTCAGTCAGTCTATCTTCCCATTTATCCTTCCTTCTTTTTAGGTTTTTGGAAGTAGAAAATACACTGACTTTAAATATAACTCAAAAAATATATTTATATATCTTAGCTACTATTCTTATCTTTATAGATATTATAAAGTCTTTTTCGGATCATTGTTTTCTCTTTAAAGATTAATCAATAAGTGAATTGATCATTCATTCATTCAATCCAATTTCTCCTTTCTTAAGCAATATTTATAACAAAGCAATAAAGCAAAAAAGCAAAAGTGCAAGCAACTACAGCTAATAGGAAAGAATGATTACTAAATGATAAAGCAATCGATGTTTTGATAGCAGTGGATAAAATATGTTAGCTACTCAAGCAGCGGAAGCTCGATGCAATAAAATACATCATAATTAATTTTGTTTGTTTGTAAATTCATAGATAGTACAATAACTAGGATCAGAAGGAAATTAGTATTTGTTGGAATGCCTTTTAGAAAGTTTGGATATGAACTCACAGAATTCCCAAAATAAGGCAAATTTGCACACCACAGTTAAAGGCTAATTTTTGAGCCAACATTTGCATGATTTAATATTCAGCAATAGCTTCTCAAATTTTCTTGATTTCATGCCCAACGTCTTCATTAAAGTAGTTTGTGGACCTAATAGTTTTTCAAATTAAACCAATACAAAGCAGCTAAATTAAGTGGTAAATTATGCTTAAGAACTGAGCAAGTGCCTCAAAATGAATCCTGTTGATTAGCTTTTCATAGCCTTAAGCTTTGCATGTTGCAACAACGAAACAGTAGCATCAGAAGGTAATTTTTTTACATGCGTTTTCAAACTTGATAAATCCTAAATTTATTTTGAAGCCCATTTTCTAGTGATTAATTAGCATTAGATTAAGTATTTAAATAAAAAAAAAGAGTGAAAAAAGTTAAGAATCTAATCAAAAAGCAAAAGAAAAAGCATGCAAACATCTGCCGTTTTCAGCAAATAATAAAATGCTAATAAATCAAATGAATTTAAATATAAAATATATTTTTTCAAGTCAAAATATAAAAATGTAAATAGAGAGCATCTAAATAAAAGGCAATTATTTATTTATTTAGTGATCTCAAACTTTAAAAAAGATAGGAAAATATTAATTAATTGATTTATTAAGCGCATTTTTTATTTAATTATTTTTTATGATTATTATCATAATTGGTTGATCTATTAAATCATTGAAAAAAATATTAAATGTTCTAAAGGATTAATTCCTTTAGCTATTCATTTATTTATTAAAACCTGTTCATTTTATTTCAATACTACCATTTTTTAAATGACCATGTAAATAAAAATACAAGCAATAAAGTCAATCAATCAATAAATCAAAAAACAAAATATAACTAACTCATTTCAAATTTATTTTGCTTCTTCCTCATTATTTTCATTTATTTTAAAATTCTCTTCATTAATTATTTAGACTAAATAAAATTCACTATAACCCAATTTATTATTAAAAATACATAAAGATTTTTATTTTCACTTGGATTTTTATTTTGTTAGTTTCATTCAAATAATTCATTTTATTTTAAATATTAAAATTTAGGATATTTAAAATTAATTTCTATTTTACTTTTTATAAAAAAAAATGATTAATTAATTTTTTTTATTGTTTAAAGGTGTTAAGCTTCTCAGAGAAAAAATTATTGATTTTGTTTAGTAGCAAAATTAAATTGCTTTGCCTCAAAATAACCTTCCAATTATTTTATTACAATTTGTTTTGCAAAACCCTGAATTAAAGGTAATTAATAAGAACAATATCATTAATTTTGTTAAATTTTAGTTTTTCAAATTAAGAAATTCTAAAAAAATTAACATAGCTCAGTATATTAAATAAAAATTAAAATCTTTGTATTTTAAAAATAGAATATGTCCCAAGAGATTCTTCAATTAAAGCAAATACTCAATGATCCTAAAAATAAAGAAATCAAACCATTAATTTATGGTAGAGATAATATCGATGATGAAGGTAACAGCTAAGAAAGTGATGAAATATAAGACCCTGATTTACATAAAGAAATAAACTATCCTAAGCCAGAAGAGTTAAACCACATAATAGGACCAGCTGACATTCTTAAAGATTTAGGCCCAAGTGCACTATCTTCGATGGATAACTTAGTTAGAAGTTTATCATAATTTTAAAAATGGAGCAATTCTGATGTTTACCTCTCTCTCGAATTGATAGCATAAGACCCTGTTTAATTAGGTGATGAATAAACTCAGCGTTTAGCTAACAATATTCTCCAAGTTGAATCCAAAAACAGTAAAATTTTACACAAAAATTACAAATTTCAATAACTTTTTTTTCATTTTTTCAAGGTTAACAAGAATGGGGTAATTTCACTAATTAAGATTAATCAGATAAAAACTAATAAAGCGATTGGAATGCTGAGTTATTTATTGAATTCCTAATGAAGAAGATATTCCCTCAAAACAATGAATTAAATGTAATTACTTATTCAATACTTTAATAAAAAAAATTTAAAAGCAAGAATTTTATCTTATTTATTAATAAGTAGTAGTATAAAAATTTAAAGTAATAGCAAATTCTAAAAAAAATTGAAAAAAAGCATCTAAAATTTTGTATAACAAATATCAAAAAAGACCTCTAAAATATTTAAGCATAGAACATTTTTAAAAACTTAAGCAGCATCTTATACATATAAATTAATTCAAGCATAAATAGCAAATAGTGTTAATAAGAAGTAAATAAATATAAAGAAAATGCTAAAATTAGTAATTTTCAAATAGCTTAAATTCTATTTATTATGAAAACAATTAAAAAATAATAGTTTCAAATCAAATCAATAATTTAAATATTAATTTCATTAAGAAACGATAAATACTTTACCTTAAATATATTTTTGATTAATAATTTTTTGGCATGTAAAAAATAGTCAAATATAATAATAAAATTATAATTAATTACTTTTTACTTTTTTTCAAATTTTTAATTATTTTTTTGTTTAAAATAGTGGGTTTCCGTATTGACAGAAATTGATAGACCTTATTTGAAATTGAAGGACGAAAAATCTTTTAAATAATTCTTTACTAATATGCTATTAATTCACAAAAAAGCTCCATTTTAAATGCCTGCATATTTGTTACTCAAGCCTTGGAAGAATATTAGAAGCCAAGCCTTATTCTTAAAGAATATGCTAGCTGTTGGTTCTTCTGAATTAGTAAGATGGAACGAAATTTAAAAAAATCCTATGAATTTAGAATTCAATCCATAATATAAATATAACACACTACCTTCTCCTATGCAGTTCTGGGCCTGCTTGGATTTCCTCGATTTATTGTGTGAAATTAGTGAAGGAGATAACTATATGGCTATCCATGAGTTATTTGAGCTTCCTATTGCAAAATATCCAGATATCTTAATAGTCGCTTTATCTTAACTGCATCCTAAAAAAGGTGCAAATCTCTTAGATGAAGTATTCAGTCAACTATTTCCTAATTATTTGTCGAATCACATAAATTCTGTAGCTATTTTAGAAGCAATTTGGAAGAATAGAGAGGATTTGCTTATTTCTGCTATTAGCGAACTTTATAGAAAAGAAAACAAGAAAGAAAACACATCTTTGAATTTATCAAGAGTCCTTGATATTTCCTAATATCTAAAAGACTCTTTAATTGCTCTCACAAATAGTAACAACTACTCTTTTTCTGTATCACTTGGTATTTTAGCTGGTAAGAGAGAATTCCTACACTTTGACTAATGGCTAAATGAGCGTGTTAAGACTATTGGGGATCCATTTGTAAATGCTCTACTAGCATATATCGAAGACAATGTTATTAATCCAATTAAAGAAATAAATATGAGACTAAACAACCCCAACAATTAAGCTTAACAGTAATATGAAGGTGTTTTAGAAAAGGCCTAACTAACTATTGAACTACTGACTATTATTTTTGAATCTCTTCTATTAGAGTAACACCCTGAAAAACTTACTAGCAAAAATCGTTAAAAGTTGTAAGATCAATATAAAGAAATATTGTAATATTTCCCCTAATTAAGTGGAACTTCGGATTCACCAGGACAAGCTACAGAAAAAAAAGCCAATTACAATTACCAAAGATTTTATATGAGAGAAATAACAATAGAGGAAATGATTGCAAATTTAAAATAATTAATGAATTCCAACAACTCTGAAGACAAAGAAGTGTTTGCATGCATGATCACAAGCTTGATTGAAGAAGCTAAATACCACTAGTAATACCCCATAGCTGAGCTTCTTTTAACAGGCTAACTCCAAGGAAGCATCATAAATGCACAGTAATTTAAAATTTATAAATTAGACTAATTTAATTATTCAATTAGCTTTAACTATTAATTATTTTTATCAATTTTATTTATTTTATTTTTTTATAAATTTTTTTAATTAATTTGTTCACTTTTAATAGACTTGTCAACTAGAAACCATTAGGCATTATGCTAGAATAAATTTTGGAATCATCAAAAAAGACACAGAGATAAGTTGAGTAATCAGTAAAAGCAATAGAAGCTATGAAAGATCGCCTTCATGAATTCCCTTACTTTGTAAATGCTCTTTTCGACCCATCCTGCCATCTTTCTGAGCAATTTCCTCAACTTCTAATTAATATTTATAATGTAATTAAGTGTTTTACTTTTATTTATTTATTGACTTATTCTTTTTTAATAAAGATTATGATTGAGAAGAAGGTATAAATTAATGTAACTAGTAAGCAAATTGAATAGCTTAAATAAAGAGTAGAATCCCTTAAAAATGAAGCAAACAAACCATCTCAAACTTACTAGGCAACAACAACTTAACAAGTAAACAATTTCAATCTAAAATTTTCCTTTTTACAATTGACTTTATTTTTTTAATAAAAAAGAAGAAGATCTTAAAGTTAAGAGGAGAAGTAGAAACTTCATCTGAAAATACCTCCTAACAACAATAAAATCAACAAGCATAGAACTAAGCTGCTGCTGTAGCTCAATCTGATTAATCATCAGCACAGCCATAAGCATAAAATTAATAATAGTAATAACCATTATAGCAATAGGAAGGAAGTGCTTAGACAAAATAACAACAAGAATAAGATACTAAAGCAAAAGCTGATTAGAATAACTAGCCTAGAAATCCTAGTGTTTAAAATGTAAGCTAATAAAATTTAGGTGAAGAAAAATAACCTTCTGATAACACCACACAAAGTAAAGGTAAAACTAAAAAGCCTCTTTTTGCTGGATCTTCCGTATTTCCTTTGAGCAATTTAACTGCAAACTAACCAAAAATGGTATTCGAAAATCCTATTAATCAATAGATGAGATTCTAAGATACTTAAATAGGAATGTATGACCAAGGATTGTATAATAATAATAATAATAGCACTAATAATAACAATAATGGCAATAATACAGAAGAGATAGTTGTAAAAGCAAGACCTTACTAAGGAGGTGTTGGTTTTGTTTAAAGACCTATATTTACAAACGGTGAACAATAAATCTATGCTTCTAAATCTATTAATGAAATTTTAGAATATGAAAACTCACTTTAAATAGATGAATCAACAAAGATGAGAGTTAATTTTGCACTAAATAATTTATCAGATGGAAACATAGAGAAACACTAAAATGATTTTAGAAATTACGCAGAAAATGAAAATTTTTAGAAATGGTTTGCTAGGCATCTTGTCACTCAAAGAGCTACTTTGAAATCAGAAATTAATGTCTTGCTGTACACTAAGCTCTGTGAAAGAATAGATAAGCCTAAACTCTTTTCCTTTATCATAAAAGATTCTTTGTTACTTTTGCACAAACTTCTCTTATCAGAAGCTGCCATTCATGCTTCTATCCGTATTACCACTCTTAAAAATCTAGCTCATTGGATAGGCATGTTTACTTTGAATCGTAACAAACCAATCAATTCAAAATATTTGAATATCAAGGCATTAATTGTCAATTCTTATCCGAACAAAGTTGATGTAATTATTCCTATTGTTATCAACATTCTACTTTGCTGTAAAGAATCAAAGATTTTTAATCCTTAAACTAACCGCTGGGTCAAGCGTATTCTTTCTCTCTTAGAAGAATTCAAAAATGTGGTTCAGAAGGAAACTGTCAAGCATCAAATTAATCAGTTGTTCTCTAATTTATAAATTGACGTAAATAGTTTAGAACCTTGTACCTACTTTAGATACTACTTACAAGAAAGTAAAAAGGAAGCTAAGCCAGCTTAATAGCCTGCTACTATTGTTTCTTTTTGCATCCGTGATAGACTAATAATTACAGATGATCTTCGCAACCTGTGCAATATTTAAAACTTTGACTTAAAGTAAGCAGTTTTCCAATCCTTAGACGAAGCAATCATGGAAATTATACAACCAGTAATTTCTCGTAGTGTTACTATTGCCTTAGTCACCACTCGTGAATTAGTCTTAAAAGATCACTGCACTGATCCTGATGAGAACAATCTTATAAATGGCATCTCTAACATGGTTTAAAAACTATCTGGCTGTCTTGCTTTAATCACCTGCAAAGATCCACTCAGATCAAGCTTCCAAACCCACTTAAAGACTAATTTAGAAAAAGTGACTGAATTAAATGCCAACGAAAAGGAATAAATCATTAATAAGGTAGTTATCGATAACATTGATATTGGCTGCCAAGAAATCCGCTAAAGAGTAATGGATTAAGCTCTTAAGGAAATAAAATAAGATGATGCTATCCTTGAAGCTATTGAAATGAGAAGAGCCGCAAAAGAAAAGTAGTAAGTATTTGTTGATGAAAGATATTACAAGTTCACCAAAAACCTTCCTCCTGCTTTACAACCTAAATTCCCCAGCTCTTCTGGTATATATTTTTGAATATAAATTTAATAAAAATAATAATTAAATTAAATAAATAAATAAGCAGCATACTCAGAATTCGATAGAACTTCTTTAAATGAAAACTTGGTAAGCGAATACAACACATAAACTTTAGAATAATTCAAAAAGAGTAACATTTTAAAATTAAAAAGTTTGTATTAAATCCATATTTCGTTTAAATCTCTTTAGTTGTCAACAATTTTAGTCCAGAACAACCTGAAAATGTAATTCTTACTCCTATTGAAGGATTCTTTAAGAAGATCATGTTCTCTGATAAGCTATATAACGAATTAATTGAATTAAATTTCTAATTGATGTACCAAAGCGAGGGTGCTTCTAAGATTAGATTATTTGTTGAAATTCTTGACAAATTACGTGAACAGCACAAAGGAAAAGACAAAATTGGCAAATTATTAAAAGATAATTTAATGAACAGTGCTCCTCTAGACAATCTGATTAAGACCAACCTTCATATAATTTTGAATAGCCTTTTCATAAAAAGAATAATAACTAATAAAGAATATCAAGAAGTACTAAATTTATAAATAACATTTTTATTTACTTTTAATTATTTTCGATATAATTTCTTTGATATAATAAATAATTGATTATACTAAAATAAAGATTATGTTGCTTCTTGTTTCTAGAAATCAAAGCAATGATATGATAATATGTTTGGTATCTGCCTTGAGAGAGCTTATTTTTGAGAAAAAGGAATACACTCCTTAAGATTTTAATGACTCAATTATTGCTCTTAAGTTAACAATGTCTAGTAAATAAGACATTCCTCCTCATTACTCCTAGTTCTTGCAAGACCTCAACAAAATTGCATCTGAAAACTCTAATTAATCAAATAACATTATCACCTTTGAGCGTGCTCTTGATGTTATTACCAACTTCTATGGCAATTTCGATAAAAAGCAGTATGAAGAAATATAGGAGAAGGTTGAAAAATGGCTTTCTTTGTCAACTGAAGTTCAAATGGGCTAATTCATTTAAGGCCTTGTTAATATTATCATTGATAATCATGATGAAAACTCTTTAAAATTCTTTGTCTACTTTGCTGATATCTGCATCAACTACTCCTTAGAAAGCGCGTAAATAATCTTTTTTTATTGTTTTAAATACAAGTCTTACTTATTTAATATATAAAACAGTAAAAAGAATTAAAGAATTAGCATACAAAATATTACTAGTATGGACTTTACTTGCGTTGATAGTTTCACAAAATTGATTGAAATTATTCAAAAGACTTGCAAAATTGAACAATATAAGAAGCAATTACTTAATCAAATTTTCGATAGTATATTCATCACATTGACTAAATATCATGAAACTGATATGTATGAATTCAACCAGCGTCCATTCTTCCGTATCTTCTTTAATTTAATTTATGACAACCAAAGACCTAAATACGATTTCTCTAAGAATGAAATATCTGAAACTTACAGCATGTTGGCTAACATATTCCATCAACTTTCCCCTGTAAAATACCCAGGATTTGCTTTCTCTTGGTTAGAACTCATTTCAAATCGTTACTTCATGCCAGTGATTATGGAAAAGGTAAAATTTAAAATAAAACATAAAATAAAATTTATTAAAATTTATTTGTTTATCATTTATTATAGGAAGAATTGTGGGGATTATACAGCCAACTCATAATAGATTTAATCAAATTCTTTAAAGAAATAATGCAAGAAGAAAACCTTCAATTAGAATACATTAAGATATTCTACAGAGGCACCATTCGTATTTTACTTGTCTTGCTTCATGACTGGCCTGATTTCTTAGCAAAATACTCTAATTCTTTATGTGATGAAATTCCTGAAAATTACATTTAAATTAGAAACATTATTCTCGCTGCTTTCCCTAAAACTATGAAGCCACCTGATCCGTTCTCAAACAAAAACGAACAAGTAAATATTTTTTTGTTTTTATTAGCTAAAAAATTAAATCTATTAAATAGATCTTTGAAAACAATGAAGACTTTAAGAATCCTCCTATTATGGACTACCCAGTTTATAATGAAAAAATCCAAGTCGATCTCATGAATGATCTTCAGAATTATCTTCGCACTAAGAGCGAAGATATTTTCAAGACTATTTGCTCTAAATTGACTCTTAAAGAAAAATCATAATGTAATTTTTTCAATAAAAAAGTGCTATGAAAACTAAATATACTTTAAATAAATATAGTTGTAATTGATTAGAAGGCTGTTAACATACTCATTTTGGCTATACCTTTGCATTTACACAAGCAATCTGTAAATTAAGGAAATAAGGATACTAAAACAATCCCTCTAAACAACGATTTATACAATTTCTTACTTGTAAATTATTATTGAAAATTAAAACAATAAATTTATTAAATTTTGATAAAAAAATAGAAATTGCTTAAAACAAGTCATTACGAAATGAGAGAAGTAATTCTTAACTTGATAATAAATCAAGTTAGATATCCTAACTTTATCACAAAGTTCTACATTAAATACATTCTGTTGACATTCTAAGAACAAAATATTAATGATATTTAAGAACAAACCATTCGTATCATTGTAGAGAGATTGTTTGTATAGAAACCTCACCCTTGGGGCATAATCTACACATTTATTGAGATCATTAAGTCTAATTCTAATTTCAGATCAAAGCCTTTTGTCAGAGATGCTGAATTGAAATAAGTTTTCCGCTTCATCTACTAAGAACCACCCAGATAAAGACCACCTCAATAATAGTAATAGCAACCATCATAACAACAGATTGGTCAGCACATACAACCTCAAGAGATGAACATAGATCAGTAAATGCACATGAATAGTATTTAGTACTAGCAGATATTGTAATAGCAACAATAGTAACAATACTAGCAACAATAGCAATATCAATAACAAATAGCAGGAGCTATAAGCCATCCTAACTATGTTAATAGAAATAATTGATACAAAAAACAAATACTATTATATACATACTTATCTCTGATCAAATGGTTGAAATATATCAATATTAATTAGACTTATAATCTTTTTTCGCAATTCATACTCACAAAATATTTAAACTCTCTCTCTATAATGAATGTCAGTCCTTTCTTCCAAATAGCAATAAGTAAAAACAAGTAAATTCTTTTGATATCAATTAAGGTAAAAATCGTTTGTTAGATTCTCAAATAAAGTTGTGGTAGATTTCAAACTTTAAATTCTGTAAGCTGAATGTATCTATCGTCTGTTTGCTTTTTCTTTTTTGCCTACATCATTGGGTAGTTAGTCAAAGACTACACTTTTAATAAGTATTTTTCAAGAAAAATTGTTTAATATTTCTTCACTTATTGAAAGATTGATATGTAGTCTGATTAAGCACATAATAACCCTTAAAATAATTTTCTATAAGAATCTTTAGCCACTAGTTCACTCATTAGTCTTCAGAATATTTTATGAGACTATTAATAGAAGCAAAATACTTGCAATAAAAAATAATAACAAACAAATATTTAAATGATTAGATAAAATTTGGAAGACAACTATAAATTAGCAACAAAAATATCTCATTTTCTTACACTTATCATATAATCTATCCTTAATATGCTTAAAATTTGAAATGAAGATGAAGAATTAATTAATAAAAAAATAAATACCTATAAACGCACAGTAACAACTGATTAGAATAACGAATATAGAAAATCTAATTAGAAGAGCACATGTTACTCAAACATTTATCATATTTTTTGAATATGATATTCTACTAATTTCAATATTATTTTTGTTATTTGTTGAATTCTTCGATATTATTAAAATGAATGATCGATCATAAAGAAATATGAAAAAAAGAAAAGAAGAATTTGCTAACGAAAAAAATTGCTTAAAATAACATAATAAAATAAGTTATGATACACATCATACAAATAAATTTACATACATTTTTTCAAAATAAATTAGAAAAAAAATTTAATCAACCATCAATTCCATTCAGTATAATAATTTTATCTTTCACTCATGCATCATAATTCACACCTAGAAAAATAAAATAATAATCTCATCAAATAAAAAATAATCATATCAATATCATATGTAGATAATTAGCATAATAGTTATAGTAATTCAGTGAACTCTTTTAAATCACTAATTAAAAATAATGAATCCATCAATTAATCTATAATTTTCTAAATCATATCAAACCTTATCATCAAAAGATAGCATGCATAGAAAGATCAAACATAATAAAACAATAATAACATTTCCTCATTTTAATAGTATTGAAAAATATAACAACAATAATATAATTTACTCTTCATACTTTATATATTTTTTTCAAATGTTTTGTCTGTATAATTTGCGAAAAAAACTTTATCAAATTTTTAAACTCTTTTCAAAAATCCATTTAATCTCTTTTATGCTATTCTTTAATTTTCATTTGTATTATTTCTTATTTTAATAATTAATTTATTGATTTGCTTTTTTATTTTTTAATTCAAAAATAATTTAATTTTTATAGGATCTTATCCTTGCTTGTTAATGCCTAATTTATCAAATTTATTTATATAATTTTAATTAAATGAATTAATTAATATATTGACAAATATCTTAATTAAAATTATCGTAATACAATATCTACAAATAAATATTTTTTTATCTAAAGGATTGAATAAAAGATTGCTAATTTTCATAAATTAATAGTAATCTAGTTTTATTTAATTTTTAATATACTAATTAATCCAATCAATTATCATATATATTTATATTTAAGATTAAAAATTTTTAATATAATTTTTTAATAAATACTAATTTTGTAAAATAATTAATGAGTTAATTTTAATGTTTTTCTTAACTATTAATTTATTTAAACATGTATTTTTAAGTATCCTATATCAATTATAAAAATTTTTTAAATAATTATAATTAATTAATTCTACTTTATTTGAAAAATTGATAATTAATGATGAAATTATGAAATCTTTCAGAATATTTTCTAGCTTAAAATCTATAATTTTAATTTGTTTATGGGTGTATTCATTTGAATAAAATTAATAATTTAAAAATATTTTGTAATAAAATTTATAATTAAAATAATAAAAATCAATAGAAATAGAAATATAAAAAATTGCGAAATATTTTTGGTATTGTCCTTTATTAATTTAATGATAATGGTGAATAAAAAATATAATTATTTATAATAATCTGAATTAATTAGTCAAATCAAAATTTCACCTTATGAAATAAAATACAAAGCAATGTAAACTGAAGGTATATTTTATCTTTTATTAAATCAAAATACTTAAATATTTTCTTCTACAAAATAATCAAATAATATTTTTTTGGTTTAGATACAAGCTGATATATAAATAAATTAAAGGTTTATAAATTTAGGTAAATAATATATTTAAGAGTAAACAAAATATTAAAAAAGCTTTTCAAAAATTTTTGTATAATATTTATGTTGATATTATTTTTTGATTAGCTGTGATGGATAAAGAAGAATAAAATAATGAGTTAATTGATAGAGGGCAGAGTAATAAAAGCCAAAGTATAAAATAATAATAAATCATTTAAAATCCTTCGAACTATAAATTGGACATATCTCTTATTGATGTTAATAAGGAAAGGAGGTAGTTAAATATTTTCTAAAAAAGGATAATTAACAATTAAAATGTTCAAAAAAGTGGTACTTAAAAAAGAGATAGAAAATTCACTCTCTCTCCTTCAAATGAAAATAGTTCTAAGCATAAATAAAAAGATGAAAATTAATAAACCTAAACTCTTTCAATGCAGGCGCGTCCAGATTTATAAGATTTACTGAGCCCTTTAAATTATTACTTTCATAAAAAGGAATTAACAAGTCCAATAGGGCATATTGTTAAGAGTATTTCCCCTGAGAGTCCTATAAAAAAAAGTAAAAGCCCTTTTAAGATAAGTAAAAGAGATTTAAAAAATCAATAAATTTATGAGAAAATTTATTAAACACTTTAAAATTAACAATCTCTTAATAGCAAAAAATAAAACTAGAAGCATTTATTTCTTAACAGTAAAGGAAGTTAAATGGATTCTTTTTTAAACAATTCACCTCTTAACTTGTCTATAATTAATTCATAAGATTTTGAATAATAAAAATTATAAGTTTTTAGCACCAAATCTCAATTACAATAAAATTAATGCAAGTAAAATTATTTACAAAAAAGTAATTAAATAAGAGCAGCTTCTTCTAATAATTAGTCTTCCTTTTAGGAATAATGTGAAAACTAGTCTTAGAAACTCTCTACTGAAATCTGTTAAAGCTCTCCAAAAAATTTATCTAATTCAGTTACAGGTTATGGTTAGCATACAAATAAGGAAGTTTTCTAAAATAGAAAAGTAATATCTGTTTTTAAACACAGGTAAATTTACAATTAACAATTAAACAAAAGAGATGAAATTAAATATAATGAGGATTTATCTGTTAGAGCACTTAGAACTCACGAAGCAGATAACTCAGAAAATATTGCATTAAAAACAATTTACAGTGAAGTTCCATAAATAAAATTAATAACAGAAAATTCTAGCAATATACTTTAAAATAGCAGATATCAGAAAGAATACACTCCATCTAGGTTGGGTTCAAGATAAAATAAAATTCAATAAGATTAAGATATTTAAATTCCAACAAAAAATAAAAAGTAAGCTTAACAGCAACTTAAATTAGATATGAGCTTAATTTAATTTGATTAACAATTTATAGTCTTATCTAATAATTAATCTGTAAAAGAAAAATTATCAAAAGAAAGCTAATAAAAAGGGAATATAAACTCAAATTTTGAATAAAATAACAAAAATAGCCACTAATTTTTGAGATAAGAAAGTGGGAAAAATATTATTAATAAAAAGTAAAATATAAGGCATCAACACTCCTTTTCTATTAATTTTATGGAAGCAAACAGCAAAAGTTAAATTGAAAATAATTAAAAAAGTACAAAGAATGTATTAAATAGTTCACATGATGATAACCATATAGGAAAAATATAGAAAGAAAAAATAGCTAAAAAGTATTTGAAAGATATTGTGGAATAAAATGAATAAGTAAAATTGTAATGTGATATGTTAGATGATGAAATTTAAATTTAAAATATCATAAATAAATATTCATACAAAAAGGTTTTCAATTAACAAAGAATGAGACAGCAGTCTTTTGAAAATTAAAAGCCATTGAATTCAAATATCTAAAATAGATTTTTAAATACTCGGTAAAATGAAAATCCAGGTCCAGGTGAATATAATTTGCCAGGAATGTCTGATAAATATAATTTATATAAAAAAACTAAAAACGAAAGATATCACTTTAATCATGATCAACAATATTCGTTAACTCCTTTAAAAGAAAAAGAAAAATAATTACTTGTAACCAACTACTTCAGCCCTAAGCTTTTAAATTCTATTGATAATACAATACAAATACCATATAACTACTACGAAAGCCATAAAATTAATCATAATTAAACTATTAGCTATAACTGAAATAATTATATATTAAATTAATTTAATTTGTATTTTAATAATATCTATTCATGTTTTTAGAATTTATTGATATAATCTTATTATAAATAAATATTCAAATCTACTTACATTATTAAATAATTAAATTCATTTAAGTAATTAGTTCAAAAAATTAATATTGAAAATATATACAATTAATTAGTCCCCATAAATTTTTTTGCTCTAAATTTTAAAATCATTTTTCAGTTTCACCTAAATCATGAGGAAAGAAAGACATTGAAAGTAATATATATAATATTTAAAAAATATATAATTTCAAAACTCTTTTCAAAAATTATTTTATTTTTTTTTGAGATTTACTAATTATTTTTTATTCAGTAAAAATTATTTTTTTACTTTCAAAATTTGAGTAAAGGCACTAAATGATATCAAAAATTTCTTAAAATTAGAAAAAAACAGAATGATAAAAACAATTATAAAAAAAAGAATGAGTAAAATTAGATAAAAATCATAAAAATTAATATTTTAATTTATGGATTAGCAATTTAAAATATTGTTTTAAATAAATTTTACATAGATTAAATTTTTAATAAAAGTAAGTATTCAATTAAATATTTTAGTTTACATTCTAATTTTATTTAATTTTGGCTTTTATTAATTGTTAATAACATTTCCTAATATATCTGTCAAAAATGCACTTTTTGATAATTTTTTTCCATTCCTATATGCAATTAAAACCTATTTTTCTGTCTGATTTTATCAAAATTTTTGATTTAATTAAGTTGGTAAAGAAATTTTAAAAGAAGTCAAATTTAATCTTAATAGATATTGATAAATAAAGCAAGATATTTATTTAGATATGAGTGATTCTGAATAAGATTCCAAAGATGAAACATTAGAATTTTTAGCATAATAGCTTGAATAACATTATCATTTAAAAACAATTAATAAATTTGGAGGATAAGGTGGTTTTGGATTGGTTTTATTTGTTTAAGATGAGAACGATGAGTCATAAAAATATGCTGTAAAAGCTTAATCAATAATTAACACAACTACCGGAAACATCAATTAAGTAGTATTAAAACAATGCAAAGAAGAAGCAAGAGTAATGAAAGAATGTAAGCATTAAAATGTAGTAGAAATATACTCTGATTTCGTACTTGGCTTCTATCACTTTATTTTAATGAGGTTGTGTAAATAATCTCTTAATGATTGGATAGTGTAAAATGGAAAAAATTCGATTTCTGATTAAGTTTTTTGTAAGTTTGCTGAATAAATGATTGAAGGGCTAGAATATTTGCACAATAGAGACTATGTTCTCAGAGATGTCTCTGTCAGAAACATACTCTTAACTGCGAATGATGAAATAAAATTTTGTGATTTTGGTCTTGCTAGAAAGTATGATAGTTCTCTTAGAAGCAAAGTCCTCTATACTTCTCATTTGAATGGTGTCATTTACTATTTTCCACCAGAAATTCATTAAGCAATTTAAGAAAATAAACCTTAAATAAAATAAACGAAAGAGGGAGATATATGGGCTTTAGGTGTTTGTTTATCTCTCTTGGGAGGTATTCCAATCGTTCACTTTTCAAACTCATTTCATGAGGACTTTAAAATAATTGATGCTCCTAATTTAAGTAAAAAAGCTAATTAACTTATAAAATAAATTCTTATAAAAGATGCCAAAAAGAGGCCTTCATTCAAAGAGATAAAAGAACACATTTAAAATATATTTTAGAATGAATTTGAAATCGAAAATAAATAAGAAATAAATTTAAACAGTGAAGAAAAGACAATCAACTAATTTAGATAATAAGAAAAAATTAAAGATAATTCATAAAAGAGGGATAATTTGTAAGAGACAGATGTGTTCTTTGTAAATAGATCGATATTAGAAAATAAGATTATGGAAAGCTCTCTAAATGAATAGAGTCAATTAGCAAGTGAAGCTGATATCAATATAGAATTCAATTTCTTAGAAGGTGAAAAGTTGTTTTTAAAATACAAGGAAAAATTAAATTAATAGCCAGAAAATATAGAAATTTTATTATTGTTTGGTCATATTGAAATAAAAATGAATTGCAATTTTGAATTTGGTTAAAATTACCTCAATAAAGTTATTTCCCTGAAAAAAGATAATTTAGACGCTTATCTGGGTATATGTGAAAGTTTTTTACTATAAAAAAATTGTTTAAATTACTCATAGATTGAAGAATATATTAAATTATGCTTCAACATCAACCCTTCGTATTGGAGATTACTATACATATAGGCTTGGCTCTTGTACGAATAAGAAAACTATATTGAAAGTGAAAAAATTATTATCAAAGCTCTGCTTCAATTTCCTCACTCTCCTCTTTTGAATTCACTTCATGCTCTCATACTGGTTTAAAAGAATTTTCAAAATAAAAATACTTCAGAAGAAGAAATTAAAAAATCGATTGAGTCAAATCCACTAAATGATCCAATTGTTTTAAGCAGGGCAGGTTTTTTTTATTAGTACTACATAAAATAACTCAATAAAGCTCAAGAATTTTATATAAAAGCTCTAAGTTTATGTCCATAAGAATTATTGTCACTTTCTAATCTTGTTTTACTTTTTAATGAAGTAAAAGAAAATACTCAATTAAAATATTACAAAAAATAAATAAAAAGTTTTTATTCAGAAAATAGTTTTGCAAAGCAGATTTTAGGGAGAATAAATTAAAGCTAGGAAAAGAAAATAAAATATTTCTAAAAATCAACTGATTTAGATCCTTATATGACAAGTTCTTACTTTTATCTTTCTGAAGTTAGAAAATAACAATTAAAATTTAGCGAAGTCGAAGAAATACAAAAATTAATATTGGAAATAAATCCTAAAGCAGCTTCTGCTTGCATAGAGCTTGCAAATATTTACTTACATAAGAGTGACAGAAAATCTGCTTAATAATATCTATTTCAAGCACAATAATTAGAAAATAAATAAGAATGCGACAGCTTATATCTAGATGGAATTAACTTTGAATTAGATGGATATGATGAGCTTGCTTTAAAACAGTACTATCAATCTATTAATAAAAATCCTATTTAAGAGAGGTCTTACTAAAGAATCATTCGTATTCTATAATTAAGCAAATAACAGAATTTTGATGAATTGATTAATGTAGCAAAAAAAGCATTGATATACAATCCTGTAAACGAGCTTTTTAAGTTAGTATTAATTGAGGCTCACATAGAAAAATAATAATACATTGAGGCTAAAGCCGAATTAATGGATTTACTAATAATTAATCCTAAAAGACGAGAAGTATACGAAAAGCTAGCGTACTTAGAAAATGTATATTTCAAGAATAAAGACTAAGCAATCTTATATTATTTGAAAGAATTAGAAATAAATTAATCAGAGACATCTATGGTGCACTTAGTTAACATTTATTTAGAAAAGAATCAATATCAATTAGCAGAAGAACATTTAAATAAATATCTCTAGATATTTCCCAATAATAAAGAGTTAAAATTTAGTAAAGCAGTTTTGCTAAAATCAAAGAACAGTATAGATGAAGCAATTTAAATTTTAAAAGAAATTCTATTAACAAATCAATCTGACTTTAAAATATACAATGAACTAGGTTATATTTATCAAACTTACAAGTAGGATTATAATGAATCCCTTATCTATTATAATAGATCTTTAGAAATAAATAATTAAGTCACTTCAATTTACTATAATATAGCTTTAATTTACTTGTATTTTAAGAATTACGATTATGCTGAAAAACTGTTAAAAGATTATATCAAATATTTTAGTAATGATTACAAAGGCTATTTTGACCTGGGCTAAATATATTATATTAAAAATGAATTACCTATTGCCGCTTCTTACTTTTTAAGGACTATTCAAATGGAGCCTAATCATGAACAAGCCTATTATTTATTAAGTTAAATATAAATCCGTGAAAATAAATATGCTGATGCTATTGTTTCTCTTAAAAAGGTGAGAGAGCTCAACCTCAAGCGCTATGATGCTCTTTTAGACCTAGCAAATCTTTACTCAATAGAAAATCCATAGCTTTCATCTGATCTCTTTTTCTAATTCTTATAACACGAACCACTAAATAAAGAAGCCCTAAAAGCTTATAATTAAATCACAAATGGATAATTTTTGAAGAATCTGCAAAAAGAATTAGATAAAATATAAGATGAATAATAAAAGGTAATAATGTTAAAATAAATAGTATTGCTCTCTTCTAAACCTACATTCTAAATTTTAAAATTGTTGGCTTCAATATAAATTTAATTAGAATTGATTTAAGATGCAAATTTGACTATAAATTTAATGTAAAAACATTATCCTAGAGAGGGTTATTCTTATTTGCTTTTAGCAGAAATATAAGTTATGCATCTTAAAAACTATAAATTAGCATTAGAATAATTAAACAAAGCTAAAGAATATTAAGTTAATGAAGAGGGTCTTCTTTATTTATATACTGGCTTCTCTTATTGGAAGTTAAAAGACTTACAAAAAGCAATAAAATTTTTTAAAAAGTCAGCTAAGAGTTAACCATTAGCATACTTTTATTTAGCTGAAATTGAAATGAATGAAAAATAAGATTATCTTTAAGCTATTCAATACCTACAACAGTGTTTAAAATAGAATTTTACTCTCCCTAAAGTTTATTTTGCTCTTGGTTAATCTTACTAAAAATTAAATTATATTTATCAAGCTAAGGAATCATATGAAAAAGTTCTAATGCTTGATCCTAATTACTTTGAAGCAGAAAAATTGCGAGAGTTCATAAATTAAAATCCAAATCCAGAAAAATAAGAATTCAAAGAGAAATGTTCCATTTTTTGAATTAACTATTAAAGCATTATTTCAAAGAAATTTAAATTTATTTTCTTGTTTTCAAATAATAATTTTGAAAATATAAATTTGTTTGTTTATATATGTGGGAATTATTAATCAATAAAAATAATATAATTACTTGTTCATTAATAAAAACAAGTAAGAACTAATAAAAATTAGTATTTTATATTTTACTTCGAAATTAAATAAAAAACAATAATCATTATAATTTGCTAATTGCAGTTTTATTTTTAGTACTTATATTTATTAATTGATTTTTATAAGCGTATTAGAGCTATGTTAATTATTTATTAATCAAAAATTTTTAAAAAATCAGCTAGGTTTTACTTTTAAGTTATTTAGGAATTACTTAGATTATTAAAATTTTGTTTATGAAAAAATTTGTTCAAATATTGCTAAATTTGTTGATTGACAACCCTGCTAATTATATTAAATCAATATTTCCAAATATAAAAATAATAAATTATTTTGTTAATTAAAAAACAAAAATTATTTTACTTTACTAAAAGATTATTTATTTTTAATAGTTTTTTATTATTTAATTTAAAAAAGAAATAAAAAAACAAATCAATATCATTAAACTTATCTATTACTTGTTTATCCTTATCTAAAATAATTTATTTATGTATAGAGGATTTTTAATTATATCAGTGTTATTTTCTATCCTGAGTACTAAAAAAAATGAATTTTCATAATTTATTAAAATATAAATTTAATTTATTTATTTTTTAAATTCGAAAATAAAAGCATTGCTATTAATGAGATTATTTTGAGTTAATTGTTTTATTTTATTTAGATTTTATAAACACTTATTTATATATCTTTAGCAAATTAAAGAAGTAAAATTAATTAATTAAAATATTTATAAAAGAAAAATAAATATTTCTGATCAAAATTAAATATTGAAAAGAATTTCCTTAAAAAAATACTTTGAGGGAAAAATCAAGTTTAATTGAAAATTTTTATTAACTTTCTTTCACATTCTTACAACTAGCCGCATCTATTAATATGTTTAAATATTTCTATATATTTTAAAGATATTATCAGATAACAAAAGTAATGAACGTCTTAAACCTTCAAAAAAGATTTAATTATTTAATTTCATGGTTTAATAAATATTCAAAAAATATGAGTAGGTAAATACAGATAATTTGCATGTTTTAATTTGTAGAAATCTTTAATAATTATTATTGTTTATTGAATTAATAAATTGATTTACTCAAAATTATTATTTAAATTAATAAGTATTTATCTAAATTGACATATTCTATAATCTTTGAGGATGAGTGATAATGATTAAGAAGAAGATGAACTAGTTGAAACATTAGAATTTATATCAAAACAATTAGAAGAGCATTATCAACTCAAAACAATCAATAAATATGGGGGATAAGGTGGATTTGGATTGGTTTTATTTGTTGAAGACATTAATGATCAGTCGTAAAAGTATGCAATAAAAGCTCAATCAATAATTAGTAAAACAACAGGGAATATAAATTAAACATTGTTAAAATAATGCAAAGAGGAAGCGCGTATTATGAGAGAGTGTAAACATGAAAATGTAGTTGAGATTTACTGTGATTTCGTTCTTGGACTTTATCACTTTATCTAGATGAATCTTTGCTATTGTTCGCTCAGTGATTGGATCATGATCAATGGCTAAAGGAGTATTTCTGATTAAATTTTTTGCAAATTTGTTGAATAAATGATTTAAGGATTAGAGTATTTACATAACAAAGACTATGTGCTTAGAGATGTATCAGTAAGAAATATACTGCTAACTGTTAATGGAGATATTAAATTTTGTGATTTTGGTTTAGCTAGAAAGTATGATAATTCTCTCAGGAGTAAGGTTCTCTACACTTCTCATTTAAATGGAGTGATCTATTATTTTCCACCTGAAATCCATTAAGCAATTTAAGAAAATAAACCTTAAATAAAATAAACCAAAGAAGGAGATATATGGGCATTGGGTGTTTGCTTATCTCTTCTGGGAGGTGTTCCAATTAGCCACTTTTCAAATTCATTTCATAAAGATTTTAAAATAGTTGACGCTCCTAATTTAAGTGAAAAAGCAAATTAACTGATAAAAGAAATTCTTATAAAAGATCTTAAAAGCAGGCCAACTTTTAATTAAATCAGAGAGCATATTCATAAAATATTTTATTTTTTAGACTTGGGAGCAGTAAAAACTTTAAATGAAAAAGTAAAAAGTTCTGAAACAACAATTAGCCAAACTAACTCAAAGTTAGAAACTCGAGATAATTCTATAGTAAGTCTATCGTAATCAGAGACAGCTGTCGTTTTTATAAACAACAAGATAATTGAAAAAAAAATATTTGTACTTCCTTCTAACTTAGATGAACAAATTAAAAAAGCAGAAGTTAATGTTGAATTTAACTTTTTAGAGGTTTAAAACTTTTATCAAAAGTACAAATCAATCCTAGCTGAGGAACCTAACAATATAGAAATTCTACTTTTCCTTGGTCATGTTGAAATTAAACTGAATTGTAATTACGAAATAGGTGAAAGCTACTTGGAAAAAGTAATTTCTTTATAGAAAAATTCTATAGAAGCTTACTTAGGCATTTGCGAAAGCATCTTAATATAGCGAAAAGCATGCTTGTACAATTAAATTAGAGAATACATTAAAGTTTGTTTTGATTTTAATCAATCTTATTGGAAAATATTTTACATTTAATCTTGGCTTCTTTATGAGTGTGAAAATTATGTATTAAGTGAAGAATGCCTTCAATTAGCTTTAAATTAATACCCTAAATCTTCCTTATTGAATTCTCTACACTCACTTTTATTAATACAAATATCTGGGTAGAGTATTCAATCTTCAACTGAAAAACTTGAAAATGCAATTTCTTAAAACTATCTTAATGACCCATTGGTGTTAAGCAGAGCAGGTTTCTTTTATTAATATTACTTAAAAGAATTTAATAAAGCGAGTACATGCTATAAAAGGGCTCTTGAAATATGCCAAAATGATTTAATGTCTCTGTTTAACATAATAATTCTTCTAAATCAATAAAAAACAGCTCCTGATAAATTAGAGGCTTATCTAAATTAAATAAAAAGCTATTATAAGGAGAATAGTATAGTTAGTCAATTGTATGGATGCATTGAAAAGAGTTTCTCAGAAAAGATAAAATATTTTAATAAATCGATTGAGCAGGACAAATGCTAAGTTAGCTCATACATTTATCTGTCTCAAATAAAGAAATCATAAAACAAAATAGAAGAACTTGAAGAGATTTATAAGAAAATTTTAGAGATAAATCCAAATCAAATCAACTCATACATAGAATTGGGTTAAATATATTTTCAAAAAAATGAAAAATTAAAAGCACAATCATACTTTAAATAAGCTTAAGATCAAAAAAATATATCTTAATACGATGATTTATATCTAAAGGGAATAAATTGTGAATTAAACCAGCAAGAAGAACTTGCAATGAAATATTATAATTAATCAATAGAGTATAATCCATATTAAGAAAGATCATATTTGAGAATTATAAAAATTATCTAAGAAAATAAAAATATAATAATAAGTGAAGCTATCAACATCAACATAAATGCAATTTAAAAAAACCCTTTAAGTGAAGATTTGAAGCTCTCTTTGATTTCCCTTTATATTGAACAGAAACGCTACTTTGAAGCTAAATAGATCATGATAGATTTGATAAAATTGTAGCCTTACAAGCCATAAATTTATGAGCAATTAGGTATTATTGAATATCGAGAATTATTAAACAAAGAACAAGCGATTGAATATTTTAATAAAGAATTAGAACTTAGTATATCAGATACATCTGTAGGGTATTTAGCACTCATATACTTTGAAAAAAATGAATAATAGAAAGCAAAAGAATATTTAGAGAGAGCAATAGAAATCAACATGAATAATTTAGATGCCAAATACGTTTAAGCTAATTTGATGAAACAAGACAATTTAATAGACGAAGCAATTTAAATTTTAAATGAAATATTAGAAAGAGATCAATATTACTACAAAGCCTATGCTCTTTTAGGTAATATTTACCAGTTTAATAAATAAAATCCAAAAGAAGCCTTGAATTACTACTTGAAATGCATGGAAATTAATAAATAAATAAATGAGATGCATTATAATGTTTCACTTATTTACAAGAATGATATTAACGATATTGATAAAGCATAATAATTTTTGTGCCAATATACAAGCATGAATATATATAATTATAATGCAATATGCGAACTCGTTAAAATATATTTGCTGAAAAACGATCTTTATAATGCTGAATCTTTGCTCATTTTATATACTATGCATAATACATAAAATGAGGACGCATTACGTAAGCTTAGCGATATTTAGATATAATTAAATAAGGATACAAATGCAATTAACACTCTTGAAATTCTCAGAAGTCTAAATCCTACTAGAAAAGATGTACTTTTAGATTTAAGTAAATTGTATGAAAGTAGCTAACCTTAAATGTCTGCTCAAATATATTACTTATGCCTATAATAAGACCCTTTAAACGTCCAAATTTTACAAAAAATAAACTCTTTTACATAGGGGTCATTTTTATTAAAATTATAATAAGAAGCTGAATAAGAAAAAGATGAAAATAAACTTTTGATTCTATTGAAACAATAATAATTAATAAATAATAAAAGCTCATATAATTTATTGTAAAAGTTAGCTGATATTCAATTTAAATTTCACATGTATGAAGACTCTGAGAAAACAATCTAGAGTATGATTTAATAATTTAAAAAAAAAGGATATCCATACCTGCTTCTAGGGAAAATAGAACTAAAAGTAAATTAGAACTATACTAAAGCCATCGAGTACTTTCAAAAAGTGTAAGATCTAAATGAAGAGTCTTCTGAGCTCTATTTAAGAAGAGGATATTCCCATATGTAACTTTATTAAATGGAAGACGCTACTAAGTACTTGAAAAAAGCTACTAAAATAGTCCCAGTATAGCCTTTATCTTTTCTTTATTTGGCTTAAATAGAAACTTATGTTAAGGGTAATTATAAAAAGGCAATGAAATATCTATAAGAGTGTTTAAATAAAAATTTTAAAGTAGCCAAAGTTTATTATGAATTTGGTTATATTTTTGAATAACTAAATTATTTGTATCAAGCAAAAGAATCTTATGAAAAAGTCTTGGAGTTAGATCCTAATTTTGAGAAAGAAAAATATTGTAAAAATTTTATAGAGCAAAATCCTTAACCAGAAAATAAAGAATTTAAAGAATAGTGTTCAATATTTTGAATACAACTTAAATAAATTAAAAATTTTATATTTATTTTAAGCACTACTCAAATATATTGATATTGAGTATATTTATTTTTATTTTTATTTATTTATTAATTATTTTCATTTTCAAAACATATATAGCTAGTCTTTCAAATTTTTTAAATTTATGCTCGTAAGTGAGTCTTAAAGTATTAAAAATTTACAAATTATAAATTATAACTTTTAAAAAATTTCTTAGTTGAAAATATTTTTTCAAATTAAAAATAAATAATATATTTTAAACCAATTAATAAAATTTCAATTTTTTAAATTAAATCATTTAGAAAGTTTTGAAAATATAAAAATATCTTATTCTGTAATAAATAAATATTTTTAATTAGATTTTAAATGAAATAAGATAAAAGATAAAAGTTAAAATAGAAAATTTTATTTTATTTTTTTACTTGATATTTAATATTAATAAAATTTTTTTATTATTAAAATATTATTGTAAACTGAATTATATTTATATTTATTTATTTGTTATCAATAAGATAGTAGAAATTTAGTTCTTTTGTTTGTTAAAAAGAAATGGTTTAGGATTTTAGAAGCATTATTAATCAATCTGTTTATTATTAATTAAATATAAGATTAGCTAAAAATATATAAACTGAAATATTAATTAATTAAAATATAAAATTTTATACCTTTACAATTTATTAAACAAGCACAAGCAAATGTCAACTAAACAAATTCAGAAAAAAGCCAACACAGCAGTTCAAAGCAAGAAATCTTAAAAGATAGAAGAAAAGAAAAAAGATTAGCTTAAGAAACTTGCTGAAGAAGAAGATGAAGTAGAATAAAGTAGTGACGAAGAACAAGAAGAATCCTAAGAATTAAATGATGATTCAGCTGAAAAATAATAGGCTAAACAAGAAAATAAGAATGGAGATTAAGAAAATAAAAGCGGAAGCGAATACTTAAAAGAAATTTAAATTGATGAAACTGAAGAAAAAGAAGATGTGACCTTTTAAAGCTTAGGAGTAAAATTTAAATTAATATTTTGAAAAAAATATCATTTTTGTACATAAAATTAATGTTTAGGTTTGTGAAGAATTAGTAGAAGCTTGCAATAGATTAAAATATGTGAAACCCACTGCAATTTAAAGAGAATCTTTAGTTTATACATTAAAGCAAAGAGATATTATTGCTTTAGCAGAAACAGGTTCTGGTAAAACTTTAGCTTTTGCTTTACCTGTTATTCAAAATTTGTTAGATGCTCCTCAACCTTTCTACGCTTTAGTTCTTTCTCCTACAAGAGAATTGTGTATGTAAATTGCTGAGCACTTTGAAGCTTTGGGTGTTGGTATAAGCTTAAAGACAACAGTTATTGTTGGTGGTCTTGATCCTATGGCTTAGGCTATTGCTCTCTCTAAAAAGCCCCACATCAGTAATTTCTTTTAAATTTTAAAATATGAAAATATAAAATTAAATTTTGCTATTTTGAAGATTTAAGTGTACTTAATTAGTTTATACACTTACTTGAACTTGTAGCAATTATTATTCATACTATTTTTGCAAAACCAGTGAAATGAATATAAAGAAATTAATTGCTTTGTTTTAATAAATAGTCATTGGTACTCCAGGTAGAATACTTTATCACATGCAAAACACCAAAGGATTTAATTTCAAGGCACTCAAGTTCTTAGTTTTGGATGAAGCTGATAAGTTATTGAATATGGATTTCGAAAAGGATATCAACCAAATTTTGGATATCATTCCTAAAAAGCGTAACACATTCTTATTCTCTGCCACTATGACTAATAAGGTTCATAAGCTTCAGAGAGCTTCACTCAAAGATCCTGTTAAAATTGAAGTTTCTTCAAAGTATCAAATGGTTTCAACTTTAGTTGCTTAGTATGCTTTCATACCTGCCAAGTACAAAGACTGCTACCTTGTCTATTCCCTCAATGAATTTGCAGGAAACACCTCAATTATTTTCGTTCAAACTTGCTTAAATGCTATCAAGTAACAAATAAATAAAAACAATTTTTGAATTTATTTTTAGAATTAAATTTACTAACAAATTAGGTTAACTTTGATGCTTAGAAATCTTGGATTCTCAGCTGTTACTATCCATGGTTAAATGAGTTAGGTCAAGCGTTTGGGTGCTATTAATAAATTTAAATCAGGAGAGAAAAAAATATTAGTTGCTACTGATGTTGCTTCTAGGTAATTAAATTAATTGATAATTTTATATGTCTTTCTGTATAAAGATTTTTGATTAAATTTTATATTAAATAATATATAGAGGTTTAGATATTCCAAGTGTTGATTTAGTTATAAACTACGATATTCCTACAAATGCCAAGGAATACGTCCACAGAGTAGGTAGAACTGCAAGAGCTGGTAGAGCTGGTAAAGCCATTAGCTTTGTTACTCAATATGATGTTGAAATGTATTTAAAGATTGAAGCTTTGATTGGTAAAAAACTTGATCAATATAAATGTGAAGAATATTAAGTTTTAGTTTTCAACGAAAGAGTTTAAGAAGCTCAAAGAATCGCTGCATAAGAAATAAAAGAAATTATGGAAAAAAAGAACAATCCTCTCCATGATGTTGATGATGAAGGTGAAAAATACAGTAAGAAAAATGCAAATAACAACAGAAAGAAAAGCTTCAATAATTCTAAGAATATGAAAAAAATGAAAATAGATATTTGATATCAATTAATTAATTAATTAAAAAATAAATAACTTACTTTTTAAGAAAACAAAACAAAACAAAAAATGACTAAATAAATAAAACATTCAATTTAACATATGTAAAAAATTAATTCCTTCTTCTTCTTTATTTATATATTTGTATTTCCTTTTCATAAATAATATGTTTCCATTTATTTTTCTATCTCATCTTTCATACAGAATTAACTTAATTGTTTTCTTTTCAAACAATCAAATTGAAATAATATTAACATTTATTTGAGTTAAAATTACATATTTTAATTATTATCAAAACAATCAAATTGAAATAATATTAAAATCCATTTGAGTTAAAATTACATATTTTAATTATTATCAATTGCAATTTGTTAAATATTCAACTCTATTTTTATATTTTTAATAATTTTTTTTTGTGAAAATATTTTTGAAAGCAAGAATCTAATTCAATTGATTTATTTTTTTATTTTACTTTGAATTTCATCAGATTAAGTAATATGATGATCAAGAAATATTAGAAAAAAATTAGATTATTTAAGAAAATACATAAAAGAAATGAAATCTTTTATATTTCATATTTAAAATTCAATGTTTTCCATAAATAATTCAATTAAGATAGTAAAGTGTTTTTATTTGATTTAATGGGACAAAAGATAAAATTAGCTTAAAGGTAATAATAGCAAAATTTAGTTAAACAAGAAAAATATTTAATTTTTAACAAAAGATAATGAAAGGAATTAGGAAATGTGTTATAGAAATCGATTAAGTAATTATTAATTTTTTTTGTTAGGTATTTGAAAAGAAATAAAACATATTCGAATGGATGAAAAATAAAGTTAATAGGAACAATTCTGATGTAATTGGATTATTTATTTGTTAATGAAGAAAATGAAAACGAATGCAAAACGAATATAATAAGAATATAATTTACAAAATAAGATGGATAATTTCATTAAAGTGCGTTATATTTTTAAATGCGAAATTATTTAGGTATACTAATCAATGAATGAATGAAAGAGTGAATTATGAAAATTTATTTGTGGTTGATGTGTATTTAAAATATTTAATATTTCGATAGATGATGGCTAGTTATTAAATCTTTGAAAATTCATCAGTCAGTCAGTCAATCTCCCAAATATTTATCATAATTTAATGATTATGCGTTTATGTATGTGCCAGCTAGTTGATTTTTAGTTTTTTGATTTGTTTGTGTGGTTTTTTCGTAGTTTAGATTGGAGTTCGTAATTATTTTATTCATAATAATTTTATTATAGTTATATATTAATTGAGTGTTTAATAATATTTTAAGTTTTAATTTTTATATTGATGGATGAATGGATGTGTGTATGATCTAGCAATGAATGAATGACGAGGTAAAAAGAGAGAAAGATAAATATAAGTATTGGTTAAATAGTAATAAGAAAGAAATTTAGTAGCAGTAGAAAACCAGTAGATAACAGCATATTTTATTAATTTTTAAATATATATCTTTTTTTTTAAATTTCTTAACAATCCTTAATATTTTAAATAAAAACGTAACTAACTAACTAACTTGAGACTTGTTCAGCTAGCTTACAAGCTGACGAATTTATTGTTCTACTACTTTATTTGTTGTATTAATGTTTCACTCTTTGCTTAATAAAATTAGTTGATATTCTATGCCTTTCCACTACATTAAATTTCCTCTTAAATTCGTATTATATTCGATGCTATCTAATCCTTTTCAATTTTCTTCAGGCTTGGGGATGTTGTTATTTTCTTCATTAACGTAGAAAACAGTCCAGTCGTTAGGTGTTTAATCGTTGGGCTTTCCGTGCTTATCTAAGAGACCTTCCTTGATGAGGTTTTTCTTTCTTAAGGCTCTAGGACCCAAACCCCATCTCTTGGGATAGAGGTCTCTGTCCATAATAACTCTCTTGGTCTTGCAGACGATACCGTGATCGCAGGTGGCGAGTTCGGAGGTGGTCATTTAAGCAACAGCAACAGCGATAGCTTCACCCTTGGTGGTGATCAAAACTACTTCCTTACCGTTTTCAATGTTGTTGTCATAACGGAGGACACCAGGGAGCATGAGCTTAGCACCATAACAGATAGAGTTAACGGTAGAATCCTTAACGACAATACGAGGGAAACTAGTAAGTAAAACTTCAAGAGGTAAAACAACACGTCTGAGATAAGATTCATCCTTGAAGTGTTGATATCTCCAGATAGAGTCCTTGACGTCGTGCATGGTGACGAGATATTAGTTTTCGTCGAGGATACCAGAACGAACTCTTCTAAGTTCTTCCATATGACCACCAGTACCGAGTAAGAGACCTAAGTGGACACAGAGGGTTCTAACGTAAGTACCAGCTTCGCAACTCATCCAGATGATACCCATCTTCTTTTCGGGATTGTATTCAATTAACTTAGATTCATAAATAGTTCTAACTCTCAATTCTCTCTTGACAGCGGAAATAAGAGGGGGCTTTTGGAAAAGGGGACCAGTCAATTGTTGGAGGGCCTTAGCGAGCTTGAGTTCGGATTCAATATCGTTGTGGAGTCTAACAATACCAACGTATTCCTTACCAGCGCTCTATTGAGCCTTAACCAATCTAGTAGCACGGTTCAAACAAACGATCAAACAACCAGTAACCTTAGGATCAAGGGTACCAGAGTGACCGGTCTTTTCCATCTTAGTGATATTTTCGAACAACTTCTTAACCCATGCGACAACTTCGTGAGAAGAGGGGTTAGAAGGCTTATCCAAATTCATAACACCATATTTTAAATGTTCTTCCATGGGTCTAGCTAGGGGGTTAGATCCGTTAGGAATGGGGGTGTAGTGAGATGATCTGATGTTCATCTTATCGTAATTCTTTAATAATAAGGGCCATTGGCTAGCATCCAACTTAGCGCCTCCCTTGGAAGGTTTAATAAAATCTTAAGCGACGACTTGCTCTTCAACTTCAGCAACTTCGCTTGATTGCTTTCTTTGCTTCTTCTTATCTTTACCCATTATATCTTAATAATATGTTAACTTCTATATATTTTTGTTTATATATTTTTATTATTTTTATTTTGTTTTCGCTACTATTGAGCCTATATTGTTCTTCAAATCTTTTTATACTTTTTTTTGGTCCTTTCTTCTTAATACCTAACTTAATTTGACTTTATCTTCTTTCTTTTTAATTTTGTTTTTATTTAATATTTTTTATCCTGTTCATATATTTGCTTAATGAGTTATCCATGCCAATACATTTATAATTTTCATTTATTCTTATTCCTTTCATTTATTCATTCATTTATAAACACATTGAAGCATACATATATATATTTATTTATTGATAGAGCTGATTTTTGATGTCTGCAAAATCAATAATAAATACAAGCAGTCAAAGCAAGCATCCACTATTATTTTATTTCATTTTTCATTTATTTTTATTTATTTATTATTATTATTACTACAAAATTTATAATCAAAAATGCTCACATAATCTATCTATACATGCATTTTCGTTTTTGCTTCAAATGGATATCTCTCACAAAATCATAATAAACCGATTTGCATTTCATTCATTATATCTTACTTAAAAATTTAAAATTTATTTTGCTTAAAATCTCAAATATTTAAATTCTACCATCTGATAACTACCTCTTTTTATTGAATTCCTCAATACACTATGAATTTTTTATTTACTAAGAGACATTATTGCAATAAAAAATCCAACCATATAAAGGGGTAAGTTTATTAATTCTACTTAAAAAATTTAAATAAAAATAAATGCAGAATGAATATTTTATTAATTTGGATAAATTTTGATAAAAATAACTTTAGATAATTTATTGCTATTTATTCCATTAGATTTCATTTCTAATAAAAATAATTATTTTAAAATTAAATTGATGTTTAATTAAATTTTATTTCATTTATCTAAAAATAAAATAAAATATTTTAATTATTTTATACAAAATTAATTTTGTTCCAATTTTTTTGAATAAAAATATTAAAAATTATTTTTGATATTTATCAAATAAAAAATTAAATCATTGTAAAATCAAATAAAAACATTTTTTTAAATTAATTTTTATCTGACTAAAATTATTATTTGTAAGTGAAATCATATTTAAAAAATTTATCTATTAAAAAACAAAATATTTATCTTATATGCTAAATAATTAATTATTAACGTAATTATCAGTAATTAGCTATCATGTATATCATTTAAATTTGAGATTTCAGCAGATATTTTTATATTTGAAAAATAGTGATTTTGAATTTGCAAATTTTTGATTAGCCAATTTTTTTAATTAACTAATTAGTAGATTTGTGAGATTCTATTAATATTTTTTACTTATTAAAATTCAATTTATATAATATAAAGCAGCTTAATTTATCATAACACATACTTATTTGTATTACTAATAAATCAATGGTATCAAGATCCTTCTGTATAGGTACTAAAAACTTGAATAGTTTTGATAACGAAGATGAAGAAGATGATCTACTTAGTAAAAAAGATGTAGAAAGACTCACAAATTTGTGGAAAACCATGAAAGATGTAAAAAAAATTAATTAAATTTATCATTATAAAGATAGAAAAAAATATTAAATAAATAGAGTAAAAAGCATCTGAATAATAGCAAAACGAACATAAATGCAAGCTTTTTGAATACTAATGCGCCTCATCATTTGAATAACTCTTTTAATAATCATACTATGAAATAAAATGATGATTCTATTTGCGAGTAATTTGATAACAATAACAACAATGATATTTCTTTAAATATCTCTAAAATTCCTCATATACCAAAATAAACAGATGCAATTTTACTCCAAAAAGCTAAAGACTCAAATAAGCTTTTAATCAGAAAAGTTAAAGAATAGGAAGTTGAATTGGAGTAGTGCCATTAAAAAATTGCAAAATTAGTCAGTTAAAATTAAACTCAAACGAAATAAATCAGCGAGTTATCATAAAAGCTTGAATAATACGCTATCAGTTAAAAAGAAGTAACTTTAATTATGAATTCACATGCTAAAAATTAATTTAAAATTTAAATCAAAAGATATTGGAAAAATCTAGACTTAACACAAACATGATAGAGCAAAGTCTAGAGGATAAAGACAGAATTATGGAGGATTTGAAAACTCAGCTTTAAGAATCAAAGGACTAAGTACAAAGAATGATAAACTCAAACAAAGAAATAATGAATGAAAATTCTAAATTAATTGAATAGTTAGAAAGCAAAACAGTTGAAAATGAAAGGATTAAGGATAGATTGCAATAGGTAATTTTTTTTTTTTTCATTTTTTATAAAAAATTAATTTATTTTTTCAATTTATTTCGATTTGAAAAAAATTATTTTAGAAATATTTATTGACTGAAAAAATATTATAATTTATTTTGACGTAAATAGGTTGAGAAATATTTGGAAGAAATATATAATGAAAAATAAGCTAATGGGGTTAATTAAGTAGAAATGGATTATTTAAAATCAGATATTGAAAGATTATTAAAATTATTAAAATCAACTTAAGAAGTAAATTAATTAGCTTTAATATTTTAAATTCATTTTCAAAAATTATTTCAAATTTAGTATAAGGAACTTTCATTTATGGCAGAAGAAAGTATGTCAATTAGATATCTAAAGAATAATCCCAGCTTTTTGAAGAATTATAAATCAAACAATTAGAATTCTTCATCTGTTGATTTAAAGTAAAGCACCATTAAGAGAAATTGCTGTGGTTGTTCTGCCTAGGTAAAACAGTAGGAAGTAAATGAAAAACAGCTTTGGGTTCCAAAGGATGCATTCTAATTTGCATTTTAAATAAGCTAAAAATACAATAAAAGACTAACAGAAGAAATAATTGAAGAACTACTATATGGATTAAACTAAATATGGTCAAATAGAGAAAAAACTATAGTTGATAAACTCAAAAGATAATATGAAACAGAAAACAAAGAGCTTAAAAAATAACTGAATAAAAATCTCACTTATGATGAAGTTTAAGCAAAAAAAAAGATTTAAAGATTAAAATCCGAATTAAGTAAAACAAGGAAAGAAAATGACTTCAGTACTCTCAACACAACTCTTCCTTTGCCGTAAAAGACTTTGAAATTAAATTTATCTTTAACAAGTCCTACTTAAAAAAAATAATTATATAATTTTAAATATTTATTTTAAGATTTTAGAATAAAGAATTTTAGATTTACTTGATTATATTATTTTTTTATTAATTGGAGAATGCTTTAATTAATTATTTAAAATAAATTATTTTTTTATTTATTGGACAAGATTTTAATAATTTAAAATATTTAAAAAAAGACCTAGTAGAGGAAGCAGCTTAAATGGCAACTCTCATTAGTGTAAATAGTAAGAAAAGATTATTTACTTTTAAGATGCAATTAGATTATTTTAGGAGTACGAGTCTGAAATAAGAATTGGCAAAGAAGAATTGTAAGAAGCCAAGAACAAAATAAGATAAATAGAAGAAGATGCCTCTTTGTATGATAAGGTTATTTACATGGAAGGAGCTCTATGGATGATTGAAAAAATATTAGCTGATGTTAATAAAGTAAAGCAGTAGTCATTTAACTAGTTAAATTAATATTAATTGGATTTAGACAAGCTCCTTCTGGTTACCAACAATAACTCTGAAGAAGAAATAGATGTCAATGCTGTATTAAAATTAACAAAGAATTTAGTCTCTGCTCTTTCTCACTTAAACCAATCTTTGAATGAAAAATATCATAATTTAAAAGATTCCACTTAAAAGTAAATTGAAAAAAGCAGCAAGGCTTAACATAAATTGAAAAAGTAAAGAAAAGCAGATACTAATTAGCATAATTAAGAGAACATAAATACTATGAACAGTTTAAATAAAAATGCTCATAGCTAATACGATGATGACTATGAAAAAGAGTAGAATATAAATTCAGCAGTTATATCACCAATAAGCATAAATAACCATAAATAATACCATTCTTATAACAATGTTGAGTCTAATACTACAACTTAAAGAGTTGTCGCTTCAAATTTAATCCCTTAAGTTTACAACTCTAACAGTGTTTACTCATCTAATCATAATATAAATAATTATTTATCTGAGCACAATTAAAACACTCATATCAATCATAAAAGTGCCAATAATATAGACTCTTCCTCTCACAGATAAAATAACCACTATTCCGCAATAAGTACACCTATATAATAATATTACTCTAGCAGCCACTCAGGATAATATAATTCCAGATTAAAAGATATATTTGATGATTCTATAAGTAATTTATTTATCTATTTTATTTAATTCTATTCTGCTTTATGCTTCTAAAAAAATTTTAATTTTAATAATAAATTTGCAAAAATATTTAAATAAAAAATTTATCTTAAAAATAGATTAAAGACCTATCTAAGAAAAATAAAATAGAAACTTCATAGAGTAATGAAAGAATATTTTGAATAGTATTGTAAATTCTAATAAAAATAGAAAATTGTTTTTTTTTGTTTTTATATTTATTAATAAATGTATATTTTATTTATTTTTAGATAGATCATTAAAATTAATTATTCATATCTTGTTTTTATTTTCATTTTTAAATATTCTAAACAAAAAATCTTAAAATTTTGACATTTTAAATTAATACAAACTAATTTGGTTAAAAATTTAAGGGTGTGTTATGAGAAATTAATGTATTATATCAATTAATTTTGATAGAGGAATTTTATTTCAGTTATAAATTTTAAAATAAAGTATTTGATAGTGATTTGAGGTTATGCAAATAATTTTAATTGTATATTTAGTAATTACATAGTTGTTATATAAATATATATTTACAGTTAGAAAGTATTTTATTTAATAATTTAATATTTCTTTACAGCTTTAATAGTTTAAAAATACCATTTATTGCTTTTATTTTTTTTGCTAATATATTTTATAAATTGAAAAGAAAGAGTAAATAAAAAGATAGATAATTAATTAATTTGAGAGAATGAAAGATAAATAAATTGTTATGAGGGATTGATTTTAAGGGATATTATAAGATAATTTTTCGTTTTCATAAGTTTAGTACAGTCATATTTCCTATTCTTTTTGTTAGAAGATTAGCTGCTAACATTTTTTACTTTAAATTATCATAAGAGAAATTAAATTATTTTCTTTTTGTAGAGTCTTAGCTGTATCTGTTTGTGTATAGATCATTATTTAACTTATTTATTTTAAAAAATTAGAAATAAATAAACATTAAAATACAATTTATTTATTACCTGTTGTTTCATATTTTTAAGCCAGTTTGTGTGTTCCTCAAAAATTTAATCAAGTTGTTCAGCATCTGTATACAAAAAATTTTAATACTTGCTATGTTTTCTTGAGTTTAGGTTTATATTGTTATCTTCTTAAATAAATTATTTCTCTAACTAATACAACTACAGCTATTTATCGAGCTACTGCTTATATTAAGTTTGATAGTTGCTTAGTTGGAAATTTGTTGTAAAGTCACCATAATTTTAAGATAGATCAAATGTTCTTTATAGAAGCTCCTCGATTGACATATTTCCCTTACTGTGATCTGCTATCTATTGATTTTCTCTTATCTAAATTATTTTTTATTAGTTAAAATATTTTTAATTTTAAAAATAGACCTATTTAGAATCTCAAAAATTTATTTAATTCAATTTTTTAACAATAAAAAAACTAAAATATTTTAATATCAATTTAAAAACACTGATAAAATATTTCACATAGAGTTAAATTAATTTGCATAACCAAAAGAAAAATTATTTATACTTGTTTGTTGAGCTTTGGATAAACATATTAAACCACGGATTTTTAATAATGGTCAATTTTTTAAGAAAGTTCTTCTTGAGTAAAGTTTCCTGATTCAAGCAAATCTTCAATTTAAAATAAAGCTTCTTCTCTGTTTTAAAGGAATTTTTAATTTTGTCTTGTTATTTAAACATCTTAATTAAAAGCGTCTGTAAGTTGCTACAATTTATTTTTCATAACTTTAATTTTGTTTTGGCTTTCTTAAGTTTAATGAGAATTAGATTCTATCAACTGAACTTATTGTTTCATTTTATTTTTTTCATATTGTAAAAATTCATACGATTTTTTTATGATAATTTTATCAAATCTCAGCTCTTCTTTTAATTAATCAATTTGCTGCCATTCTTCATCTAGAAATTAAATTAAAGGATCTTCAGCATTTTATTGCTGTTAATCATCTTAGAATTATTGTTATTCGTTTTCTTCATCTTCACCTTAAGTTTCTTCTGCTAGGGATAGCTAATTGTGTATCATAATTTACTAGTTGTGAGATTAACCATTACTACTCCTTCTATAGCTTAAGTCTTATCTTTGAAGTGGCATATTATTTTAATAAAACTCTTCGTTATCGTTTTCTAAGTTTTCCTCTCTGTCATGAGGTGCTTTATTAATTTAGTTTCTTATATTTTCAGAATCTCCGATATATTTTTATCTTTATTGCTCTTATGTAAATGAGTCATGAAAATCATCATCACTATCATCATCTGGAAATATAACTCTGTTAGAATGAGGAGGATTATTTTAATCTTAATTAAACTAATTCTGCTAAGCGTGATTATGTTCTATCCTCTCTTAGTTTTTTTAGTGTGCTAATTACTGAAGATTTTAGTGGAGATAAGTAGATATGGGCTCTTATTAATCTTAATCACTAGTGATATACATATTGTTATAATTATGATGATTTTACTAATGTTTTGTTGAAACTTAATTTAATCCACCTTCTTAATTTTTACTCATATTCATGTTCATTTATAAATTATTGATTTATAAAGGCAAATCATACTTTTTATTTGATGATTATTTATATTAACTGTTAGAATTAAATAAATTTTAAGAATTTATTAAGCCTTTTTAAGCAGTATAAGATATCATTTTCCCATAGCTATCAATTTGTTCAGATTTTTTATCTGATAATTATTTCAAGAAATCTACTCTGTTTTCAGATTGCAATAAATCTTGTATCATAAGCTATTTACTCATCTCATTTTGGATATATTTTTATTACTATTTAACTAATTTTAGGTCTTACTTCTTCAAGTTAACACTTTGGTGAAGTTCATCTAATACTTTTTGTTGCTGAATATCTATGTTGCTATTATAATTGCTATTAAATGACTAATTTAGCAGTTTTTGATTTTCTTTCTCAAGCTCAGTTCTTAAATCATTTATTCTTTTTAGTCCTAACACTTCATAATTCTATTAAAAAAAAAATATTATTTTCACTTGAAATAAAAAAATTAAAACAAAAATAAAACAATTTTCTCCTCCAAAAAAAATTAAAAATAATACTTTGCATTAAAACTAAAATAAAAAATTCAAATTCAATCAATTTAAATCCAAGTGTTAAAACTTTATTTTAAATTTAACCCAATTAAGTTTCTATCAAAATCACTTAAAAAGAGGTTGATTCAAAAATGTTTATTTTCACTTCTCATTAAATAATTAATTAATAATAAAATAATTGTAAATAAAAATTAATTAAATTATTTAAATTTTTTTATATTAACTCAAATATTTATTACTTTTATTTTAGACTCATAATTATGCTTTATATCTTACAATTTAATTTCGTGGCTTTAGGTTAAATCATCCAATTATTTTTAGAATAACTTTTGAGGCTCTTTTAATTTTTATTTGATTAAACCATCTATAAAATCTTGCTCTTCTCTTTTTATTTTTTCTTCTAAGAGAATCTACTGTTCTTATTGAAATTTTCTTAATTTATCAGAAATTTTATTCATTTCTTCAGTTTTTTTAACATCGTATTTCCTTTAATATAAATCTTTTAGCTAGATTTTTTTTTAAAAGATTTCTTTTTACACATCTTTTTCATCTCTATTAATAAGCTAAATAAATAAATGAATAACATAAATTTTTATTAAAGAAAAATAATTACTTTATATATCCTGTTTTCTTCTTCTTCAAGTTCTTTTATATAATTTTATTATATTTGCTAATATTCTAATTAGATATCAGCATCTGCTTCTTCAAGCTTTTTTAATTATTGATATTGCAATTCAACTTCTAATTCTTAAAATTTTTAATTTAGCCTTTTTTTAGATAATTCTATTTTATCTTTATTTGCTATTATAAGCTCTTCCCTTTTCTTCTTTTGCTTTTTTTACTCTTCTATCTTGTATTGATACTAATTTTATTTGTCTTCTTGATATTAGTCTAATTCATATTGGTAATCTTCTTTGGCTCTTTTGTTTGTGCTTTCCACATTTTCTTCGTGTTGTTATTTAATTTGCTTAATTTGCTTCTCCATTTCTAAAATCAATTCATTGTATTTTTCCTTCCTAACTTTTTCTTTAATTTAAGATAGCTTTTTTTAAACTTCTGATTATTTTTTGCTCTTTTCTTCTTAAAACTCTTCTCTTTTGTTTTTCTGTTTGATTTAGTCTGTATCCTTCTTTTATTCATACTCATCTTTTTTTGATTTTAACTGTTTTTCATATTCTTCAATCTGATTTTGATATTACTTTTTTAAATAATTTTCAAAGAAATGCAATTCTTCTTCTATTTAATCATCATTCATAGCATCAGATTATTCCGTGTACATAGGAGCTCTTTACTTATTCTCATTCAAGTTATTATTGCTTTCACCTGCTAAACCTTCTACCCTGCTTTAATTCATTGAACTTCTCATATAATTATTTTAATCATATTAATTTTCTTCAAAAGACTAAAAGCTAGTTTCATTTTTTTAAAAAGAATTGCCTTTATTAATTTTGTTATTTGAAGTCATACCATTCCCACTTTGTTCATCAAATATGAATACTTCATTAGAAGTTTAGTGATTTTATATATTAGAAGAATATTGTCCTTAAGCATAAATGCTTTTACTTAGCATAATGCTGTCATTATTTTAAAAATTACTTTAATTAATGCTATCATTTTTCATAACACTCTCATTTTTCTAGGGCATTTGCTTATTATTGCTTCCAAAATTTTAAAGTTAAATTGAATTATTTTTACTACCACTTGCTAATAAAGAGTTATTATTATTTAGCACACTGCTTTACAAATTATTTTTACTTAACAACAAAGAATTATTATTTGAAGACGAAAGTATTCCTTTAGGCTTCAAAGCCCCTAATTGTGTTGGTGGATTAAGTTTCTAAGGAGGAACATTAAAGCTGTTTTTGCCAAATGTTTCTTGTTAATTTCTACTTTACATATTGTTTTACTGCTACTTCTTTTAAGAATTTTTTGTTTTAGCCTTCAAAAACTCATTTTTATAAAACTCATCACAAGGATGCACAAAGGTCATCTCATTTGTGATTTAATTAACATAAAATATTTCCCCTTTTGAATTCCTCATAGCTCTCCAAGGCTTAGGTAGAGGTGCCTTTAATCCCTCTCTAGCAATATAGAAAAATTCCCTATCGACCCTAGAATCCATTCCCAAGTATTCTGCATACTCAATAATTTCTTGATAAATATAAAATTGATATTAATTTTAAGAAATATATTATTTTTGACATATTAATTTAATTAAGTATTATACCCTCTTCGCTTGGGTCATAATTCGAATCTATATCTTCCTCTAAAGGGATAGTTCCCTCTTCATCCATATCATCATATTCATCTTCATCATTATCATTGCCATACTAATTATAATAAGTAGATTACTATGGCGCAGGATATTTTCCAAACATTATTAGCAACTTAAACCAAACAAGTTGTTTCAATTAACGCTTGTAAATTTGTTAAATTATTGGTCTGTTTTTCTATCAACTGCACAGCTATTAAACAAAAACTTAATTAAATGTATTCTATTTAATATTCAACACAATATTTGATATAACAATGATTAATTAATTTTTTGATTTCAGAAAATAACATACAAATGCTTGCTTTCTAATCAGCTTTAATTTCAAAATTAAAAAGTATTAAATATTTAATCTCTTTTCAAGCTATTTTTTTAACAATAATTAATTAGTTAATTAAATATCTATCTATCAATCTAATTGAATCATTTTTTAATACAAATTTCTATCAAATTTTTTATCATTTCAATATTTTTAAAATCTTAAACTGTCCAAATTTTAGATCAAAAACAAAGAATTATACTGTTAAAAAGTTTTTACTAAAGTTAAAACAGGAAAGCTCATTTCTTTAATTAAATATACAAAATGTCTGAATTAGCATAGAACGAGTAAGCAAGCGATATTCAAGATTAAAGCAATTCAACAAAGGTGGAAAAAGAATCAATTTAGCCGAATTAAAAAAGAGAGGAGAAAGTAGATGAATAATAATAGTAAGAAGGAGAAGGAGAAGAGGAAGAAGATGGTGAAGATGAAGAATATGAAGACGAGGAAGAAGAAGAATTCTAAATTGCAGATTTTTCAAAAGTAGAAAAAGCAGAAAAGTTAATAAAACATATTATGAAGGATAAAGAACTTGAATATAGAGTAAAATATTAATTTTGAGCAAATATAAATTCATTTTCATTCAATAATATTAATGCAGTTTTTGCTGGAAATAAAATCTAAAAACTATGACGAAGCAGAGTTTATGGCTGCTAAAAGTATGCATTTTATTTAACTATAACTTTGGCTATATTTACTTATTATTGATAAAAATATTAGTTCTTGCTAAAGACCCTAATAATGAAACTTTTCTCCTTTTTTGGGACATGCTTAGAAAGTATAAATAAGATTGTAATTAATAAATTATTCAATATTTATTTATTCTTTTCTATATTATAAAATTTACTGCTTTATTAATTTTTTAGAAGATTATTTGTAAAAAATAACTACAAATCAATGAAAATATCTCAAAATATTTTAACTATTAACTAAATATTTATTAATCAATATAGTTTATCAGATGGATGAGGAAGAGTAATAAGCTGAAGAGGAAGAAGAAGAAGTAGAGGAGGAGGAAGAATGGGATGAAGAAGAAGAAGTAGATGAATATGACTATAATGATGGGGAAGAATATGAAGATGAATATGAAGTAGACGATGATGAAGATGGCTGGAAAACAGAAGATGAGTATGACACAGATGAGTTAGAAGATGAAGAAGAAGAGGAAGAGGAAAATAACGATGAAGAAGAAGATGAAGAAGAGGAAGAAGAAGAAGAATAAGAAGGAAGTGAATATGAAGAAGAAGAAGAGTAAGAAAATGATGAAGAAATAGAAAAAGAATAAAAGGACTCAGTTACTAATATAAATTTAGAATCTTAATAATTAAAAAAACCTGTTATTACTAAAAAGAAAGAGAGAAATGCTAAAACAGAGCTAATTTAACCATTTGTTTAAAAGCAAGAGATTTAAAGCTCAAGTTAAAAATTAGATTCTAAAAGCATCTCAAATACATAGAAGTTAACTTTAAAGTAATCAGATGTTAAATCAACAAATAAATAGTAAATAGTACTTACAAAGGAAGTTAAACCTCCATTAAAACCAATATCTGGTAAATAGCCTGGAATAAAATCATAATCTATTTCCTCTGCCTTTGATATAAAATCAAAAACAACTCAATTTATACCTACAACAGCTACTTTTAATAATGTCAAAAGACCTCCTTCTTCATCATCTGTTTAGTCATAAAATAACAACAATAGTAATAGACCTCCTTCTTCTAGCTCTATTAAATCTGCAAATAATTATAATATAAATAATAGACCACCTTCTTCAAGCTCAATTTAATCTGCTAAAGAAGTAACACATAAAAGAAATTCATCATAATCAGCAAGAGATAAAAAAATTCCTTCCCTTAACTCTTTAGGTTCAGATATTTAGAAATTACCTCCTATAAATAATAATAATAATCTCCCAACTTTAGGAGAAATTAAAAAAAGTATTTCATCAATATCATCTGCTTCTACATAAATAACTACACAGAAAAGACCCTCCTCAAGAGATTACAGGGGTTCTAAATCAATTTCTACAACAAATTATAAATGAGAGAATAGCTTAAAAGCATTTTTTACATAACTTTGTGGAAAAAAATATTTAAACAAAATTTATTTATTTGATGTTATAAATAAATAAATATAGCCATAACTATAAAAAGATAGATGAAGAAATGTTCAAAATTAAAAAAAAAGTTGTAAGTAATAATCAATTTTAGTTAAAATGTAATTAAATATTTGATTTATATTTATTTTAAATCATTGAATCAGCTTTTGACCTGTTGTAAAAATAGAAATTAAATTACTAAAAATTTAATTGCTTTGTTATTTAAAACTTCTAATTTGATTACCTTATTAATTTTATGCTAAAAAACTATAAAATAATAAGAAGAAGATAATTTGTATATTTTGTTCATACTATACATACAAATTATTTTAGTTATTTCTCAGTACTTTTTTATCTATTAATTTATTTTTGGTTTAGCTAAACAAATTTTAATTTATTTACTTTAAATTCTTAATAATATATTTCTAAACTATATAAATATCATTTATAAAAGAAATTTATTAATCATTTATTTAAAAATGTAAAATCATACAAAAAAAGTATTAAATTAAAAATTATTATGGTATAAATTATTAAAGAAAGTTTATATCTAAAAATAACAAAAATAATAATTGATTTAATTAAAAAATCTAATTATCGCTAATTCATAAAACAAATTCTTATAAAAAGGCATAAAGAGTAATTTATTTCTTAGAAGAACTAAGTAATTTAGCAAACTAAAAAATTAATTATATGTATTTAAATTTATTTATAAATACTAAAGTAAATTTGAATTTCAACTAGTAATTTGTAATTTGTTAAAAAATATATAAGAAACAACTGATTAAAATTCTTTAATATTGGTGTTCAATTCATAATGAATTTTATGCTTTAGTTTTATCTTTATTTTTATACTTTTGTCTTATTTTGAAAAAAATATTTAGCTTAACTATATAAACCTTATTTATAATTTGACTATTTAATTAAATTATACATTTAGTTCAAAATATTAAAGAAAAAAAGAAATTGAAAACTTTATGTAAAATTCAACGCTAATAAATGTTTTATTTTTTTTTTAGTTAATTAATTGTGTTATTCTTAAAAGGAGTTAGAATTAAATAAAATATTTAAAATAAGGATTATTGATTTTATAAAGTAGCTTTTAGATTTATTTAAATTAATACCCCTTTTACCTACTTAATAAGCAGCTTAACTTAATATCTAAAGCTAAGAATTTAAAATATCAGTGTTACTGAAAATGGCAATGAAAGAAAATGAAATCTTTTATACTAATCAAATACATTTAATAAAACATTCTCATAAACAAGCAAAAAATATTATTTTTTGAATGAATAAATAAGTATGGAATTAGTTTTTCAAAATGATTTGCGAATAGACTTAAGTAAAATTAAAAATATTTGGAAAAAGAAACAAATAATGGAAAATTAAAGAAATCAAAGTGAAAAGAAAGTTGTGGGCTAAAATTTTTCTATTTGAAGAAAAGTTGTATTAGTACTAGTTTGTAATTAAAACAAACTAAAATATAAAAGAATTTCAATTATTATTGGTATTTATTTCAAAATTTTATGACAAATAGTATGATATCATATTATTTAGAATCACACAATTATTAATTTAAATTATTTATCTTATAGGTAAGATTGAAATTTATAGAGTTAATAAAAAATTTAATTAAGTCTTTATTGCTTACTTTTGTTTTATATGGATTTTTTTTAATTATTTGCATTAATTTATTTTTTGAAAGAAGAATAATCAGAATAAATAATAAGTAAGTAAGTAAATAAATAAATTGCTCTATCAGCATATATAAATAGATAATATCAAGCAACTAACTAAAATTAGAAATTCTAAAATGAAAATTTAAAATTTTATATTACTAATATGTAATTTCACTCTATGCTATGCCGCGTTACCTATCAATGTTGGTTAATTTTGGTTTTAAATTACTGTAAGTTTAAAATTATATTAGGTTTTTAAAGATAATCATGTTAATTTGAATAACTTAAAGGAAGACCAAAGCATTATTTACCTTGACTCTGATTAAAACCAATGGGTATATAGTAGATTAAATTAAAATGGTGATATTATCCTTTCAATTAATCTCAAATATTTTATGGGAAAATCTGATTTAAATGACGAATATATGATTGAAGTAAAGGATTGATTATATATTCATTACTTCTGCATTTCAAAATATAAACTTACTTTATTAATTAATACTTATATTCCTAAAATATAAAAAATAGTCAGATTAATCAAATCATCGCTATCTCTATATATTTAGCTATTAATAAGGAAAATATCAATAAATAGATTACGATCTATTATTATAAACTCAAAATAATTAAAAATTCGATTGCAAAAATAATATTTAATCATACGGAAATGCAAGAACAAGATACTTAAAAAGAGTATTCATTTTAGTTAATTGTTTTATAAAATATATATTTATCATTTATTATTTATATTTAGGATTCAAATTATGTGAAAAATGATAGTACTTATATAAGCTAAATAAATAAAAATTTCTCTCCTTCTGTTTAACTAATTCAAAAAATTAAATCTTTTTAGAAATCTCCATATTACTTCTAATATGAAGATTATTCTAGTAATATAGCTTATATTTATTGGAAAGGCAACAAGTATCAACTAAGTGGTATTAAAAGATCTCTGGTTATTGATGTAATTAATATTAATATAAGTTTAATCAAAATTAATTTATTTTTAGTATGAAAATGATATAGTTTTGAATGAAGCCAAAATATTAGGAAAATTTAGTTTTCTAAACAATGCTATTGAATTTAAATATTAAATATAATTATCATCTGATGTAAGCCTAATAGCCTTCACTGAAATATATACAGTTAATCAGGTAATTTCTAATAGCTTTTCTCATTAAATTAAAATATATATTATTAATAAATTTTTTTTAATTTCATCATTTATTTTCATATTGTTTATAATAAAAATTTTTATTGATAAAATGAAAGTAGTTAATATTATTTAAATTTATATTTATTTTAAATAAATAAAAATAGGTTAAATTGATTGGAATTTATGATTAATCTCTAAAATTTTATGATCTAAACACTTTTCAATAAGTTAGCTTAAGTAGTAATAGCGATTAAATAGGATAAATTACTTATTTTAACTAATTATTTTCATATAAAAATTTAATTATTGTCAAAACTGATGTGTATAAAATGAGTTATGACCAAGTAAGTAACCAAGTTACCTTAAAAAAATTAAAGTCTCTTGATAAAGAATTAACTCTGATATACCAAACATAAGCTAATGCAATATGGAGAACTTCATTTACATAAGTAATTTTTTATGATAAAAACTTGATTAAAAAAAATATATTATTTAAGGGATAAACATAAATTTTGTAAGTTAATGGTTAAAATCAAATAACTTCTATGGAAAGAATCATATGTTAGAATGGATAATTTTTGACATCAAAGTAATTTTTAAAAATTTAATAAATTATAATTTACACTTTTATTAATACATATAGTTCAGATTGTACATAATGCAAAATAGATGAAATATTACAGAAGTAAATTTACAATATCTAAAGAAACTATTAATAAAAATAATTTATTATAATAACTTAAAGTGATAAATGTGTCAGCTGTCCTCAAGGTTCAAAGAAATTGTAAAATATTTTATTTTAGGAATATATTAATAAATTTGATTATTATAAACTTATGATTAGAGATATTAATGATAATGTTTGTACTTCTTCTGTATCTTCAAATTGTGATTAACCCAGTGCCTAAAAAAGTTGTGATTGCCCAAATTACTATTACTAAAATTCTTCGTAACAAAAATTTGTTTATTTTCTTAAAAATAACATAAAAAATTGAAAACAATAATTTTAATAGTCAAAAATGCATCCAATGTTAGACTGGTTAATAATTTAATAAGTAAATAATTTTTTATTTGTTGTTAAAAATACTTTTAAGTTTATTTTTAATTAATTAATTTATTAAGCATTAAAGACTCTTGTGATCAAGCTTGCGATGATGGAAGTTTTTTTAAGTAAAAACTATAATATTTTAATTTATTTATTTTGTTGAAAGTTAAATTTTTTGCAATTAATCATATAGAAATTATCTATTTTCTAAATTATTTCATTTAAAAATAAATAATTACATTTTTGGATAGATTAATAAATTGATTTTATTAATTAATTTGTATATTAACAGTGGCTCAGCTTGCTAAAAATGTACAATTAACTGTATTAAGTGTTAGAGTGATAAAACTTGTGATTAATGTGATTAAACAAATGGATATTTTTTAGATGCTAATAAGTTAAAATATTAAATTTTATCTTAAATTTATCATATTTATTATTTATTTTGTTAATTAGATAAAGTTGCTTAAAGTGTGATCAGAATCTTTATTAAATTTTGAATAATCAGTAAATAGTTTTATTTTTAATTCAAAAATATTCAATATTCATTATTTTAATAGGAAAAACGGATGTGATTGTTAGAAAGGTTATTTTTTAGACAATACTTCTTAATGCTTAAAATGTTAAGAAGGATGTAATGATTGCGATAACACTAAATGTAATTAATGTATCTAAGGATATTATAAGGATGCTTCGACTAATTAGTGTTAAAAATGTATGGTTAATTGTGATTAATGCACTCAAAAGGATTAATGTGACCAATATAAAACTTGCCAATCTGGTTAATATCTCGATAAATAAACCAATCAATGCTAAAAATGCATGGATAATTGTGATTAATGCACTCAAAAGGATTAATGCGATTAATGGAAAACTTGCCCATCTGGTTAATATCGTGATAAATAAACGAATCAATGCTAAAAATGTATGGATAATTGTGATTAATGCACTCAAAAGGATTAATGTAACCAATGGAAAACTTGTCCATCTGGTTAATATCGTGATAAATAAACAAATCAATGCTAAAAATGTATGGATAATTGTGATTTATGCACTTAAAAGGATTAATGTAACCAATGGAAAACTTGCCAATCTGGTTAATATCGAGATAAAGAAACGAATCAATGTTAATCATGCCATCCTAAATGCAAAAGTTGCAACGGCCCAAAAGAAAATAACTGTAGAGAATGCTTTAATTAATTTTTTGTTAACGAGGAAGGAAAATGCTCAGAATGTGAAATTGGATAGTATAAAGAAAAAAGTAAATGCATGAATTGTCACTGGAGCTGCAAAGAATGTAATGGTCCAGATGAAAATAATTGTCTTTCTTGCTAAAATTCGTTGGAACTTTCTAGTGAAAATACATGTTTAAGTGAAAAATAAAAGGAAAATGAAGAAGATGAGAAAAAAATCTGTGACTATTCATGGTTTGAATTCGAAGATAAAGAAAAATTATGTCAAAAAAGTTTACAATATGCCAAATTAAACAACCAATTTATTGATAAACTTTCACTGGTCAATTTAATTCTTGCATTTATCGTTTCTATTTTTGTGCCTCTTTTTAGTCCTTTTGCATGGTTTTATATTTAATAGTAATAGTTAATTGGTAATTTTGCTTTACTAAAATCGATGAATATAATGTGGATAAATCAGTTACAGCTAAAGGTTTCTTTCGGACATAATGTTATCAATAACTTTTCTAACTTTTTATAAAAAAATGAAGATAAAATATTTTCATTTTCCCTCTTTGATGAATTTGCATTTGAGACTTAAGACTTATATAAATATTTTATTGAAAATACTTTAGTTCATGCATCTATTTTCATAGTAATAATTGTTATATTTGGTCTACTTATGATACTAAAGTCACATAGCGCTTTCGCTGAAAAATTACTTGGATATATACAATGGAATTTGTTTATCAGGTTTTTTATGATTTCATCTAATTTCATAATCTTATCAGCACTTATTGAATTTAAATAAGGAAGTTTCAAAAATATAACAAGCTTAGTAATCTTTATAATTATTGGAATATTTTACTTAATTTTCTAGATTAAATCTCTCAGATTTTTATTTTCTTACCATTACTATTTGAGGTTTTTTGATAAAAAAACATTAATATGCCTTAAGAACGGACTACTTGACACTCAAAGATGGCCAAGACTATTTTGGTTCATTTTTGAAATCAGAAAAATTATTTCTTGTGTTTTACTTTATCTATTGCAAGACACTATTTATGCACCATGGATTGTTTTAGGATTGTCTATAATTCAGATAGTTTACTTTGTAATTTACAAGCCATTAATAGACAAAAAAGCAAATATCTTAATTGTAATAATTGAGCTTATGTTTGCTTTTGTAACTACTTTTATATCATTACAAAACTATTTCAGTATTCAATCAGGTTTTGCTAGCTAAAGCAGAAATATTTTCATAGCTAAAGGTAAATTTTTTATTAGTTAAATTCATAGTAAAAACATTTTTTTATAAAAAGTAATAAGTGGTGGACTTTTAGCTATTCAAGCTTTTTGTTTAGTTGCTTTAATCTATATATGTGCTTATGCTTTCATTAAATTAATTATTTAAAATAAAAAAGATAGATTATAAAATAGCTTTGAAAACAGCCATCTTATAATTTAACAAAACTTAAAATTTGAAAGCTTTGATCAAATAATCACAGCTTTAGCTGGTTCAAGCTAAAATATATCTTGGCAACAAAAAACTAAAAAGAAATGAATTTTTATCTCAATAAATTTTCATAAAAAAATAATATTAATTAATTTTTCCTATTAAAGAAAGTTATAATAAAATTTATCAATTATTTACTAAAATAAATAAATAAATATTAAACTATTTATATCATAAAGCCTATTTATTCCTATAATAAATTTCTAATTAATATAATATCATTTTTCGTTTTATTTTATCTTAAGTAATTTCAAATTTTATTTAATCTTAAGTAATATTATATTGTATAAAATCTCATAGAATTCATTTCTTTTAAAACTAATTTTTTTCATTTTTTATAAATAAACTTACGTTCTATTTTTAAATATAACTGTACCTTATTTTATATTAATAATGAATATTTTTTTCTTTCTAAGTCTTAATTATTTCCTTTACATTGAACTTTCTGCCCAATATATGAAGGGTGCCCAATATATGCCTGCCCAATGTAGACAGATTATACTGTATATATATTAAATGTCAACTAAACATTCAAATAAAATTATTGAACTATTAAATTTTTAAATATTTTTATTGCATTCTAAGCAAAAAAAGAATATTTGGCTTCTTTTCTTTTATTTGAAAAATTTACATTTTCTTTTTATTCTCTCTTATTAAATCAAAAGATAAATTCAAAACTTAATTAAAATTGAGAGTTTTTTATGAGCAACCATAAGGTCTCTTTAACTTGAGATTAAACAAAGCCTCTTGTATTAGAGTGCTTCTTATTAAAGTTTGCCAAAATTTAAATTATTTAGATATATGAATAAATTAAATTAATTGAAATAGTAACCTTTTAAAGAATCCAAGCAGCTAAGGAAAAAATGTTTAAAAAAAACAAATTTTATGGAAGGTGTTGAAAAGGAAACACCAACTTACAAAAAATAGCTAATTCATGCATGAGCCAAATTATTGTAAAAAAGCATGAAGAAAAATTTATCTTAGAAGAACTATTTAAGAAATTAATTATATATTTAAATTGATTTATAAATAAATTCTATTGTAAATTTGAATTTCAAATAGTAAAAATTTGTGATTTATAAAAGACTCTTTAAGAAACATTTCATTAAAAATTTTTTATGTTTGTATTCAATTCAAAATGAATTTTATGTTTTAGTTTTATCTTTATTTTTATACTTTTTCCTTACTTTGCAAAAAATATTTAGCTTAACAAGATAAAACTTTATTACAATTTGACTAATTAAGTAAATTTTACATTTAGCTCATAGTGTTAAAGACACGAAAATTTAATATTAAACTCAACTACTAATAAATTTAAATGTTTTATTTGTTTTAGTCATTATTTAAATCTTTAAAGGAATTAGAATTATATAAAATATTTATAAGAAGGATAACTAATTTTACAAAGGAGCTTTAGATTTATTTAAATTAATACCCTCTTTTACTTAATTTCTTTAGCAGCTTAACTTACTATCTAAAACTTATAATTTAAAATATCATTGTTACTCAAAATAGCTATTAAAGAAAATCAAATATTTTATATGAATCAAATAAGTTGAAAAAAGAACTCTCAGTAACAAACAAAAAATATGCTTTTCTAATAAATAAATCACAGTGGAATTCGATTTTCAAAATAATTTGCTAATAGGCAGACTTAAGTTAAATTTAAAGTATTTGGAAAAATAAACAAATAATCAAAAATTAAAAGAAATCAAAATGAGGAAAGTTGTGGGCTAAAATTTTTCTATTTGAAGAAAAAGTATTATAGTACTAGTTAATAATTAAAATATTCTATATTTTTAAAGAATTTAAATTACAATTGGTATTTATTTCAGAATTTGATATGTAGTATAATATAAGATTATTTAAAATCATACAATTTTTTAATTAAATTATTTATCTTCTAGGTTAAGTTGAAAGCTATAGAGTTAATCAAAAATTTAATTCAGTCTTTATTGATAACTTTATTTTATATAGATTTGTCTTTAATTATTGGCACTAATTTATTTTTTGAAAGAAAAAATAATCAGAATAAATAATAAGTAAGTAAATAAATAAATAAATAAATTGCTCTATCATCATATATAAATAGATACTATCAAGCAACTAACTAAAATTAGAAATTATAAAATGAAAATTTAAAATTTTATATTACTAATCTGTAATATCACTCTATGCTATGCCGCATTACCTATCAATGTTGGTGAATTTTGGTTTTAAATTACTGTAAGTTAAAAATTATATTAGGTTTTTAAAGATAATCATGTTAATTTGAATAAATTAAAGGAAGACCAAAGCATTATTTACTATGACTCTGATTAAAGCCAATGGGTATACAGTAGATTAAATTAAAATGGTGATATTATTTTTTCAATTAAGCTCAAAAATTTTAACGCTAAAACTCATTTAAATGACGAATATATGATTGAAGTAACGGATTGCTTATATATTCATTACTTCTGCATTTCAAATATAAACTTACTTTATTAATACATATATTCTAAAAATATAAAAAATAGTCAGATTAATCAAGCCATCGCTATCTCTATATATTTAATTATAAATAAGGTAAATACCAAAAAATAGATTACGACCTATTATTATAAACACAAAATGATTAAGAATTCGATTGCAAAAATAAAATTTAATCATACGGAAAAAAAAGAACAAGATACTTAAAAAGAGTATTTATTTTAGTTATTTTTTTTATAAAATATATATTTATCTTTTATTATTTATATTTAGTATTTAAATTATGTGAAGTATGATGGTAGTTCTATGAGCTTAATAAGTAAAAAATTTTCTCCTACTGATGCACTAACTCTAAGTGTTAACTCTTTTTAGAAATCTCCATATTACTTCTAATATTAAGAAACTTCTAGTAATATAGCTTATATTTATTGGAAAGACAACAAGTATCAAATAAGAGGTATTAAAAAATCTCTCGTTATTGATGTAATTAATATTAATATAAGTTGAATCAATATTAATTTATTTTTAGTATGAAAATGATATAGTTTTGACTGATGCCAGCATATTTGGAAAATTTAGTTTTGATAAGGATGTTATTGAATTTAAATATTAAATATAGTTATAAAGTGATGTAAGCGAAATAGCTTACACTGAAATATATACAGTTAATCAGGTAATTTCTAACGTTTTCCTCATTAAAAATTAAATTAAATACTATAAACAATTTTTTAATTTTCATCATTTCTTTGCATATTTCTATTCAAATAGGTAAAATTTTTTATTGATAAAATAAAAGTAGCTAAAATTATTTAAATTTATATTTATTTTTAATAAATAAAAAAGGTTAAATTGATTGGGATTTATGATTAATCTCTAAAATTTTATGATCTAAACACTTTTCAAGAAGTTAGCTTAAGTAGTAATAGCGATTAAATTGGATAAATTAGTTATTTTAACGAATTATTTTCATATAAAAATTTAATTATTGTCAAAACTGATGTGTATAAAATGAGTTATGACCAAACAAGCAACCAAGTTACCTTAAAAAAATTAAAGTCTCTTGATAAAGAATTAACTCTGATTAACCAAACATAAGCTAATGCAATATGGAGAACTTCGTTTACATAAGTAATTATTTAAAATAAAAACTTGATTTTTAAAAAAATTTTTTTATTTAAGGGATAAACATAAATTTTGTAAGTTGCTGGCTAAAATCAAATAGCTTCTATGGAAAGAATCTTATGTTAGGATGGATAATTTTTGACATCAAAGTAATTTTTAATAATTTAAAAAATTATAATTTACACATTTATTATTACTTATAGTTCAGATTGCATATAATGCAAAACAGATGAAATATTAAGGAAGTAAATTTACAATACAGTATTTTGATGCCAAGTATCCTTGTACTTAATTTTTTAATTAAAAACTATTTGAAACGAATAATTATTTTAAAATATAAATGAATTAGGATACTTGTCATTAAAATACTGTATGTATCTAAAAAATTATTAATTAAATTATTATCATAAATTAAAGTGATAAATGTGTCAGCTGTCCTCAAGGTTCAAAAAAATTGTAAAATATTTTATTTGAGGAATTTATTAATAAATTTGAATATTATAAATTTATAATTAGAAATATAAATGATAATATTTGTTTTCCTTGCGATTAGCCCACTGCCTAAAAATCTTGTGAATGCCAAAATTACAATTACTAAAATTCTTCGTAACAAAAATTTCATTAATTTCAAACAAATAACATAAAAAAAAAAATTTTAATAGTCTAAAATGCATCGAATGCTAGTTTGGTTAATAATTTAATAAGTAACTAATTATTATTGATTAAGATTCTTTTAAGTTTATATTGTTATTTATTAATTTATTAAGGACTAAAGACTCTTGCGATTAAATATGTGATGATGGAAGTTTTTTTAAGTAAAAAATTAATAATAATATTTTATTTAAATTAGTTTGTTTAAAATTAAATTAAGTACAATTAATGAAATAGAAGCTATCTATTTATAAAATCTCATAATTTAAAAATAATTAAATGCTATTTCAAATAATAATTTGATTATATTTTGTTATTAAAATTAAATTAATTATTACTTTTTTGAATTATTTTTAGATTAATAAATTTATTATATTAATTAATTTATATATTATTAGTGGCTCAACTTGCTAAAAATGTACAACAAACTGCATTAAGTGTTCGAGTGATTAAATTTGTGATTAATGTGATGAAACAAATGGATATTTTTTAGATGCTAATAAGTTAAAATATTAAATTTTATAATAAATTTATCTTAATTATTATTTATTTTATTAATTAGATAAAATTGCTTTAAGTGTGATCAGAATCTTAATTAAATTTTAAATAATCAGTAAAATAATTTTATTTTTTATTGAAAAGTATTTGATGTTCTTTATATTAATAGGAAAAACGGATGTGTTTGTTAAAAAGGTTATTTTTTAGACAATGATTCTTAATGCAAAAAGTGTAAAAAAGGGTGTGATGATTGCGATAAAAACAAATGTAATTAATGTGTCGCTGGATATTATAAAATGTATAAAATTATTTGAATTCTATCCCAAGCAAAAAATACTACACTATCACTTCAGCCACACCACTCGTCATTTTTTTAAATTTTTATATTTTTTTTGGGGAGTATTAAGTGAGTTAGAGTTCGTATTTTTCTAACTATATCTATTATAAAAATATTAATATGATGAATTTATATATTAATTCTTTATTTTTATATTTGTTTTTTTGTTTTCTCATCTAAATTAAATTATTTAATAAAATATTTAGTTATATATTTCAAAAAAATTACATATATTTAATGTCTTCTATAAATATTATTAATTGCTATTCTAGCATTTCTGCTTTATTATAGCTTAATCTTGATCCTCTTTCTAAAATGATCAAACAATGAGGGTACATAATAGATACTTTGAGAATTTTTACTTGATAAAAATAACATAAATACATACATTTAAGAATGAACGATAAATCAGGTAAAAAATAATAAATTTATTTCTATTATAAAATTAATTATTCATAATTATTTTAGTAAAAATTCATATTTTAAATTTGAATAAATAACAGTTTATCACTTTTCTTTTTTGAGATAAAATTGAACAAAAATACATATATAAAACTTCTACTAATAAAAATATTACTATCTAATATTTTAATAGGCTTTAAGAATCTATGGGCATTTTAAGTTTTGACATTTTTTCATCTAAATTTTATTTCAACTTATTCTAATAGTAAAAAGGTAAAAAAACTTTGTTAGGTGCATTTTTATCATAGTTAGTAATATTAGAATTTTTATGCTACTTAATTTATCTACTGTATTAGTATTATGATAATTAAATTTAACCTACATTTAGATCATAAAATTTTTTTTAGGATTTTACTAATGTTGAATTGAGCAATGATCTTTACAAATTTAAATAGATTCAACTTAACTCAGAATTTAGATGATATTTAGGAATAGCAAAACTTAACTGACCCGGTTTTTGTACCTTATTTCTAATACACAAATTATACTGAAAATGAATTTATTTACATTAATCCTATAAAATGCTAAAACCCTTTGCTTGATGGATTCAATTGTTTTGATTTTTCTTTGATTTAAAACTATAGCCTTATCAAAACATAAGGCAATAAAATTTGGTCATGAATTTATCTCACTATTTACACTTGTTAAGATGCTAACATACAATTTGATCTGCAATTAAATTGTGCTAATTAGTAAGAAATTTATATAATGATAAATGATGGTAGTAACATATTGCAAATAAAACTGATAAAAATAAGAATTTTTACTACTCTTCTTATAAAATTTGTATCAAGAAACATTTTTATAGCTAGTGAGCAACGAATTTAATAGTGAAAGCAAGAAATAAATTGAATCGTAATCTTAAATATAGTAATAAAATGAAAAATAAACTCCTTTTTAAGTAGACCAACCATCAAAAGTGCCATAATTTTAAAGTAAATTAAAGTAATATTTAGACCAAAACAACTTTTCTTACATTTAGCACTAATCAGAAAGCAGAGTGTTTAATTTTAGAAATGAGTAAAAAAAACAATATTTAAAATAATAGAAATTATTTTATTTTTGACAATTTAAATATTTGGGATATTTTAAAAATTTGGGGATATGGAATTTTCTTAATTAAATCAAAACACTAAATTTCGCTTATTGTAAATTGAAATGGCATTTAACTCTACATATTTAAAATAAGTTTTAGAAGTTTAATATTTTTTTAAAAGCAATACCTAACTACCTATTTATGGAATTAAAAAATATACATAAGCTTATTACAGAATAAATATTTGGAATAATTAGTTAAAAATTATCACAAACATACATTCTTACAAAAAATAAAAATATTTAACAATCATTTAAAAAAATATATTTTAATCCTGATCCATTATTATTTTTAAATGAACAATTAAAACAGCAGCAATAGCTAAGTCTATCTATTTAGATAATCTTTTCATATGAAGGAATATCACTGTCTATATCATAAACAGTAATATCCTTTATTATTTTCCATTTTTTTATTTTCAGTTCTTGTTCTTAGCTTTTTCTTCAGCTTAGCTAGCTTTTTCTTATAAAGCTTTCAGATATTCAGAAATCTCCAGAATTTAATTATAAATTTACTCATCATAATTCTAAATTAAAAAAGTTTAATTAGATTCAATAAAATTTAATTTAGCAATTATATGAGTCATTTCCATATTATCTTAAGCTTCTTTCAATTGTTTTTAAGCTTGTTTCAATTCTTTCTCAGCTTTATCATAAGCTTATTTATTTTATTCGTGGAGTTTAGTAGCTTTATCATATTATAATGCATAATCATTAGCTTCATTTTTCAAATTAATATCTTCAGGTTTAGCATTAGCAGCTTCTAAGCTTAAATTTTTATATTTTTCAGCATAAAATTTTTCTTTAAAAGATATAAGGGTAGCTTTATCAGCTTCTTCGTATTGTTTCTAAGCTAGTTTTGCAGCCTTTTTAGCTTCTTCAAGAGTCTTCACAGCGTGATTATAAGCTTTCTTACTTTCTTCAGCAGTACCTTTAGCTACTTCAACAGCTTCTTTATATTTATCAAGTTGGTCTTTAAAATTGTCTAATTCGCTTTCATTTTATCCATAAATATTTGCCAAGAAGAGGGCAGCAATTAAAAGAATAAATAACTTTTTATTCATTTTTATTTTATTAGTTTATTATTTTTATTTATGTGAATTAATTAATTATAACATTTTAGAGATTAAAAACTGGCTTTTTCAAGAACAGTTTATATCAAGTTTACACAGCTTAGTAAAACAGCGTTAATTAGTGAGCTAATTTGCTTAAAACTATTTATAATTTAAATAGCTAGCTATTTTTATGGTAATAGTAAAATTTTTCTAGTAATATTTTGAGTCACAATATTAAAAGTTAATTTTATTGTATTACTTAATATGAATTATAATAATTTTTTAGCTCTAAAATAATTTTCAATTAATGATACGAAAATATTAAATAGTTAGTTAGTATTTATTTTTTTTTATCAGCAAAAAGGTAGTATTTGCAAAATATTAATTTTAAAATGAATAAGAATGGTTAGCTATCTAATTAAGTAATCCATGATCAATAAATAACAATCTATTTCCTTTAAAAATTTCAAATAAATATAAATTGTTATTTATTTTTAAATAAAAAAATTTAAGATTTAATCAGATTAAAAGTGTAAATTAAAGATTTTATAATTAAAGTTGCTGTTTAATGGTTATAGTATTAGTATTAGTATTAGTATTAGTTATAGTAATAGTTATAGCTTTTGATTTATAGAATATTATTGAGTCATATTACAAAAACTAGAGTTTAGGAATTTTGAGCTCTTAAAAAAGTTTGCAATTTATAATACAAAAAGGTTCAAAAATTTTTATTTCAGTAAAAGCATTGAATTTAACATATTTATGATTTGATGATTCAATTAAGCAATTAAAATAAGATAAATTAATAGGAATTTTTTATTTTTTCTTAAGCAATAAATAGATTCAATTAATTAAAATTATAATTAGTATTAAATTAATTAAGAAATTATGTAAAAGAATCTTAAGAATAGCTCAAGAATTTTATTATTATTTGAAAAATTTATTAACAAAATTTATTTTATAAATTAAAACAAATTCACTCAAGTTTTAAAGTATTTTAATATTATCAAAGTTTAAGATGTGCCCATTTTAGTATTTACGCAAATGTGCGCAGTTTCACTAAATATATATTTACTCGAAAACTCTTTAAATTTTGTGTACCTTTAACTTATCATATTTCTGTAACTTTTACATGTCTTAAAACTAAATTATACTGTTAAATATTGTAAGTCCTCGATAGGCACTGTGTTCTGAGTTGTGAGTTTATTAAAAAAATCTATTTATAATCCAAAAAATAAAAATCTACGATTTCTAACCCTGATGATAATAGAATAAAACAAATAAATGTAATGATATAAATAACACAGAAAATTAGTAAAAGTAAAAATATGGTTTAATGAGGTTATTTTCTTAATATAATTTATATTAGTGTTCATTCATGCAAACGGAATTTAAATGTGCCTAGCATAGAATTCCTGTTCATCCTTGTATTAATTAATTGCTACTTGTGAGATCAAAATTTTTTTTTGGAGGATGACTAACTAATATTAATTATGTGATTTAAATTCTAATTATATTAATTGATCAAAATACTAGCTATTATGGGTAAACTAATTAACAACAAACAGCAAATTCTCATAAAAATTACTTGTAAATTAAATATACATATTTAAAATAATTTTTAAAAATTTTTTAATTCTAAAAGACAATATGTATTTACTTATAGAATTAAGAAATATAAAAACTAAATTATTAGCTAAATAAAGCATTAAGAAAAATTAGTTAAAAGGTACTGAAAAAATATATTTTCACAAATTAATTAAAACAATTAACAATTATTAAAAAAAATATGCTTAAATTTGTATCTGTTATCATTTTTCATAGAGTGAGAAACAAACAACTAGGGCTATTTAGATGATCTTTCCTGAAGTAGGATTAGATAGAGTTATATTTAGAAGGAACAGTAACATCCTTATTTTCAGTCTTTTTTATTATCAGCCTTCTCAGCTTTATCTTCTGCCTAGCTAATTTTTTTTTAAAAAGCTTTCAGATTATCAATAATCTAGTCATATTAAGCAAATAAATTTTAATCATTATTATCACGTTCATGTATTAGAAGAAGTTGCTACTTTATAGCCTCATCGAATCTTATAACCTCCTGAGCTATTTTAAAATTCTTTTTAGCTTCATTCAATTATTCTTAAGCATCTTCAAGCTATTATTAAGCTTCGTTAAAAGCATTTGAATATATATCATAATTATCCTGAGCTTAATCAAAATTTTCTAATGCAGCTTCAGCTTCATCTATAAATTCATCATCCCAAGGACTTTCCTCATAAGCTTTTATAATTTTTTTAGCTTCTATACTTTATAATGAAGCTTTATTTAAAGCATCTTAAGCTTAAAGCAAATCCTTTTTAGCATTTTCAGCTTTTTTCTAAGCATTTTCAGCAATCGTTTCAGATTTTTTAAGAGTTCTCCTAGCACTCAAATCTTCATAAGAACTATCATTTAAAGATGCACTAGCTTTTGCCAAAATCTTTTAATATTCATTAAAAATATCTTAGAAATCGGCTAAATTGCTTTAACTTTGTGCATAAATAGTAGTAAAGAGAATCAAAAGAATAAATTACTTTATATTCATTTTTATTTTTTAGTTTTTAGTTATTTATATTTATCTGAATTATTTAATAATAATATTTTAGAGACAGACTCACAAATTGCTACTTAAAGAGAAATTTGTATAAAACTATAATGGTTTATTTAATAAATAAAAGTATGAAGGAGTTAATTTAATTAAAGTTTATATTCTAGATGTATAATTTAAATAGTTATTTTTATTGTAATAGTCAAATTTTTCTTTTAATAATTTGAGTCACAATCAATATTAAAAGGTTTTCATTTATTTAATTTTATTTAGTTTTATTAGATAAATTGAATTTGTTTTTATAATTTTTTAGCTCTTAAATAATTTTGCAATTTTATGATGCATACATGCCATGCATGCATGAAGATTAAAACATTTTTGTTTCATTAAAAAGGTAGAATTTATAGTTTTTATGTAACAAAAAATTAATTCTAAAATGAATAAAAATACAATTCTAATCAAATAATTAATGAATGAATGACCAATAAAAAATAGTTTGCTATTTTTACAAAATTCAAATATTTATTCTACTTTATTTATGAATTAAAATATCTAGGATTTAATCAGATTTAAAGTGTAAATTAAAGATTTTATAATTAATGAAGCATAAAAAAATAGTTTGCTATTTTTACAAAATTCAAATATTTATTCAACTTTATTTATGAATTAAAATATCTAGGATTTAATCAGATTTAAAGTGTAAATTAAAGATTTTATAATTAATGAAGCTGCTTTAATAGTAATAGTAATAGTAAAACGATAGATAGTTAAAATTTTTGATTTATTTAATTTTATATAGTCATATTAGATAGATAGATAGATATTTTGAGCTTTAATAATTTTAAGCTCTCTCATAAATAATTTTGCATATAATTTTATGATAGAAAATGATTAAAAAATTTTCTTGAATTAAAAAGGTAGAGTCAGTCTATCTACCTATCATTCATTTTTACGATACAAAAAACTCAATTCGAATAAATAATTAAAATAATGTAGACACATTAAGGATTATTTTTTTAATTCTTCTTACGCGCGCGATTTATTTTTAGTGATAGAGAATTAATTAAAATTATATCAGATTTAATTAAATAAAAATTATGTAAAAGAATCTTAAGAATTGTTCTAGCATTTTTTTATTATTTGAATACAGCAAAATTTTTAGTATAAATTAAAACTATTTCATTCAAATACTAAGGTGTTTTCTCTATTTGGTATTGCTAAATACATTGTAAAATTTAAGATCGAAATATATATCATAAAATATAAAAATAACCGAGAAAAAGTATTTAAATTTTAAATAATGACTATTAATAGAATTGTAAAAACATCTGTTACTTTAAATATTTAAATTCCAGTTTAATAGTTTGGAGTGTACTTAGTATGTAAATAAAAAAAACAATATAGTATACATGTATGTATATGTTTCATAAGATTTGTTGAATATTGTTTTTGCATATTTAAAATAAATATTTTCCTTATTTAAAATAAATAAATTTTAAGTAATACAATATACTTAATCAAATAAGCTATGAATTTCAAACAAAGATAAGTAATTAATTAACTATTCCAGCCAATAATAAATCTCATTTTATTAAATTAATTAGTTCCATTATTTTTTGTTCTAGAAAAATATTAAGTAAAATAATTCATTCTATTTCTAATGAATGATAAATACTTATTCCTTTATATTTTAAGCATAATAAAATCAAAATCTAATATACTAATGCTGATAGAAATAGATTTTAGGTAAATAAGGTAAATGGATGATGGATGAGCATATTCACCACAAGTTGAATAGAAATTCACGTTTTATTCATCTCATTTTTTATTTTTTATGGGTGAATAGGAATCTGCTTCATTCACCTTAGGTTGAATCAACTTATAATTAATTAGGTGAATGATAATAATTTAAAATATCTTTTTTTATAAAAGTAAATTCCTTCCTTCCTTATATAATTAATTAATTAATTAATAATTTAATTTTTAATAATAAAAGTCTCTCTTACACTAATATACCTTCATATATTTTTTTTATTAAAAAAATGTTAGCCATTTTTATAAAAATGCCTAACTGGTATATCCTTACTTACTTATTATTAAATAACTATCTAAATAAAGTATTAAGAACAACTAGTTAACAATTATCATAAATATATATATATATATATTTTTACAAATTAAATAAAGTATTTAGAAATTGTTCAAAAAAATATGTTCTTTGCTTTTAACATTAATTTTGATTTCTTATTATTTTTCAAAGAACGAATAAAATAGCAGTAATAGCTAAGGCTGTTTAGATAACCCTTCCGTAAGAAGGATTAGCATTATCTCTAACAATTTCAGTTTTATTTTCTATTTCAGCATTCTTTTAATCTTCGAGATTTTTAGTTTCTTCTTCACCTTTCATAGCTTCTTATTCAGACTTTTTAGCTTTTTCATCCTTTGAAACTTCTATTTCAACCTTCATTTAATCTTCGAGCTATTTAGTTTCATCTTCCTTTTTTTAATCTTCAAAATTTTTGGTTTTCGAAGCTTCTATTTCAGTATCCTTTTACTCTTCGAGATTTTTAGTTTCTTCTTTATCTTTCATAGCTTCTTCATCATCCTTCTTTTAATCTTCAAAATTTTTAGTTTCTTTTTCATTTTTCATAGCTTCTTATTCAGTATTCTTAACTTCTTCATCCTTCGAAAATTATATTTCAACATCATTTTAATTATCAATTTTTTTAGTTTCATCACCATCTCCCATAGCTTCTTCTTTTTCATTTTCTTCTTGTTCTTCTTCTTCTTCTTCTTGTTCTTGTTCTTCTTGTTCTTGTTCTTCTTGTTCTTCTTCATCTTTTTCATCTCTCATAGCTTTTTCTTCATAGTTGTTAGCTTCACCTTGCTGAAATTGTAAAAATTCACCTTCAAACAATTAAAACTCTTCTTTAAATTTAAGTAATTATTCAAATTCTTCATTAAATTGTTTATTTTTTTCTTAAAGTTCTTCATATTTTTCTTTTTGTGACTCTTCATCATTCTTTGCTGTTTTCTCACCATATAGATTTTCTTCTTCACCCATACTAGTTTCTTTTTCAGCATTCTATTTATTGTCAATCTTCTTAGCTTTTTCTTTATCATTATTAGCTTCATTTACAACCTTCACACCCTTATTAGCTTCTTCTTCAGCATTCTTGGCAGCTTCTTTTTCTGCATTCTTCACTTTTTCTTCAGGCTACTTAAATTTTTCTTATAAAGCCTTCAGCTATTCAATAACATCCTTATATTAATTAAAAGCCTTTTTATAGCGATTATAAATCAGCAAAGTTTAATCAGCAACAGTCTAATCTAATCTAGCAAACAGCTAAATCCTTTTAAAATTTTTTAAAGCTTCTTCAGATTATTTTTAAGTTTCTTATTATAATTACTGAGCTTGTCTTTACAAATTAAAAGACTTATCATATTTTTTGAAAGCATTATACAATAATTCACTAATCTTATCAGCTTTGTTTTACAAATTATTGTCAAATGGTTAATTATCGACGGTCTATTAAGCTTTATTATTTTATTCTAAAGCTTATTCAAAATATTTTACAGCTTATTCATAAGTAATCTTAGAATTAGCAACTTCTATTTAGGCTTTAATATTAGCAGCTTAAGCTTCTTAAAGAATCTTCTAAGCATATTTAAAAGCTACCTAACTAGTTTCAGCAGTTGCTTAAGCTTTTTCAGCAATCTTTGTATAATCTTAAATTAGATCTTGGAAATAATTAAATTTGCTTTAAGTTTAAGCATAAATAGTTGCCATGAGGAGGGCAACAATTAAAAGAGTAGATTTTTTTTAAATCATTATTAATTTTTAGTTTATTATTTATTTTTATCTAAATTATTTAATTATAACTTTTAGAGATAAAAAACTTGCTTTTTCAATAGAAATTATATTAAAATTTTAAAGGTTTAATAAATAAAAATGTGAAGGATTTGACTTAATTAAAAGTGCCAATTATAGATTTTTTTATACAATTCTTAATTGATTTAGAATAAGTGTCTAATTAAATAATTCATAATTAATTAACGAACAGCAATTTATTCCCTTTACAAACTTCAAGTAATAATTAATTAATTTTTCTATTTTTTAAATAAAAATATGTAGGATTTAATCAGGTTAAGAGTGTAAATTAAAGCTTTTATAATTAAAAGAGCTGTTTATTTTATCGTAATAGTACAAGTAATAGATTAATTTTTAAGTTTTATTTAGTTATATTAGATAAAAGCTAACTTTAAAGATGTTTTAGCTCTAACATAATTTTGCAGTTATATGATAAAAAAGGTTAAAAAATGTTTGTTTCAGCAAAAAAATAAGTTAAAAAAACATATGATAAATTAATAGGAATTTTTTTATTTTTGTTAAATGATTAAGAGATTTAATTAATTAAAATTATAATCAGTATTAACTAAATTTAGTAAATTAAGTAAAAGAGCATTAAGAATAGTTCTAGCATTTATAATTATTTGGATATAGATTAACTATCTATATTTTTAGTATAAATTAAAACCAATTCATTCTAAAGTTTAACTATTTTCACTTTTTGATATTGTTAAGTACATACTAAATTTAAGATCTAATAATAAAAGCATCTATTTATTTATTTATTTAATTATTTAAATATATAGTTTAATAGTTTAGAAGGCTAAAATTAGAATACATACTATGTAAATTTAAAAAAAAGTATATTGAGTAAAGGCGAATGTTTTGTTTTAGATTATACTTAATTTTTTTTTTGTATATTAAACTAAATTTGTTTATCTTTTTTAAAATAAAATCAATAAGTTATAAATAATAAAATTTATAGCAATATGCCAATGAAAAATTTAAGGGTTTAGATTAAACTAAAAACTTAATTTGAATATTTAAAAAATTAAATAAATTAAAAATTTTTATATAATATATATTTCTATTGTATAATTCTGTTAAAAATTATATGTAATGAATCTTTCTTTTAAAAACAAATATAATATTTAAGACAATTTTTTAAATATCGAATAATTATTTTAAAATATAAATGAATAAGTATACTTGTCATTAAAATACTGATTTTATTTTAAATTGTTATAAATAATAAAAAATATATGAAAAACATAAAAAATTATTAATGAAATTAATTAATTAAATTATTATCATAAATTAAAGTGATAAATGTGTCAGCTGTCCTCAAGGCTCAAAAAAATTGTAAAATATTTTATTTAGGAATTTATTAATAAATTTGATTTTATAATTAGAAATATAAATGATAATAATTGTATTCCTTGCGATTAGCCCACTGCCTAAAAGTCTTGTGAATTCCAAAATTACAATTACTAAAATTCTTTGTAACAAAAATTTCATTACTTTCAAACAAAGAACATTATAAAACAATAATTTTAATAGTTAAAAATGCACCCAATGCTAGTCTGGTTAATAATTTAATAAGTAACTAATTATTATTGATCAAGATTCTTTTAAGTTTATTTTTTATTTATTAATTTATTAAGGACTAAAGACTCTTGCGATTAAATATGTGATGATGGAAGTTTTTTTAAGTAAAAAATTAATAATAATATTTTATTTAAATTAGTTTGTTCAAAATTAAATTAAGTACAATTAATGAAATAGAAGCTATCTATTTATTAAGTTTCATGATTTAAAAATAATTAAATGTTATTTCATTTAAAAATTTTATTATACTATCAATCCTCATTAATTAACACCCGAACATATTAACACCCAAGAAAACAATTTTTTTAGAATGATCAGAGGGTAAAAATTTGGGGGGGGGGGGGGGGGGGTTGGTGTTAATTAATGAGGATTGATAGTATTTTGTAATTAAAATTAAATTAATTATTACTTTTTTCAATTATTTTTAGATTAATAAATGATTATATTAATTAATTTATATATTAATAGTGGCTAAACTTGCTAAAAATGTACAACAAACTGTATTAAGTGTTCAAGTGATAAAAATTATGATTAATGTGAAGATACAAATGGGTATTATTTAGATACTATTAAGTTAAAATATTAAATTTTATCATAAATTTATCTTAATATTTATTTTATTAATTAGATAAAATTGCTTTA